AGTAGCATAACTCAATGATTCCTCTATTTCTATAGAAAAAAAAATTAAAAAATCAAAAACCAACACGGGCAATAATCTCACCATCTCTCACAAACCCAATTTACGATCTCTTAAACTCTCCAAACCTTTTATACATCTCCGCCTCAAAAATCTGCTGCATCGTATAACTCTTCGGATCACCAAAAGGTAATACATTACCAGCGTATAAGCAAGCCAAACCTTCTTTCCTATCAATACTCCACAACAAATTCGGTAGACCGCTCCAGCAGAGAGTACCATTTTTCTTACCCCCCTCAATATCCTCCTCGATCAGTAACCCACCTAATCCCCAATTCAGCTTTCTCCCAAAAGGATGACTCGAGAAGAATCCCTGAGAATGAAATGCGCACACGAGGCTGGAACACATAGCATCAACTGCATTAGCGGAAAGCTGCGGCTTGAACATTTCCGCCGTGGTAGATTTCTTGAGCAACACTTCATCATCGCGAAGAATCGACGTGAGGATTTTGAGATATGAAGTTGCCGAACCGACAAGTCCGTGACCTCCAAAACATTCATGTTCCCCAATGTCATAGGGTACGCTATCGGTCCATTCTACCTCTCCACCCTGATCACCGTCATCGGAAAGTCCAAGGAGGGGATTAGAAATTGTCAAGCCCTTTCTCACGGTCATTTTGACGAGTTTTTCTTGAACGTGTGGATTGAGATCGCGACGGAAGGTAATATCTTTGATATTTAGTGGGCCGAAAATATGGGCTTGGAAGTAGTCTTCTAGTGATTGACCATTGTTGAGACGGCGGACTAGGACGGATACCCAGTCAAGACCGTAGCCATAGACCCAGGATGTACCGGGTTCAAACAAAAGAGGAACAGTAATAGTCTTGAGCATTTCGGATTCATGGGTAGTTGTGGAGTCGTCACCTTGCGTGGCGCGGAATTTTACGAGCGGTGGTGTGAAAGTGTCATAGCCGATTCCGGAAGTATGGGTGATCAATTGCCTAGTGATTTCCCGTCAACAATTGCGAATATGCAGCTTCCAATATCACGAGACATCTTACCTCAGGGTGACCTTGTTCTTGGCTGGCTTGAGAATAGGAATTTCTTTTCCATCGGTCCCGGTTTCGAAGCCTTCGAGAATTTGAATATCTTTGAACTCCGTTAAGACAGGGGAGAGGTCATCGTCAAGACCAATTTGGCCCTGCTCTACGCAGCGCAAAGCAGCGATAGAAGTTACAAGCTTCGTGCATGATGCCATGACGAAAGTTGAGTCAAGCTCGGTCTGCGAGTCAGGTGTCGCTGGTCCGAAGGCTTTTTCATATTTGAATGATCCTATGCTTTGTTAATATTTGTGTATCTCAGACGGGGTAAGTGAATGAAGAAGAGGGGTTTTTACCACTAGAATCGCTGGCAACAAGAACAACACCAGGGATTTCTCGCGCTGATGTTGCGGCTTCAAATTGCTGTTCGAGAGTAGCCATGCTTAGGACTGTTTGGCTATCCGTGATATGTGTGAAGAGATTGAAAGAGACAGCTAAAGGTGATATGTGATTTGAGGTAATGATCTGGAATCATGGCATGACTATATAGTCCACAGATCAGTAATCAGCTGTTTTTCTCAAGCCCCAACTATTTATATAGTCTACCGATCAACATATCAGTAATTCCCTTTTTGCTCAAGTCCTATCTTGCCCACTAAGGACTGTATACCGGATGTATTTCCTAATCTTCGAATGTCTGGCACAGGCATATCCAGACATTCAATTGTTAGAACCAGATCATGTAGGTCAACGTGCACGTAAAGCATGCGCGTATACGAAATAAATTCACCAATGAAGCAGACTGTATTAAATTAACCTTGAACCTTCTCCAGGTGAGATCTTCACATTTTGTAGGATGGACAGATTCTAATTGGAGGCTTGTAGAAACATATCGACCCTTAAACTGTATGCCGGCGGGTCTGCTTGCTACGTAGTTAGTATTAAAACTATGCAATGATATCAAGTAGTAACTACTAAGAAGCTTGGTAGGAGTCACCGGTGAACAAAAAGTCTAAAATGCAAACACCATCTAAGGTTAGACACAATTCTAAATATAAATTGTGTTCTATATGCCTCATATTCCAGGCATGCACAGGCCCAAAACCGGTAGGAGTTTCAAACTTACGTTCATTGTAGCCTAGCCTAAAAGCGTTGAGGTGAAATGTTGAGTATCCGTGCTTTCCACTCCGGACATAACCCATCTTGAATGGAATGGAATATTCCATTATTGTATCAAGAATTATATCTCAAACTCCCAACAAATCTCAAGAACCAAGCAAGCCTTGATAGATTGTAGTTGCATGTCCGAACATTCCGGTGCTTGTTCACCCACAATATTGCTGCATCCATGTGTGGGGCATGAAGTGAGATTCATTGGCAAGGACACAACAATTCTCATATATTGTGAAACCTGGAGCTATTTTCCATTTTTGGTGGAGTTAGTCTTTTGTCGTGTAGTCATGACATTGAAGACTGCAATGGAGACGTGAGAATATTTCAACTCCCATCACGGTACCCTATCCCATCACAATCAAAAGGTATGCTTGCAATTCCCAGCGTGCCAAAAAAAAAAACTGACCTCACCGAGCATATATCCTTTACAGGGAATTTTCATGTATCTCCTTGGCTGGATTAGTGTATCCTATCTACCTTTTATATCCTATGTCGATGATGTATTGGACGGGCTCGAGTTCTTCTCGGATGCACCTCAGCTACACTACATAGAAATTATAAGTGGGTTGCATTACCTCCGACTCGATCCACAATTATTAATAGTATAATTCCTGCGGCTATCTTGTTTACCGAACCCGCTTCCATCTGGCGGGGTGTCTGGGCTGATGCTCATCGCTCTGTCTCTCCGAATTGTTTTTCGTTCCCTCTTCTGAGCATTCGACAACAGACAGCGCGAAGATCGTGTTATCTTTGATTGGAGTTTTGTATGTTGTTGCAAGTAACTCGCCTAAACAACTAAAAGTTTTCATCTTGCATAATAGCCGCTTTGAATAATCCATCGTCTTCGTCCCCTTCGTCCACAAGTTGCACACCTACGCTCAATGCACCCACACTCACTGCGCCCACACTCTTCTCCCCACCTAACTGCGTGTCCAAGTCCGAATCTAAATCAGAATCAGAATTCGAACATGGAAAAGTGGAAAGCAGTCTCACCTTGGAGAATGCTGTGATATTTGATATCAGCTTTTACATTAGACAAGACCATGAAATGTTTTTTTTTTTCAGTCGAAGCCAGGCTTTGACATGCGATTTCTTTTGTACAATTATATATTACCATCAATCCATCTGCAAGGAACTAATAAGGAGCCACATGGAAAATATCAACGAAGAGCTAAAGCCAACGCAAGAAAATGTAGCAGAACAAGAAAATACATACAACCACATCAAGATGCAATTTCTTTTGCAATAAATCTTCCACCAAATCTCGAGCTCTACATTTGACTCAAAGAACTCAGATAATCACAGTCCCGGGGTATTAAAACCAGGAGCCTGGGGCCAATTCCCCAAATGTGCTGGATCACCACCAATACGTACCCAAACTCCAACAGCTGGAGTGGGTCCATCAAGGACAAATACCATATACCAGCCCGGCGGACATACATGTGCATTTGGTGGTGTGGTGATTGTACAAGTATTATTAAAACCGCAGGACATCTGAGGGAAAAGCGTTCGTTGACCCATTGAATTACCATGTGTACTTACGACCGATCCCAAAATGGAGATTTTGAGGTTAGAAGTCGAGGTAAAGTTTGAGGAGATGGTGAAGGTTATCGCTTGCGAGTATGACCAGTCTGTGTTATTGAGAGAGAAGGTGGGACGTGGAAGTCCAGAGAGGAGATATGGAGGGGTGAAGACTTCGACGCGGTATTCCTCTGGATGGACATTGTCCTGTGGATCAGATCCAGATACCATTACTCGTCCATCGAGAAGGAGAATTGCTTCGGAGTGGTAGAGACGCGCAACTGATGTATTGGCCATTACACTCATGCGTGAGTTTATAGGCAGGCGCGGATCGTACAGGACGGCGTTAAAATTGGGGTCTGAGCCGAGTCCAAATCCTGCGAATCCATGATGTGCACCATTCAGGATAAGTGTTGTGCCGTCCGGAAGAGAAGCAAAACATGGCATTACACGGCGCGAGGGCTATGATACGTTAGTCAGTGACTGCAATATCGATACAACCAAAATATCTAAACTTCCAAAGTATCGGAAATACTGATTGTGATCTTCGCGCTCATTAAAATCAGCTGTCTTTTGGAAGGACCCCAATGAATGAAAGTATCAGGCAAAATAGTACAGTTTATTTGCGGATAAAACAAAAACAAGATTCTCACCATTCTCTCAATCACCCAAGAAGCATTATCAGCTTCAGGTTGCATGGAAACACAATTATCTATCGCAAACCCACCCCCAGGCGTGGAACCACCACAAATAAGCACTCCGAGGGGATCCGTATAAGGATAAAACTGAGGTAGTAAAACCATAGCTCCCTCGAGAGGATAGTTCCGACCACCATTTGGATCATTTACCGCTCCAGGAATATTAGGTAATACCTTAATAGTCTCAAATGTGACTTCGTCCAGAATTCGTGCTTCATTATAGTACGCGACGAAGATCCCGGAAGGAATGACGGCGAGGAATGGATATAGATTATTAGGATCCGTACGAGCGAGGAAATCCAAATTGAGGACTGGTGCGCCTGTTGGAGGTAGTAGCTCTAAGCTAGGTGAAGCAGGCGCATTACTGCCAGTTTCCCCGCCCATTATCAAGATTGAACCATTTGCCTTGGGATTGTTTAGTATACATTATTCTGCAATATAAGATGGTTGCACAAACCATTATCATTGCCGTAGGGTACCACCGAGCGACGAGGAGGTGTACCTCGTTGACGTTTTCTTGCCAATCATTTGTGCCCCAGATTCCGGGAGATCCATCTGGCCAGTAAAATCGTACGCCGTAGGTTGATTCGGCGGACCACTAAGACTCATAGAGATTAGTATCATAAATTTGAGCTAGGGAAATGACGGAAGAAAATGAATGTGTAACAAGAGATATTAAGATGACACGGAAACACAAGCTATACAATAGTTGTACCACGATTCTTGAACCACGGAAAAGAATATATGTTCTTACCCCTCCTACATCTATCTGCCTCCCCGCAATATCTGGAAGAATAAGTCCAGCAGAGCAAAATACATCAGTTTTGACATGCATTGGTCTCCATGCCAGGGTAAAATTATTGATGACTGAAAGATCTAATTCGTATGCTCCTGTTGAATTAGGCTCACCCGTTCCAAATTTCTCAACAAATGTCACTTTGCCGGTAATCATCTGGGATGTCATCAATGGTATACAGACACCACCTATTAACAACGAGTGTTCGCCAGCGCTGGCACCTACTGGAAATGACCAATTGTAGAGGGCTGGGCCATTCCAGGAATAGTAAGATAGAAGACTATCCCCGCCGCATATGGCTGAGGAATTACCAGAGCAGACAACCTGGCAGTTAGATTCACTAATCATTGATGCACCAGCCGTTACGATATTTTCTACATCTCCGCAATCTAAACATATTTGTCAATGTACGACATTTTTTGAAGGAATGATCAAGACTTACAGCATTGAGAGCCATACTCAAGACCAGCTGCATTATACCCGAATTTTTGACACTGTGAAAGACAATTCGTTGCAGTGTTATTTGAACTGATTATTTGATATGGAAAAGTCCTAATACCTCCTATATTATCTCTAAAAGTTTACTCTATCAGCCTGCATGAAATCTCAAATCTTTTACGCGGCAACTGACTCGAGGCATCCTTGATAGTTCCAATCACCGGGCAAATCCCTTTTCTGAACAGACGCTGGTTGAGCAGTTTGTACTGTTCCAACGGAGTAGACAGATAATCTATTTGCAGCGCCACAATTCTCGCTCGAGTTGCCACTGCATGGCATGTTACAATCAGCTGGTGACGTGGCAAGAACTCCTCCATTCTCGATAAAGTTATCACAGAAGCATTCCGAGCTATATTCCATGCCTGCGACCTTATAACCAAGAGCGGAACAAGTCGCAACGCAAGACTCAACGGTGAGATTCTGATTATCTGGCTGCTGATATGTAAGGATGCGGCCCTGTGCTCCATCAATCCAGCAGCCACTGTAAATCCATCCGGCAGGAAGATCTGTTACAGATGAGGATGGGGTAGAAGGCGGAGCTGTGGAGCTTAAAGTGGTATTAATCTGATAGACAGTGAGTCTTCCACTAGCCCCGCAGAATTCGGAACTATTTCCTGCACAGGGGAAATTGCAATCTGTGTTCGGTGTTGACACAGAGCCAGCGGAGAACGAGTTTCCACAATAGCCTGGAGTATTTCCAATTAGTTCAAACCATTTATAAAAGGGGGAGATTATCTAACATTCTCGTCCATATTCTGTTCCAAAATATGTATACCCAATGCAGCTTGCTTCACATGACTCCAGTGTCATATTGCCAGCATCAGAAGCTTTGGACGAAAGTGCTCGAGCACTAGTAGCTTCAGTCTGACATCCGAAATAGTTATATACACCAACTGTTTGTTGAATTGATAGAGAACTCGTGGCAGAAGGAGTTGTTCCAGCGGTGGTTGTCGTGAATGGCGCTGTTACAATGGCAGTACTATTGAAGTCATATACGTCAAGTCTGTTGGTGCCACCACAAAATTCAGATGAGTTGCCGGAACATAATGCTGAACAACCACTGACGCCCTCGGGCGCAAGAGTTCCTCCATTAGACAATTCGTTTCCACACCCTAAGACATAGTAAGCTTTATTGAACTGGGCAACTTGGTAGCTTCCATAATACACGTACAGCATTCATCCGCATATTCGACCCCTGCTAATGAGTAGCCTCCTTTTTGGCATGCTGCTGTACACACATCGACCGTCATAGGTGAAGCTATAGCTTGGTATATTAAAAGTCGGCCTTCTTGACCTTCTCTGCCGGTTGTTAGAGTGCATCGCGGTTATGAAGTAAACAAAGAACTCACGTGTAACATCCAGAAAACTTCCAAAGTCCGGACCCAGTGTTAGTTTGAGGTGGGGTGTTTCCGTTCCAGAAAAGATTCAACCTATTTGGACCGCCTGCAGGATCGGGAAATCAGTATACCCATTAAGAAAAAATCAACGGCACCGAGGCAAGTAAATAAATGCCCCAGGTTGCAAAATAATTGCAGGCGAGGGAATGGTAAAAGTGGTTTTTGAGATCATGGAACAGAATAAGGTAGCAAGAAACAGAGGATTCAATGAAAACGTCAAACTTACCGCAAAATTCAGTAGCATTTCCAGAGCACTTCATGCTACAATCTGAAGATGGCGCAGGTCCAGCTCCAGCTGCAAGACTATTACCACAATCTAAACAAACTTTTAGTATCCATATATTATATGTCCTGAAAGCTTAAAAATAACATACAACATTCTGAAGAATACTCGGTTCCAGCATAATTGAGATTTTTGGAAGTACAATATGAGATGCATGACTCATCAGTCATATTTGCATTGTCAATGTATTCTCCCTCGAATAATGTCCGGCCAATGTCCACGTAACAACCTTGAGACGTCCAAGTTCCTGGTGTAATGAGTCCCTCTTGTAGAGCATGATCAGAGGCAGCAACAAAAGCTCCAAGCTAATATGAGTTAGTGAAGTCAAGGCGAGTGAATGAGTTGAACTCACGAGAAGTGTCACAGCTGTGCTGTGAAAGTAATTTGCAATCATGGCCCTTTGTTATCCTGACTGGTTGATTAAAGGGTGTGAAGAATGTGGCTGCTATGATTGCAAACTCAGTTTCGTTATATGAAGAGCCAAAGTCTAATATATGAAAAAGAGACGGAATTGACAAGAAAGCCGATAAAAAAAAAGTAGTTGTACAACATACCCAGAGTGGCAGGTACATACTTCCATTTCGAGTAGAAAATCTCTCCGAATTCTTAATGAGGAAGTTTGTGCCTTCTTCTCCTTTCTCCTTGCCGTCAAGGATCAAATTGCTGGATCTTATGCATCTATAACGACCGTGAATATTGCATTCGTAGCATGCAGCAATTGACGTAGAGTGTTACTGCATAGTAAAATGCACCAACTAGCTTATGTCGTGTTGAGGGGATTCTATTTTGAGCCGATACGCATGAGAATCATTGGCTCCGTGGATGTGTATAGTAGATAGACAATGAGAATCATACTTTATCATATTTCCTTCGCGATAAAAGGTATTACTCAAGTATAATAAGGCCAATCTTCGACAAATGATTTCTTACATGTGGTTTGTTTGATATTTGGGTAGAAGAAAAGAATTTGAAGTGATAAAGTTACAAACTATCGATAGTAAATGCTGCGGTCACAAAATGCGCTACCGTGTCACCGCAGTGGACTTCAACCCGCAAGTAAAATATCTATATCACTCAACAAAATAACAAAACAACATGGAATCTTCAAGTTTCCTGTTGTTACCACTCAAATCTATTCACGAATATGATAATATGCCCGCGGAGCTTTTGTAAATCTCCCACTCCTTCACCTTGATTGATCACTTGTACGTTCTACTCGGAAATCATGACCCGAGAACAAATTAAGGGGTATAAAGCACCTTGCATATCTGCGGAGCTGACCAATATAGAAGTACTACGCAAACGACTTTATAGTTGTCCAGCTTTGGTTGCAAGCAGTCGTTCTGTTCGGAGAAATAGTTTTCACGTTTTGTTCTACCATAATCCATGGCCAAGAAGACAAATGTTATCTTGTCTAGAGAATCGCCCTCAAGAGCCATTGGATATACGAAGCTACCACAATATAGATGTGTGGTCACGCCTTCTTCTCATCCGGGTTCAATTCCAGGATGTTGATGTAGAGGTTTTAATAAGGATGTTATGCATTCCGCTAAGAAAAGCAAGTGCACCATTGTGCTACTCTTCCTAACGCATTTTGAGCTCTCGAGAAACAATGCATTGCTGTGTCACAGGTACTCCTTTCTTTCGGGGCAGGTGGGAAGGAATCTCTGACCAGCTCGGTTGTCTACTGCCGAGCCCAGTCGGAATGTGATCGCTTAATTATTATATCTTCATTGCATTGGAACAGATCTTTCGTTGTCAGGTTTCTTGTTGGTTGAATATATGGAACAGTTTATCAAATTATGGGCTGTTGTGAGATGTGGGTTTTCTGAACCTCCTACACAACCATTGAAGAAGTGGGCAACAATTTCTCTCGTCTTCTGCATAGTTTAATTGAGATGCTAATAGTTTGAAGACAGTAATCAGAATTCATGAATGCAAGCGTCAATCATTCCGTGATTAGAGCTTATGTGTTGGTTTAAATGGAATGCACCATTGTACATTGTACAGCTAGAATTCACGCACCAAATGTACATTGAAGAAGCAGCCACCGATTTTGATACGAACCAAAAACGTGTGATGCTTAATATTACTGGATAACTAGAATACAGCTATAGATAGCTCTAGTAAGCAACAAATAGCTCGCTCAGAGTAAGCATGAGATTTTGACCAAGAGCTGCACGATGATGGCTATGTTAGAGCTGCGTTAAACTTTCCGTGCTTCGGAATTATATATAAAATTAACCACTCGTTATTTAGTATTTTACAATATCTACATACCATCAAACACGGTAGTTTAGATCCATTGATTTTCCCAAGGGGACAAAGATGAAGTCTTGGAACTTAATATAGATATGCCTTTGCAGGCAATGGTGCGCTACACATATGGGCCCTGAGTATTGATCACATCGACATGGAGATGTAGAGGTAAATTTATTTCTCTACGCTGCTCGTTCATGCTGTTATTAAAGGATGGGAACTATGACCATGGACTTTAATACTAGGCTGTTTGACTTGAGCACTCTATTTAAAGTCAATTACCTAATTCTAATGGTACCGATGTAAACTATACTGACAACCCACAGGAAAATCACCCTCTGAAATTTTATGCAGTAACCTTACCGTTCGAGCGACAAGATACTCACATTATATCCATTCTCTTGCTTTTCTGCCAATTGCTCAAACTGTGTAAACAGCTATGAACATCGAAGTATCCAGCTCTCAAGCTACTAACCCAGCTTCCTACGCCATCGATGGGAATTCCGCACATTTTGACATAGTAAAAATAACTGTGTTTGTTCCATTACTACACACCGTATAACTTGACACAGGCTCCTCGCAGCCTCTCAATAGGTTTATATATCTTCCGTGCCAGGACGGGAATCATAATGGGAATATTAGAGCATATTCATTGACTGAAGTACAGACAATAAAAGATGGACCGCGGTTGCGGCTTCCACTTTCCAAGACGATGCTATGGAAAAGACTGTAGAGTTTGATCATATACAAGCTCGATACTTCCGTTTGATTGCTCCGTCCAAAGCTGGAAATCGTGGTCAATGGACTAGCGCGGCAGAAATTCGATTTTTTTGCTTGCTCCTACTGCTGTTGAAGATCTAGGGATGTGGTGACCTGTCATTAGCATGCCGCTTATACCTGTTGCCGAGTTCATCGAGCACTCTACAAGAAGTGTTTAGACGTTCGCAGAAAATTGCCCTCTTGCAGATCAAGTAGTATTGCATGGCTACACCATTTCAGCCGTATATAAATAGCCCTACAACTAACTCTACCTCATCAGTCAACGTCTCTAATACTCAGCATAATATATTCTGTCTCGGGATGTCTCTAATGTTTGACGGAAAAGCAATTGCTACCGGTGATGATGATGCAAACAAGACAGCATCTATGACACTTCCGCACATCAAGGGTGCAGGAGCAGTTATGGAAATTCCTCGCGGTTAGCAGACAATAAACACAACGTCAATAGGAAAAGTCTTCAATGTTGAAGGATTCTGGAGCGGTGATTTCGGAGGAAAAAATGGAGAGATTTACGATCCTAGGATCTAAACATGGTCATTACTCCTAGGCCGTCCATTCGCACCTATGCTCACAGCAGACGCAGAATGTGCTTTCCGTACTGATAATCATGCTTGGTTGTCTGCATGGAAGAATGAATCTATATTTCAGGCTGGTCCCAGTAAAGCAATAAACTGGTATAGAAAAAGAGGTACTGGCTCTCAAACAGCTGCAGGCCTCCGCGCTTCGGATGCAGACTCCATGTGTGGAATTGCAATCATGTATGATACAATCAACGGAAAGACATTCACAGGAGGAGAATCTCCAAGCTATCAGGATTCGGATGCGACTAGTAAAGCTCATCTCGTCACCATTGAGAATCCTGACGTAGTGCGTACAGTAGAAACCCTGAAACCCATAACATACAAACGTGCTTTCGCAAATTGCGTCGCGTTACCTGATTGAAGGGTATTTGTGATAGGAGGCTAACTATATATTGTTACTTTCACCACACTGACGCCGTGTTGACGCCAGAGTTATGGAATCCTACAACACAATCCTTTACAATTTTACCTCCTCATACCATATCAAGAACTATTACAGTATAGCCCTTCTCATGCTCGATGGAAGGATCTTCACCGGCGGCAGAGGATTATGCGGATCGAGCTGCGCCACATACCACGACGATGCACAAATTGACAGTCCAGCCTACCTCTCCGCCTTCAACAGAATAGCGGCCATCCGTACTGCTATCTCCTCAGTTACATCCACTATTGCTGTAGGGGTACCCCCACAATCACAACCAACACTGCTCTAACCAATTTCCTAAGAACTCGATAAGGATCAGCGACTCATTCGCATACACAGATCAAAGACAAATCGCATTAACGCCTGCGACCACAAGTAAAAATCCATACACCTTTACAATTCCCATGATCCCGGTATTACACTACCAGAATCCTAAAAGTTCTGGACGATGAACTCTGCAAGCACACCTAATATAGCGTGAACCCTTAAAAATCACACTTCGAATGATTGGGGCAACATGGTCGAAAACTCGGAACCTGGTAGATTAATGTGATGGGATTATCGATGGGAAATGTTAACATCAACATACGAAATGGCATCTTAATTAGATAAGGTTAACGAGTAATCCACTCTTTATGGATGATAATTCAAGCTTAGCGTGACCGACCGGACCCGCGTACATTTTTGCTTGCGGATGATGGTGCAACCATATAGATGCATGCAAGCAGTAAGCAGCCACATTTCAATCAACTAATCAGCATCTCGCATGTCTGCTGACTAATAATTCCCGATTGGTCACTTACCCAACTGTTACAATATACGAACCATTAAGAACGAATTGATAAACAATCATCCTCAATAACACAACATCATCCAATGAGAAGTTAGAAAAATGTCCCAAATATGAGGGGTAGGTTTTACGCATTCTTGATAGCGTGATATTTGTCTGAGATTGAGTGAATTCTTGGGTCGAAATTAGATGTTCAAAGGGATTCGTTCACCTTTTGCGAGTGTGATGTCGTCTTTTTCTCTGTCTTGTAAATGTATAAAGTTCGTTGGGTATCCGGATATTTCCTTTAATGTGATCTTTATACTTTATTTTGTGTCTTCTTCTTTTTGAGAATTTAAATTTGAATACAGATTACTTCACTCACTCAAATACTTTTAAATACAATCGAAAGTGTAGTAAACCGCAATCATGCCTCTCCCGACTGATCCCGCAGTTGTAAAAACGAGTGAAGGTTTAGTCCATCAGCTCCAATCCATGTTTGGCAAACACGGCGGAAAACGTCCTGGTAAATATTCTCTTCTCCAACTCCAAGCATCCCCCAAAAACCCCCAAATCCGCACTTCACCACCCCATCAAAATCTAACCAATTCCCTAGCACACGCGAAAGGGCTCCTCTTAACGGGAACCTTCATCCCCCTCCCGGAAGCCAGCACGCTCTCCACAGCCCTCCACTTCAACAACCCCTCCACCCCCATCTGGATCCGCTTCTCCAACTCCACAGGAATCCCCAGCATCCCCGATTTCGACGCGCACGCCGATCCCCGCGGCATAGCAATCCGCTTTATCCTCGACGCCGAAAAACACAAACACACCGATATCGTCGCCCACTCTACTCCCTTCTTCCCAACCCGCACAGGGGAAGAATTCCTCGAATTCCTCAAAGCAGCAGCTACTAGCGGCGACGCCGTCGCAAGTCCAAAACCCATTGAAAAATTCCTAGAAACTCATCCTAAAGCGCTCGCTTTTGTTACGGCGCCTAAACCCGCGCCAACGAGTTGGGTTAGGGAAACTTATTGGAGTGTTAATGCTTTTAAATTTATTGCGAAGGATGGAAGTGTGACGTTTGTGAGGTATAGGATTATTCCTGTAGAAGGGGTTGAAATAGCGAGTGAAGAGCAGAAGAAGAGTTTTGGGGAGAATTATCTTACTGAGGAGGTGACGGCGAGGTTGGAGAAGGGATCGGCGGAATTTAAATTGCTGGTGCAGATTGCGGGGGAAGGGGATGTAACGGATGATGCGACGGAGCATTGGGGTGAGGAGAGGAAGATTGTGGAGTTGGGGACGATTAGGGTGGAGGGTTTGTTGGAGGATAATGAGAAGGAGCAGAAACATGTGATTTTTGATCCGATTCCTAGGGTCGAGGGTATAGATGTTAGTGGGGATCCGTTGTTGGATGTTAGGGCCGGTGCTTATTTGATTAGTGGGAAGGAGAGGAGAGCTGCTGCTTAGGTTCTGGAGGTGAGGGAATATGTGATGAGATCTTGGAATTTGTACGGAAGGGAGGTTTCGGCTTTCGGATACATGGGACTTTTTTTTTTCTAGACTAATGGAATAAATGAATTTGCAATAACTGGGACTATATTGTGCAATCATATCTTTCGTCTATTTCAAGTCAGACAGCCAGTCTAGTTTGTGCTAATAGATAAGCTACGTCACCAACTACTAATGAAATAGAACAAATCCCCTTAACTATAACTCTCCAAGTATCCCCTATCCTCTCCCAAACACCAAAATCAAAAACTGCCTACTCACTCCTCCTCACCCCCTCCATCCCTTCCACCCCCACCTCCTCAATCCCCACCCCCCTCTCCACCCCCACCAAAACAAACATCATCCTCGCCCATCCCTCCCCGGGGGTAACATTTCTCCACAAATGACCCGTAGCCCTCTGCACACACAAATCCCCCCTCCCCATAACCCTCTTCTCCCCAGAATCCAAAACCAACTCAATGATCCCCTCCAACACAACCCCATAATCCAAACTCACAGTCTTATGCATCGGACATTCAATTCCGGGGGCAAAATCCACAAAACGCACTACTGTTCCAGAGGAAATAGAGAGACCGGGTGGATTAGAGAGATCGGAGATGTAAGAGGCTATATCGATAGGGGTTGTAGAGGTGGAGTTTTGGGATGAAGGGGTGTGAGAGAGGGAGATGGGGAATTGGTGGGTGGTGTAGGCGAGGAAGAAGGACATGTTGTTGTTTTGGATGGGTTGCCAGACGGGGGCTGGGGAGATACTAGATTCGAGGATGGATTTGCCGTTCGGGTTGGTGGTTGTGATGAGACGTTGGATATTTGGGAGGCCATTTGGGAGGGTTTCTCGCAGTGGAGTTGTCATTTTGATTTGTCTTTGGGTGGTGATTGGAGTTTAATAATTTCTAATTGATTGTCTAGCTTGTTAAACTTGTTATTAGATGGAGCTAAATAATTATGTATTGTTAAACTCTTTTATTGTATTGAAGCTCGTTCGAAAGACTTGTGCCAAATAAGTTTATATCACACTATGAGTTCAGGATCGGAGGTCCGAAGAGCTGAATGCGGGGTAAATGAGGGGTCAGAAAGTCCCGAACTTCGTTTGCACTTGCTTCATTTAGTTAAGCTTCAGGTACATTTCTCGAATACCTACTAGTTATAACTATATATAAATTCCAATTACTAGTAGCCCTAAAGTTTACAAAATAAAGACGTAATTATATAGATTGAATAATAGATTCTCAGACTGTGATCGCCAACATCTACTTACAGAGGATAGAATACGTCACATCTCGAACAAATTTAACAAAAGATCAATTCTAGAGTATCTTACCTTCCAAAGACATAATCAATTCCGTTCCACAGAATGATAGTATAAATATCTTCATATATTAAGAGACTCTAATATCTATCTAAGTCAACGCATCCCATCCCAACATAATACACACTAATTCACGCAACTCAATTACAACCACCTGTGACGGAAATCCCTGCTTTCCTCCCACCTTTATTATATAAGAAACCTCAGGTACATTAACCATGTCCACACATGATACGATTACTCGAGATTAGTATGCGATTTAGGTGACCTGAGGATCAGATCCGGACAAGTACTAGGTATCAATGGTTATCGGTAAAGTAAGATCATTGGAGGAATAAATATGACTTCTTTTTGCCTAGCCATTGCGGCTAGGCCATTCATTTGTGTATATATAGAGTAGCTATCCCCATCTACAGGTGCTCTTCACCTGTAGATTCTAAGTTAAATACAATTGCTGGTCTATAAACACCCTTTTGGTCACACCACCCAAACACATCAACCACACACACAAAATTTTCGAACTGCACATCCACCCAATTTCATCCAATTTCACACAACCAACTCGAATTCGAAAAAGTCTACCTCAAACCCCAAACCTCAAAATAAAAACATCGAACCCAAACTCAAACTCGAATTTACATCTCCTATCCCCCAAAAACAAATCCTACACTTCAAAACTTCTAGAATAAGAGATAAGTATACCACATCTTAACAATACTATAGTATAGTAAATCTTAAAAACGAAATAGCAGTGGAATCGCCATTCCATTCATAGGAGGATAATCTTCTCATTCATTCATTTATTTTTTTTACCATATTTCTAAGTAGTCGTTGAGATCAATTAATGTATGCCTGCCGGATATCAATATCAATATTAATATCGAATAGGATATAGGAGCATAGAAAAGGTTTAAATGGTGTGACAAAAGGAATGGTCATTGATGTTGGTGGATCGAGATGTTGCAATGTATTTCACAGCAAAGCGGTATCTTTAGATACCACGATGAATCAACGATTGCACACCAAAAAGCGACGGATTTAGGATGGTAGATATATGAAGCGATAATTTCTATTAGTAAGTTCGATACTGAGCTGAATGCACAATAATCCATCTTGATATAGTATTTGTTTTCTAGTATCCTTGACAAGATCCTGCATTGCTTCTTTTTGAACGTTACATATAGAACTACAGATAGGATTGTATAGAAAGTAAAGGGAGGAAACTGTAACAAAGAGCCGGAAGTTGTATGCCGAACTAAAGAAAATGATATCATGGCGGAAAACAAGATGTATATCTATGAAGAATAAATCGCACACACTACCTACTAAATCAGAACGGAGAAACAGAGCAATACGCGTAAATACTAATAGATAATGCCACAACGTCCGAACTGCCCTTTAATAACCCACTAGAGTTTCGAACTACGTTGTTCATCTCTTTCTTTGAAAGCCCGCTCAATCATTCTCTTCTTTCGCATTTCCACACCAGCTCGCGGTGAACGTCCATCTACATAGCCCATGAAATCATGAGTAGAGAATCCCATCAGTCTCAGTAGTCTCTCTGGAACCTTATCCAAATCATCCCAACCCATTGCAATTGTCATATTCTCATATGTTCTTATCCAAGGTTGACAATACTGAACAGTGATGCTGCGTCTTGGTTTATCTGAAGTATTCGCGCCACCAGAATGCCAAAGGGTATTAAGAAAGTAAACCATGCTGCCTGCTGGCATTATGACCGGAATCATTTCTTCTCGTGTTGGTATGCGATCGTCCGACCATAGATGCGATCCGGGAATGACAGAAGTCGCACCGTTTTCGGCAGTAAAATCGTCGAACGATACCATGGTACCCTATTCAGGTTGTGAGCTTTTTCCCCATACATAAGAGTACAGCACAAAGCCTGAATACAACATACAACACCTATAAGTGGCCTTGGTCTTGGCAGTGCGATCAACCCATCATCACAATGTATAGATTGTGCAGTCTGACCAGGATAAATTACCACAGTATGAAGACTGTTAATCAAATAATTCGGTTGAAGGAAGTAGTCATTCAACGCCAAAACAGTGGGATGTATCGGAAACCGGTCAAAAGCTCTAGATTTGTCCGCGAGAGCATATACTCTTCCGGTCTTGAAGCCCTCGAAGCTATTTCGACCAGCAAGTGCAGCTGGTCCAGCTTCAATTGTTTCAAGTCGTGCCACTTCGGAGTTTGCTAACTCTACTTGTTCAGGCGTGAATATTTTGGGCAGAATGACATAGCCATGTTCGAGGACGTGGTCGATGAGATTTTGTACTGATGGATCCTTCTTTCCGGGCAAAAAAGTTGTCCCTTGTCCGAGTTGAATGCGATCACTAACTCTAGCAGGGAATTCAACTATTGGTTGATTCTTGTCAGACTAAACATTGATGACATTCACGTTAACAACAACTGGCAGAGATTGAGGAATCTCATTAGAATTGCTCACCATTGCGGTCCTTAATTCTCCGATACTCGTGAAATTTGTTTGGATTTAGCTTGTGGTGTAATGAGGTAAAGGAAGCAACTTTCTTTGCATGATTAAATTGACAATGGCGGCTATGTGTATGAAGAGCACAACCTCGGTCAGTTACTAGCCTTGTGAGCTAGAAAATAAGTTTTTTTCATGTTCCGGAAATACTGCTGTGACACGAAGCTGTTGTTTACTCTGATTGGGAAAACCTGGGGAAGTACAAGCCAAGTGAAATGCGGGGGTTGCTTAATCATCCTTCATCACCTCCGTCTGCAACTATAAACCTTCGATTCCGAACGTCCAACAGAATGATACTAATATCAGAACTATGAGATTATGATTTCAAATACATCATTGCACAATAAATCATTCAAGCTATATCATTGAGGACAACATACCAATAGCCTCAATTCTACATCTCAACAATATACTAGATGTGACGACAAGTGACACAGATACCTGCCAAGCCTCCTTTCTAATCGAGTGTCATTCGTTTAATACGAGTCACGACTGGACTAGGCACAGCCTCATTCTTGGTTCTAGAAGACATGATGGTTGCATAGGCTTTTGTGTCTCCCCGGTTGATCTTACTTCGCTGCTAGGAAATGCCGTTCAAGGGGGCGACTGTTTAACCAGACTGTAATACAACAGAAAAGACCCATTGCCAAGACGTTATTATAACTCAAATCCCAGTTTATCTGGCAGTTGTGTTCACAATTCGGGACTGAGAAAACGTGATTGAGAAGTTGAGCTGTAGACTTGCTATGGGATGCTGATTCATCTCAAGTGCAACGTCTAATGTTCCAATAACTTCAGCGCTAAGCTAGTAAGCTTAACTTTTGCAGCTAACCTTTAACTGTCTGTAGTTCGTTGCTCTAAATCGAGCCATACCTTCATTCCTCATACCATGACCATCACTTTACTCTCCCTTTCTCCCTTTTAATTTCTCATGTAATCTCTTTCTCTGCTCTTGCCTCTCCTCCAAATCCATATTGATATTGACATGCTTACTCATGAAGCGCCTATATAGATTCTCCATGGTCAAGCCCTCCATTGGTTTCTTCCATCGCCCTGTAATCGGTGTTCTCAATTCATCCGTATCAATTCCCACTCCTTCATGGCCTCGCAATATAAAAACTATCGAGTACCTGTAGTATTTTTCGGGCTTCATTTCCTGTTCATTTTCTTTCTCCTTCCCAGCTGGATCGTTCTCAACAGTTTTTGGATACATACGTACCGAATGTCCACCAGCAAGATATCTGCCATTACTTAAGAACTCTAACCCCCTCCCCACAAGTAAGGTCCCGGCAGACATTCCCTCATATGATCGTTCAATAGGGAAAGATCTTTTGCTTTGCATGTTAAAAACCTCGAGACCCGGAGCGTCACTAATTGAAAGACTTAAGAGACCAATATCTCGGTGTGCTGGTAAAATTAGTATCTTTATTATTGCTTGTTTCAAACAGAACAATGATAAAATACGTTCAGAAATCACTTTCCCCTCTATCCCATCACCCTCATACCTGAATAATCTAATCATAGTCGCTGTTCTCTTATCCTGAAGTTTACTACATGGCTCAGAATACTTCACCAATAACTCTTTCTTCATCCCCAGACTAGTAGCAATTTCCCCCAATATTTTATTCAAGACATTCCCAGCAATTTCCCAGAACTCTTTCGCTGCATCCAGTAATTCTGGGGGTGTTGTACTAATTTCACGCAGAGTGATAAATTCCTTCTCGCCCTCCACACGATTCCATCCTTCTTCGGTACCCTTTCCGGTAAGAAACTGGGATTTATACTCAGGTGGAAGATCAAAGAAGGATCTACTGGCTTGAAGTAGCTTTTGAGATGAAACTTCAATAGACTCCGTGGACGAAAAAGCTAAGGTTGAACATCCTTGATCGGGAAAATCAGGTGCATAAGCGGGAAGCATAAGAGGAAATTTAACTGGTCGAAGAGGAATTTGGTAAACCTCATGCGGGCTTTGAAGTGCCGGGTTGTGGTGGTCTGCCATGCCGGCAATTTGAATTACTTGCTTTGCAGCTGTTGGTTACGGTCGTGTGAAAAGCTAGTATTCATCCCGGAAGCATACCAACCTAAGAAGTTTATTGTTATGAATTGCTCACAGGATGTAAAGCCGTAACTTTTTTTCGATGAAGTTAATGATCTTAGCGTTTGTTTTTCTGATTGGAGTTTAATCCACATGTGCAGAATGGGTTGTCCCTCTGGTTGACTGAGGACATCGATGAAAATTTTTAAATACTAGGAGAAAGTAATTGAAAGTTCTCGATTAGTGATTGATAAGACTTTCTGAGCTAGATTCATCTCAGCTCTTGAGATGCTGGGTGATGTGCAAAGATGCCAACTGGGCTGTTTTAAACCTCGCTTAGCACGGCGAAGTAATTATCTGGGATAGAGCAAAAGCACAAGTGTGATGAAACTTACCCATCAAATCCATTGTATTGAGCACATTATTTGATGGATTCGCCAGACCAAACAATGACCATGACTTCCAATCAAGTGACCAAGCAAGTGTCGCACACCTTAGATATTGCATTGGAAAGATGTCTTCACTATCGCTTGCTTCATATAATTCTACCTAAATTCTTTCGTATATTCAGATTTGATGCAGTTGTGGTAGATCCTAACCTCAAGCAAAAGGAGGTCCTTCAAGATTCTGCGTTTCAACGTATGTTCGAGTTTATGGAAAGCACTTCTAGCACAATACATACATCCTTAACTATCGTAGTTATGAGACTATCTCACTTTTGATTCACCAAGATGGACGTGGATGGAAGATAATGAAGTATAAAAGAAGCTCGAAAGCTGCTCTTCAGCATGTTAACTTCATTTCGATCTCACAGCTTTTATCTTACTCCCAAACTTTCTTACCAAGGTCTCGCGACTTTCACTCTACTATGGCTATGGAGTTACAACCTCAGGATATTGAGGTAGGCTGTATCCTTCAACCGCGTCGTGAGGTCGGCGCCACACGTGCTAGAACAGGACCAAACATCGTTGGTCTCGTCCGCACCGGTGTACCGTATCAATGGAGCCCGCCGTTAGACCGAGGGCGGAAAGTTAATCAAAAACTGCGCTTTCCTGATGGCTGCAAATTAACGACGAAGGGCCAAAGACATCCTATTATTGTCATTCAAACTAAGGAAAATGATATTTCTTATGTACAAGTATGTACATTGGTGGGTCCATGTGCAGGCTGTCAACTGACTTTTTAAACAGATGACTAGTACACGAATCAAGAATGACAAACGCGGTACTGAATACTCTCCAATTGGGCACTATTTTCCTACACACAAAGAAGAAAAGAAACTTCATCCCAAGAAATATCGCTCTCGTTACTGGCTTCGAGGTGAAAACTTTTCGGAAACTACCCTAAATGAAGCTCGCAGTCAAAGAGTGTATCAGCGAACCATTGAACTCAGAAAGTACTCCATGCTGCGCCTACCACATGTCTTTACACAGCCGTTGTCCAAATTCGAACCTTTTGGGGGCTGCAATTCAAGAGCAATGGACTACTGTTTGGATAAGTCTTCTTATTACAGACTGATGGGTAGATTAGGTCTTCGTTCTGGTAACGATAGATCCGACATAATTGAACCAGGTACCCATAACAATTCTATCTTTTCAAGCATCTCTCAACTATTCAACTATCTCGGAGGCGTGTACAACTCTACAGAAGACGACCCAAGTCAATCTCAAGCGGAGCCAATTTACCCCGGAGATGACTGTAAGTCACTTTTATTTTCTCTCGTATCTGATATTCTTTCAATGGCTGAATTAAATCTATCTAGTGGAGTTGAGTGTTTCACGAAAGCCAAGTCGACTGGAATGGGTTTGGAGTTGGCTTAGACTGGACCGTCTACTACTTAATTAGAACCAACAATCTCATATCTCGGATTTGATAAAACACCAGCTTGCTTCATTTTCCTACGGGTTCCAGAGTTTTATAAAATGGTGGATGAAATGACTAGAACTTAGCTATCAATAAAACTATTATTCCAATATGTATTCATGATTCTTCCATGTCTTTTACTCCTATTCTTTCTACAGTTTTCATATCTTTATTTTACTCCCGTCTGTCTTTTATTAAGCTTAGCATATATTTTCGAGCAGTATTCCCATATTCTGAGGCCGCACAAACAATGGCGTAGCAGTGACGCAGTAAATGCGTATAAACACACCAGTCGGAGAAACAAATGACTCCCTCACTTGTAGATTGGTAGCTTCGATCACACCACCACATGTATTATGTTTTTTAATAAGCTGCCCAAGTACTCTCATCAGTATTTAAACACATAAATCGTAGAAAATTTTATAATCATATTTGCAGCGAAGCTGTCTATATCTATTGCAAAACTTGCTGCAACAAACGAAGCGAACCGCTTGATAATTGTTGACCTCCTGGGATCTTGGCAGCATATGCATATATATTGCATGATGCATATAAGGAGCAAACAAAACTCAACTTTTAATTCATTCTTTCCTTTTTGGTATACTGTTTGTTTGCTTTCAATATTTTGATTTCAAAGCACTTTAATTCCGAAGGCTGAATACCTAACCTTATTCCTTCATTTTTGAAGATATACTCGCAGCTTAACTGCTTAGCTAGAGAATCAATCAATTCAATCTGATGCTCTTTCTGGTCTCAAGAAACCCAACAATAATCCACTACATCAACTATCTCCGGTCAGTCATGATATATCTAGGTAAGTGTCTCTTGGAATATTAAAATCTACTCAAAAAGTGAAAAACATACTCCTAGAAAACTGAGGATTAAAGTTGAGCCTTTGTTTGAGGGGTATATGATTGCGATTCTTGAGATCTAATACACTGGGTGATTCTGATCTATTATTAAAAAAAAATCACTCTAGAGCCGAATGTATTTAAAGTTACAACTGGCTTTTATAAGAATTCTCAAAGTTATTTAACTTTATACTATTTGAATTTGTGATAAAATCTTTATAAAAATGTTTTCTTATATATAAAGTCATCTACTAAATAATTTTTTTTAATATTGAATAAAATCAATTGAAATTCTTAAATATAATAATTTGTTACGACGGCTATCATCAAACGCCGCGTCACATGACTAACTTAGGGTAACGTGACCTTAAGTCACGTTACGGACCGCTGAGGAGCGCTGGCGGTCCTGACTAGCCATAGGCACGAAGGTCTATATAATCAAGATGGATTCCCTTTGTATAGAGCTTCGTGCTCAAGATCAATCATTTAGTATACTCTACTATTAGTTACGAATTGCATTTCATTATTGTCATTACTTAAGTCCCTGCCTGACGCCTAGTTATAAACCACCTCGAGAGCCTAGAGCACTTCCACGTGATCTAGACGGCAAACCTCGTAACATAATTAGTTTCAAATTACTTTAAAATAAAAATAAAACAAATTATTTTATTGTATTTTTATTATATTCAATTCATTATCTTTATATGCATATGTGACGGAAATCCCTGCTTTCCTCCCACCCTTATTATATAAGAAACCTCAGGTACATTAACCATGTCCACACATGATACGATTACTCGGGATTAGTATGCGATTTAGGTGACCTGAGGATCAGATCCGGACAAGTACTAGGTATCAATGGTTATCGGTAAAGTAAGATCATTGGAGGGATAAATATGACTTCTTTTTGCCTAGCCATTGCGGCTAGGCCATTCATTTGTGTATATATAGAGTAGCTATCCCCATCTACAGGTGCTCTTCACCTGTAGATTCTAAGTTAAATACAATTGCTGGTCTATAAACACCCTTTTGGTCACAGCATATTAATTTACTACATTATTTTAATTTTTATATAGATTATAAAGATTCAAAAATGTAAAAAATCATCAATTTTGGTGTGATTTCGCTTAGTGTCCAGTGTGTAGTTTCTAGAACTCCTATAGATTAACTGAGGTTGTATTAGTAATCGGTTAGATTTAGGCTCTGGCCATTTTGAGTTCCAGGCTTTTCTTTCGCGACTTCCATACATGAAAACTATCAATTGTGAGACTTGGAACTATTTGTTTCCTTATCAAGGAGCCAACGTTCAAGACAAGAAGTCGTTCAAAGATACTACGAGAAAGTTGCTGGAAGTCTCCACAACTTCTGTGTGAAGCTCTCTGATCGGATTTTCTTTGATCTGGTGAGACTTGGTGGTGGTGCAGGATGTTCTACAGCTCTAAAGAAACCAAGTGATTTATCTTTGGTCCATTTGTGTCCCTATAAAACATAATAATTCTTTAGATATCAAACCACAAGTACACGGCGATCTTGTTAGTGTAGTAACTACAATGTATGAGATTGATCCATTTTGTTGAACGCCACCCAAGACGATGAAGTATAAAAGAAGGGCTTAGACGCATTCTAAGCAGGACAATCAACTTCGCAATCAGATCTTGCAGACATTTTTACTTATCCCTATTCATTTTTTGAATTCTGCTGCGGCTCTCCTATCTTTCCTATCACAAGCCTCTACTTTTCCTTCCAAATCGCGATCGTTATGTCTCTGCAGCCGCATCATATCGGAGTGGGTTGCATCCTTCGTCCAGATTTCCATTGTCCAAAAATTAGTGCAGGCATTCCATGTGAATGGAAAAAGCTTGTGAAATGCCAAGACATAAAACCAGGTCTATGCAAGTGTCCAGGCGATTGTCGCCAGGATGAATAAGGTCAAAAACATCCCATTGTTGTCCTCACAACCAGTGATGACAGCATTTTGTATGTCGCGATTAGTGATCATGAAGTTCTAAAATTTCTATCCGTTGACATTTACCAGATGACTGGGACGCGGAAAGATCCTGACCTAGGTGGTGCCCAGTACTCTCCCATCGGACATTACTCTCCTCGACCAGATGAGAGCACACTACATCCTGAAAATTACCGTTCCCGATACTGGCTTCGAGGGCCTAATCAATGGGAATCAGGGACAATTAATGCGGCGCGCAAGAAAAGTTGCTATGGAGTTCTCGAATTGGAAGAGCATTCTCACCTACGCCTACCACATGTTTATACCCAGAAACTAGACCGGTTCGAAGCTTTTAGGGGCGATAATGCTCAAGCTATGGCTTATAGACTAGATGAGTCTTCCTATTATAGACTTATGGACAGATTAGGCTTACATGCTGGCAATTATACTCCTGATGTTGCACCAGGAGCGCCACCTAAACAAGCTACTCCACCAACAATTTCATGTCCTTCTATTCTGCCGTCAAATGATAGTAGAGATTCATCGAATCAACAGTACCTTTCCAACGACCTGTTCCGCCCAGCGCATACGAAAAATGGTCCATCCCAAGACCAGCGACGCTCTAAGTCGGGTCGGATGAACGGTCAATCACCTTCATCATAATCATATTTTTCTGGGGAATCGGTGACTAATCTTCGTTCAAAGAGATCATTGAACTGCAATCAAACACACTAGGTTGTAATACTTTGAAAACATTGGGCAACCAGGGAGACGAGATTAGATGCTGAGGCGCAGGATCCAATCACGGATGCATCGCAAGGAACTTGCCATCTGTATTATTATAGCTTATCCCGTAGCTATATAAATCAACTACTCTACTCGCTACTTGTTCCGCGCTTCCAGTTTCCAAATCGTGTGCGTAACATACCTATACTACCTACTCAAGCACTTGAAACAACCGTTAAAATAATTTGGCGAAGCTTTCAACCAACTATCTTTTGCATTAAGATTTAAATCCCAATCCCAAAAATTATGCTTATGACACGTATCTAAAATTAAATTAACAAAGAGCTTAAACCAACAAGTGCGATATTGACTTAAAAAACCATAACTTTTCTATTTGATATGCTAGGTCCACTATTCCTAGTGTATTTTCCAGCTTTAGCTTCAAAACACAAAGATTTTAAAGCTATTCTCAGAACCAAATTTGGAGACTCATAATGTATGAATTCTCATTGCTTTACTCATATCTTGTGATATCTACATCTCTTGCATTATCCTTGAAAATGACTTTTGGCTCCGTTTCTCCTACTTTTAGTTTCATTAACCTTCGCGAATATTATAGAATCTTTCTGATCTAATACTTAACACTTTGGGAAATTATTGGTGTACTATCTCGGCAACAGGAACCTCCCCCAAGTCGGACAGATTTAAGTTATGACCGGCGGTGTTTTTACACTTCCCATTTTTAATCCTGCACGTAAGTGTTGCGCATCAACGACTTCTTCCCATACATATGATCTGTGTTTGAGCGACTCAAAATGCAGAAAGCCAATTCTCAGATCAAGATCCCTCCATTTTTTAAAAAATCCCGATATTCTATCTCCTTGAAGGTAAAGACTGCCATGCGTAGAAGAATGGCAAGTGAAATAGTCACCATAAACATTTAGTACTATCTTGTTGGGTTTCTTGAGACTAGAAAGAGCATCAGATTGAATTGATTCCCTAGCTAAGCAGTTAAGCTGCGAGCATATATTCAAAAAATGAAGGAATAGGTTGGGTATTCGGCCTTCGGAATTAAAGTGCTTTGAAATCAAAATATTGAAAGCAAACAAACAGTATACCAAAAAGGAAAGAATGAATTAAAAGTTGAGTTTTGTTTGCTCCTTATATGCATATGCACTATATATGCATATGCTGCCAAGATCCCAGGAGGTCAACATATCTCTTCCCCTCCTTTAATTCGGGCTCTTGAATTCCCTGAAAAGGTACTTACACACGTACTTGAGCACATAATTCATCGTTGCCTTCTCATTCTAATCCCAGGGAAATCTCTCCATATTGGACGCAAACATGCGGCCATAAATGAGAAAGGAAGTTCAATTCGTTAATCAGCAAAGCAATTGGTTGTGTATAGGAACGAAGACATACAAACATAACCGTGACGGATTTGAAAATCATCATTTTTTCTTCTTCTTGTTTTGCTGCCTGTACGACTCGCAAATCTGCGACTTCTGCCTATAGCTTCTGCTTGAGTTTAAGGAAATCGGTAATTCTGGTTAAATTGCGAGAGACTCTGTGACGTCACATCTTACCTGGGGATCCGTTACCTCTCGATGTATCCTAAGCTATGTGCTAACCTGCTCATTCGTTCAATCCTCCGTTTGTAACCATCTAGCTATATAGTAGTGTTTCCTGTGGAAGCCACAGTTCTACAGTACTCAGGATGCACTTCAAATATTCTACCAATAATCTTGTTCAAGTTCCCGAGAACTACTTGTTGATCATGATCCATTGTCAAGGCTTCTAATCTTTCAAGCCCATTACAAAAATTATTGATTAAAAGTAAAACTCCCATCTCAAGTTTGATTCAGATTCTAAAATCGAGATTGCTAGAGCTGGAAATTTTCGAGTCGAGTGACCTATGGAATTTCTTCAAGCATTGTGTTTCGTTGTTTTAGTCTACTAAATAAGATAAATAAGGTTGAAAGAAAATAGTTTAGGGGTCACTGACTGCTTCATTAATATTGACAGCCCGGATGAAGAACTTGAAGAATTGGAAATTTTCCGAGACTTGGTTTAGGTCGAGAATTTTGACACAACTACCACTGACTAGCTTCGCTAAGTAATGCACTGACTCGATGCCACAGGACTGGGAGGAGTAACGACGCAGAACATCTTCCATCACCACCAACTCGCGCACTTCAGTCTTCTTTTTCTATCTTTTCACTTACCACCATTTCAATTCTCTTAAATTCACATAAAATCTCAAAATTGAGAAAAGGAACATGGATAATCGTTAGCTATAGAATCAGTATCCTAATTCTATTGCCACCCACTTACAAAAGCTATAATATTTCTTAAAACTTTAAATTCATTTGTTGTAAGATCCTAGAAGAATTCGGGTCTATAATCTGATGCATATCATTATCAACTAATTTAAATTGGAATTAAATACATACATCAATATCTTCAAATTGAACGAGTTTCATGACCTCAACTCCAAATTTTCGGTATATGTTTCTCATTAATAGAAAATCCAATTTATTTATTAAAACGAAATAATATTATTTGATAAACCAAATTTCTCTCTCATACTCGTACTCAAAAGATTGGAATCAATATTTGCCCCCCCCCCCCCCCCCCCCCCCACCTCCCTTGTATTAAACGACTTACTCAATACTTTTACCATCAATTGAAGTTTACAATGTAGATTATTAAATCAATATCATAGTGCACTACAACAGACTATATCCCCCAATATTATTCACAGCTATTATAATAATTCTTCACCAGAAAAATCACCAATCACACACGCTGTTCAACTCCAACTCCAACTCCAACTCAGCATCATTACTATTCTTTCTTTAATTATGATTTTATTAATATTAATAAATATTGGTGAGAAAATACAAATACAATATTGTAAGAAGTACGGAGTATATATATATTTCTTCTATAAAAATCGATATCAAAGTATTTGTATTCATTTTAATAATATTTGGAAAATGCGGAGCTGATGAGTTTGAGGCTCTTGAGGGTACCGAATAGACAGACGGGCGGCGTTTTAGCTGAAAACTAGTCGTATTAGAATAAGAGATTAGCACCACAGAATTATTCATCCAATCATACCTAATGACCATACTTTTCCTAGATGAGGCGGAGGCTTGTCAGTGAAAATTTGAAGGGTAGTATTATTTAGTATTGTATTGTGTATATGCATTTATGATTTATCTTTGATGTCTCTCTTAGCCATCATTCTATACGTGAATCTTCATGATTCTGATTTGAAAATTCCCATACCCATCCCTATATCCCTATCCCTATCCTTAACTTTATTCATATCCATCAACGCCAGCCAACTAGTCATATCATAAGTGAACGCCAACCAAACTCCATCCAGTCCAGTATTGATTAAAAGAAGTCAACATCCTCTCTCTTCCTTTTTCATCGCCCTCACCATAACAACATGACTCTAACCAAATTTCCTCGTTCCACCTTTTTGTCCACCATGAACCGTCTCTCCGGCATTTCCCTTCCCCTTGGTTTCCGCACCCTTTCCATCCTTCGCCTTACTCTTCTTCCCTACACCCAATAACTCCAAATGTCCCGCTTTCGCACCGAGTGTTTTTTCCGTCATAGCTGTTAAGCCTGCTGAGTGTTTCTATTCGAAGACTTCATTAGCAAAGACTCTTATGTTTCATAATTCCAACTCGCGCTTCATCCCCCTACTCAACTAATAAACAACAAATCCGAAATCAGACAGGTACTTGTACTCGTCAAAGAAGCCTCTACTCTTTCGAGGAAGCCACTAGGAAAGCCATGCATATGTAAGTGCGTCATCATATTTCATTCCCCCCCCCGCCCTCCAATCTTTCCTTCCTTTTCTCCCATCCACATCATCCCCATCCCCTACACACAAAACCAAAAACCCCCCCAAAAAACACCCTCAAAATCCACTAACCTTCCTCAAGACCTCACTCCTCCTCAAACCCTCCCTCTTAGCCTTAATAACCCTCTGCCCCTTCTTCGGTCCCAACGCCGCTTTTTTCCCCGCCCCATTCGCTCTATTCCCACCCGCCAAAGCGCTTTTAGTTGATTTGAGAGCACCTTGTACCATCTTGCCTGCTTTCCCTTCTTCTTTCTTCTTTCTCCTTTCTTCTTCCTTCCTTTACCACTTCTTAGTATATTACTGTTGTACTTCCCCTAGATACCTCGCCGTGGAAGTGACGGAGGATACTTCGTTCTGGAACCAAGTCTTCAATTCGATGCTCGAGAAAGTAAGTTTACAAACAATCGACGATAGACACTACGTTCGATAAAATACGTGCTGCAATGTATTGGAATTTGTATTCATGCGTTGGAGTTTCTTCTCCAAGTATGTTATGTTGTTTTGTAATGGCTTGTCGTTTGTCAATCGGTGTAAAGCTTTTCCAAAATATTTTTTTTTATCAAAAGAAGTGGAGAAACTATTTTGCGGAGTGCGGCCGCTAGTGCTTATTCTTTCCTTGGCATTTCGTTGGAAGAGTATTTTTAAGCCTCACATCTTTTGGATCTTTATAATAGACACATTGTGAAAATAATTCCAAGGTTCATTTTGAATTTAGTTTAAAATCATATCATATCATTTATTCATTTCATTTCGTTTCATAATCTAAGAATTTTAATTGTCGAAATTTTTCTGCATAAGCTCTCTTGAATCTTTCATCACACTTCTCTGCCGAATCTCCTCCAACCTATCAACCTAGATACTCACTCAAATGTGCCACTGAATTGTTTTTGAGCCGTTCAAAGTTTTATCTCCACGCCCAAGCTACTGCAAGGTGCCCGCCAGCTCACACAGATTGCAGTTAGTGGACCTAACCACAACACCATTACTTCAACCACGTTGCACCTGCCATGCAACTAACAGGCGTCAAACAGGGAAACTACATCATCATAATTAAAATGAAAATAAGAAATAACCAAGCCGTAAGCGTAAGCATAAGCGTACTTCGATCCAGGAAACCTTGACTTTGAGGAAAAGTCGGAAAGAATCTGAAATTCATTCATCATCAGTCGTCCAATCAATGACCCATTCAATCCTGAAACATCCATTATCCATCATCCATACATTTATCCATTCTATAGCCACGTGAGTCATGATGAATGGAATGATTGACGAAACATCCAAGCCTGCTTGATGCAACGCCGTCGAAAAGAAACACGTGAGAAAAAAGCTGTGCAAAAATAGCATCAACAGAAAAGTACATGCAGAAAAGCAAACCAAACGGAAAATCAGAAAAAAACATTATGTCTTTCCCTCATAATACATGTATCAGTCGTAATTTTGTTGTTTTTCATCCAAATGGCGATGGTGATCCCATCATGTCCAGAAATCGTCCCGATGTGTCGTTTTTCGTTTGCGGAAATTCTTAAAATCATTCATTCATCCCGGGTATACCCATCCTCAAATCGTAAACGTTTCCTCTTCCTTCAAATGACATTTTTTGAGTCTGCACTTCTTGACTCTAAAACCTCATCAACTCCATTCCTCAATTCCCTAGGTCCACTGATAGTGGCTCGCAACTTTGCATTTCTTTGCTCTTTTCTCTTTTCACTGAGTTTTTTCCCGAGTCCTCTCAAACCCACATACTCAATTCTCAAACCTAGTCCAGGAATTGTGTGAACGCGACCTCCATTGCCCTCTTTGAATCCATGTCCAAATTCTCCAGGTCTTGCCTCGCGAAGAATTCTTTGTTCTGCCTCTCGCCTCAATGTATTATTGCTTCTCTGTTTGACAACTCTCAAAGCATTGCCACTAGGAGACCTTCGCATGGTCTTTCGATCCAGCGGAGCTTGATCATAATCATCGTTACCGTAAGATAATGGAAGAATCGCAAATGTGCGCTTGAGTTTCCCACTTAGGCCACGCTTTGGAATTAAACGCCTATTTCCAGGGCGATGATACTCGGGAAAGTAATCTTCTTCGTCATCATCTGAGTCGTTATCGTTTTCTTCTAGATCATCCCAGAAGTTTGCCGGCCTCCAGAATGGATGCAACTTACTATCATCAGCAGGTTGATCAAGGACTGATGGGAAGTGTGTGGAAGGATTTGCCTCTGGCTTCGATGTTTGAGTTGAAGTATCCTTGCGACGACCGCTTATTGAAAATTTACGTTTTAACAAACCTGCATCGGCTATTATAGCCTCCGAATAACGATGGTTGCCAAAAGCACGGCGGAAGGAGAAGTTACGTTTGAGTCTATCTGACGATGAAGGCCGATCATCATAATCTTCGTCTAATCGAGTATCAAAGTCAAAGCCTAGTTGACGTTCTTCCTCTGATCCTGGTGACATGTCAGATGGAGTTGGAGGGATGAATTTGATCGCAGGAGGTCCAGGTGGAGCACGAGGATTCCGCAATGGCGAATCAACTCCATCCATGGTATGTGGATTCTGAGGGGGGGTAACAGGACCATCGGCAGTCTCACCGTTAACCTCAATAGTTGGTTGTTTAATCAATCGTCTCAACGTAGGAGGCGATGGCTCGCTTTCCCGATCTATGACTGTCCATGATTTGTTTTGATGTGGAACCATCGATACTGCCATAGCCTGTGAAATTTCAGCGGTTGTAGCTGTCGTTCCTGCTGTATCACATGATGCTTGTGAAAATGGTGTAGCTTGCGTAGACCTTCTGACATGAGAATGACCTTCGTCTTGATTGTCAATACTCAATCGATTATGATCTATGCTTGAACGAGTATCTTGTGGTTCAATCTCCTTTTCTGAACTGACTGGTCTGGATATTACAACTGGCTCTGACTTGAAGGACTGCCTTTCCTGAAGCATATTGTGAGCTTTGAGACTCTCCGCAGTGAGTGAACCTGCTCTTGAAGTATTACGACTAGTTGGGGCGGAAAGTGAAGATCTTCGGGTCGGGATACTCGGGGGATAATCGGTAGTATGTACAGAGTTGCTTGATCCTGCTGAGTCTGACATTGTGCGTTTCATGGTAGGAGGGAGGATATCGAAGTAACCAGGCTCATTCGTTTTTGAGGACTGTGATAATGGAGCTGACTGGAAGGAATTACTCCTCTTAGTCTTCCGACTACTTGTTGATCGCAAAGATGGAGGTCTAGAAGACTTCGCGGATGACACACGATCTGGGATTACCACGACAGGCACTCCACCATCGCGTATAATCTTCCGGCGCGATTTGTGACTTGAAGCGATGCTCGGAGTAGTATTTGATCTTATGCTTCCATTATGTTTTTCAGGGATTCGTTCGGCTCTATGCACTAAACGATGATGTTGTTCACTTGACTTCTCGGATGGTGGTGCGGAGCTTACAGTAGATTCGTTCGAGTTGAAGTCTCTCAGACCAATTTGCTTTTTGGTGTGGCGAAGAGTTCGTATTCGCGAGGGCGGTGCATCGACGACAAAAGCTTCAACGACTGTAGAAGTTGTCGAACGACTGGACATGGTAGAAAATCGTTTTGTGTCTGACATTGTTGGGGAATCAATAGTGTCTTTCCGTACCCTAGGCCATGTACCACCCTTCAAGGTCGGTTCCACGCTGTCGTTGTCCAATTGATGATGTTCAAAGTTCTCTTGTAAAGGCCATCCTCGAACCACATTTGTCGCTTCTGTCGGTGAAATGAAATTTTCTCCCATCATTTCAACGCTTGTCCGTTCCTCATCAAAGCTCATGTCCATATCGCGGCGTTTTCGAACCGTTACATTCCTCATGAGATTATCATCCCATTCCCGTTCGACTTCGCTTAGATCTCCCGTAGAGACTCCCCATTCTCCATCAAAAACGCTAAATTCTTGTTGTGACAATTCCTGCTGTGACAATTCTTTTTTTGCTTTTGGTGTGGCAGAGCCCTCATTGTCAGATTCTAGACCTAGGCCCAATCCGATATCCCTGCGCGGAATTTGACTTACTTCTGCCCCAGATGTTTTCGCAGATGGTATTCGTGGTCTAACTGTTGAGGTTTCATCCTCAGATGCCTCATCTGAGGAATATTCTCGAGCGGTTCGGAAAGAATCTGACCGCGAAGAAGGATATCGAGAGTTTGCAGGACGGTATGCCAATGGTGGCAGAGTGCGCGGAGGTGTTACATCCGGAGTAGGTGGACTTTGCTGATTTGTTGGTGTGCTTGGTTCTGATTCTACAGCGGAATTTTTTTCAGACGCGACGTCAACGATTGGCGCGGGGGCCACAAAGACACTGCTGGTGCTAGATGATTGCCTCGAGTGTGCTGGTGGAGTTGGAGGAAGTAGGGGAGCGCCAATCCTCTTCGAGGTATGCTTTAGCATGCGTGGATTCGAGTTATCCGAATTAGTTACTGACGTTGCTCCTGCTTCTGTATCTGTGTCTGTATCTGTATCGCTAGATTTGAAATTCTGAGATTGAGTAGGTGTGTCGGTAAGGCGACCTTCCCTAGGATGAGGGAGTATCTTATGCCTCTTCAACAATGTTGATCCTACACTCTGAGCACCATTCGGGGCTTCAAAAGAGCTCCCCAGCTCACGGGATGGCATCCTGAGCCAGTTCGTCGTCTGTGTTATGAGCATAAAGTAGAGTAAAAATGGGGTTCTTTGAAAATGAGTAAAGATCCGGCGAAATCGTTTAAAGTTTTCGAGCTTTTTTGAATCTCAGCAGATCATTATTCTCACGACGAAAAAGATCGGTAATTTGCATGAAGCAGGTAGTCCTCGTGGTATCGGCTTCGTGCAGTATCGCAAGTTGGTAGAGGTAGAAGGCAGAACGGCGAGGTAGGCTGGGTAAGGAGGGTTGTTTTAACGTTGGTGAATGATTAATTGTGGTACACTTGAAAACGCGAGAGGGCAAAAATAGAAATGAAAGGAGATTCGTAAATTCGTGTTGATTCAGTCTGGACTGAGGATGATCGAGATGTGTAGAATTTTATTGGATGCTCCGTGTACAGATTGAGGAGTTTTGAATCAGTATAAATTGCAGGTTGCAGGTCGCAGATCGCTGGTTATGTGTTGCAGGTGGTGCTCCACGAAGCCCTCTCTGATGGGATAGGACTGAGAATCGACAGGTACGTAGCGAAAAAGAAATGGAGCGGAGTATCGGATAGCTGAGAGGGAATCAGAGGATGTGAGGTAGTAAAAGGTGGTAAGCCATCGGTCAATGACAGATGGCCATGCGATGTGCCTAAGAAGAATTAAAGGGAGGAGGGAAAGTTGACGTTGTTCAATTCTGAGTTGGACACATGGAGGTGTGAGATGGAGTGGATGGGAATATTATTTGTTTTTGACGATAATTATTCTTTATTTTGCGGTGCCTCACATAATGAATGATACCTAACCAGTGCTGGATTGAATAGAGTTTTGGGCGGTCTTTAGCGCTCTCATTGGTTGGAAGGCGAGGGATTCAGTGCTTTTTCAAGGCGGACGGAGAGAAAAGCGACTAATAAAGATCAGTACAGGTGTACTTTGTTTGACATTAACGGTGTACTCTGTAATGAACCACCTGGTGAACCTACCTTTCTAGTGACTATCTACACAATCATTCATTTCAATCATCAATTCGAGTTCTAACACCACCACACTATCAAAACAACCCTTTTCTTTACTATTCTACACAATGCACCCATCTCGTGTCACTCACTCGTAAGTTGTAACCAACAGGCAATCACAAATTGACGAATAAGATCTTCAAAGATCTCTCTCGCATATCAATGTAAAGGATTCACATTGTGTGATAGGAAGGAATCCCATGGCTGAGCAAGATTTGGGTTGCAAAGCACCTTTTTTCCTTTTTCTTATTCTTCCTACTGGACTCTGGAGTGGGCGAATTATTGCATTGCATCATGTCTTTCTGCATAAAAGCGTCACGCTCATCATCTTCGGAGCAGGAGAAAAGGGAAAATTGAGATGGCTGGTACCAAAATTGAGTTTCATTGAGATCTGAAAATTATTCACTTGCCTAGTAGTATTTTCCTTGAACCAATTGTACATAAGATCCCTTTTCCCTCGCTCGTCCTTCATTCGTTGATCCCTTCCCAGCCCGCCTTCCAAGAAACTTTCATCATTTTCTTCAGATGAACCACGCTCAAGCCGGGTTCACCATATAACCCGCCAAGATCATCCATCGATTACCGCTATATCTTCTTTTTCTTCCTCTTCTTCTTCTTGTTTATTTATTATATTTATTATAAGATGCTGAAAATACTTACCACAATTCTGTATGAGGAGAACCGTCGCCCCGGGATCTGATTGGCCGGGATGTTTCATTGTCCAGCTGGACTTGACAGTTTGGCGGTGCCGTTGAGGTGCATGAAAAGCCTTCGAAATGCTTTTGGACTTTTCCAAATGGCGAGCCAGACACACCAGAGACCGGCCCAGAAGACGGGAGTCAGCCCCACTAGCGTACCGAGTGTATCCACGTGTTTTAGCCCACCCACCTACCATAATACAGTAATACGTCACTTGGGTTTCGGGTTTTCTTTGGCCGCCGCTTTTTGTGATTGATCAGTGCTGCTATTATCTTATATATCTAGTCTACTATACGGAGTACATACATGGTATATCTGGCTGGTATTTCTAACTTGATTTGCTATATATACTATATGTCTAGCCTTGTTCGTTTTGCACTCCGATACTGAGGTCCTCACATTTATCAAATCTTTCACTGAAGCATTTCACTCTGTCATATTGTCTCCCATGTTTCCACGATTGAAATATATTTAATATCAATCTATATATAACATCACTCAAGGTATATATATACATATGCACTTTCAAATTCCAATCGATGTTTCAAGGAAATGCAAGTGCTCAACTCTTCAAGATTTCCCAACGCTGGTTTGGAACTTGCTCAGCGATCCCTTCAAGATCTGTTGTACCATGCTTAATTCATCCTCATTGGCCAGCCCTTTACCCCAGCTTAGTTGCTGCTTTTCCGGGACTTCCTTACCCCTCCTTTTGATAATGCTCCAAGTTTCTTATCAAAAATCCATGGTATCAGTATCGATTACCTCACCACAACCACTGGTGATTTATCTACCATCCATCTCAAATAATCTGATCTTCATGATTGCATGCGATGCTCAAAACCGAAGACTCTTTATCCAATGGGACAATACCTCATTCTATTATTTTCCGTTTCGTGAACTCTTACGGACTTCCTATCACAGTTACACCACGCTGGTTATCTTTGCATCATGCAGTCTCATATGGTAGCAACTCCAAACTCTTCTGATTCCCATATTTTTCATCCAACCATCATTGCCACTCGATGAAGTGCCAGTTTACCTAAAAAGAATTACGAATCAGCAATAATGTTATTATTCACCATTGCTATCATGTCTGTTGCCGGCCAGATAACCATTATGTCAAGATTCCCCTATCATGTCTTGACAGGATAAGACCATACCCAGAAGTCAGGCCAATTGACCTATGATATCGAATGTCTCGATCTACAATGCATTGAAACTGTGCCAGGACAGACAACCATAAAAGGTGATGGCGGCACCTTTGAAATACACATCTCGTACTTCCTCATTTTTAATTGTTCAATTCTGTCTTTCATGATGTTTGCACACATCACTGCCCTCGCCGCACTTTACGCGGGTGTACTCGCGCATGGTGAGCATGAAGATCAAATTCCAATTGCTGGGCCACACAAATCATTGTGGTATAACACTTTACCAGGAGATGGTGGAACTCAAGTATGTTCATCCATGGAGAGTAGTCTGGAGAGCCAACTGAAAATAATCAGGCCGATTCGGTATTCTCAGGCATCTCGACGTTTGGTAGATTACCATATTCTCCATGCTTAGCAACAGACGATGTGAAATATGACATTGCATTCATCGGTATGTCGTCATGTTACTTGTTATCCTTCAGTTTCTGGTAAGGAAAACGTGAATTGATCTTTTTCAGGGGCTCCATTCGACACCGGAACTTCATACAGACCAGGAGCTCGATTCGGGCCTTCTGGAATTCGACAGGGCTCAAGACGTCTCAATCTCTAGTACGTTTCCATTCTCTACAGTTAACAGAGTACTATCGATCCGTATACATTAACTCACACGTTGCCTGAAAATAGTGGAGGATACAATGTCCCACTAGCCACAAACCCTTTCGATAGTTGGGCAACAGTGATCGATTGTGGGGATATCCCGGTCACATCGTATGTTCACTTGTCCACTTGTCCACATCAACCATATATGTGGTGCTAAACAACTTTCATCTTAGTTATGACAACTCCTGGGCCCTTCATCAAATTGAAGAAGGCCACAACTCAATTCTGTCCCGCGCGCCCGCGACTGACTCTAAGAAGCTCGGGCCCGCAAAAAACGGGAAAACCCTTCCAAGGGTCATCACATTGGGTGGAGATCACACAATTACTCTTCCTCTACTCCGTTCCATCAACCGTGCATATGGTCCTATCTCCGTCGTTCACTTCGACTCACATCTTGATACTTGGAAACCAAAAGTATTTGGTGGAAGTCCATCGAAAGTTGCTTCCATCAACCATGGCACTTATTTCTATCATGCTGCTCAAGAAGGCTTGCTCGCCAACGACACAAATATCCATGCTGGTATTAGGACTACTTTGAGTGGTCCTAGCGACTATGAAAATGATGGCTACTGCGGATTTGAGATTGTGGAAGCAAGAGAAATCGATACGATTGGTATGGATGGTATCATCAAGAAAATCCGAGATCGTGTCGGACTCGAAAACCCCGTTTACTTATCAATTGATATCGATACTTTAGATCCAGCCTGTAAGTCTATCCTGCACCCTCGTATCTTATCCCACAAAATACTAACTCCCCAAAAGTCGCACCCGCAACCGGTACCCCTGAAACAGGCGGCTGGTCCACAAGAGAGCTGAGAACTATCTTAAGGGGATTAGAAGGTCTTAATTTGATAGCGGCGGATATTGTGGAGGTGGCTCCTGCGTATGATACGAATGCTGAACATACTACTATGGCGGCCGCGGATGCACTTTATGAAGTGCTTAGTTTGATGGTTAAGAAAGGGCCGTTGAGTTTGATGATGGGGGGAAAGACGGAGAGTAAAGCGGAAATTTAGAAGAGAGGGATTTGGAGGATTTTTGAGGGTGATAGAGATATTTTTAAGGAGGTTTGTTGGTTTTCGAGGAGTTGTGAGGTGTTGCGAGGTGTAGTGTAGCAAATTGTTGTCGTTTGGCAGAATATAAAAAATACAGTTCGAAATTTCAGAAGCACGAGCTCTATTTGTAACATTTTTCTTGAATTGATGTTGAAATTATTTCTAGTGATTTGATTTATTGTCTAAATGAGAAAAAGAGTTCTATAAAGTAGATGGTATATATTAGTTGATAAGAGTATACTTGTATAAAAATGTTCCTTTCTGTCTGATACTATATTATTTTTGGTAGTATTTAAGGTTTTTGAATATTTGTAGATGTTAAATCATAGATAACGTGGTTTATCACCGAGTGGATCATATCACCGAGTGGATCACTTTCACCTCAACTTACCACTTTAAACTTGTATCATTCAACAACAATTGAATCAATTGATTAAAGCTATTAAGAATCTAATAATCTAGGATCTATTATACTGTTTTGACAAGTTCTTGCATTATGTCCTGTTTTTCTACACTTACTATAGCATCGATTAGAAGATGCTTCCCCATTAGAATTCCCCCCTTTTTGATGCTCGTCGCGTTGAATCTGAATATCAACTTCTTGTTGAGATAATATATCTGCAGCCTCTTGTTCAGTAAGTACTCCTTCTTGACGCAATTGAGTTTTTTTTGTGCGTCGACGTTTGCTTAATGCTATATTTGCCTTTCGAAGTATACGAATCTCTGCATTTAAAAGTATATTCTTATAAGTTAATCTCTTTGTACTTTTAGCTAGAGCTAGTACAATCTCAAATATAGGTGTAGGGAAGCTTGATTGATGACGAGTTATTCGAGATTTTACTAAAGTTGATTGTGAAAAAGCTTTAGTTGGATTGTGAGGGATTTGAGAGATCTATATATCTGGATCGAAAGGAGGAGGGGTAGGCGTATGAATTCGAATATCTAGTTTCGAAAGTATAGCTTCAGGATTAAATGGTATTAGACCTGTTTCTCGGAATCCTGATTTCATATTCTGAGCTGTGATTGATTCTTGATATGCAGCTTTGAAAACTGCAAAGAATTCAACCTTCGATATATGGTTGATATGTGTCTTGATAAATTCATCAATTTGATCACCATATGAAAATTTCAGATTGCTAAAACAGCCAATATCAAGTGGTTGAGTTAAATGACTTGAATACAATGGTAATTTGATATATATAATGTCATTCTCCTTACAATATAATTGAAAAGCTATAGATTCGTGATTTTTATGCTCATCCAATATCAACATTCGATATTTGCTCTTTCTTCGATTCAGAGTATGCTTATTGAAGTGTTTCAATTATTCTAAACCTGTTTCATTGTTTGTCTATCTATTGGAAATAGGTTTAATAGCCCAATCCGCAGGAAAATCGGTTTCGGTATATTAATTGGAAAGATGAATCTATTCTTGAACTATTAGAAATAGGGGTATAATTTTATCCTTTTTATTATCATATATAATCGCTATAGCCCACTCTTTATTGTCTAATTGTATTGCCTTGCTTCTGCTATTTCGTTCAGTACTAATTACAACCATTCCGGGATATATTATATCCATCATAAAGCTGGTTTTGTCGAAATTGTAGAAATCGTAATCGAGAATACTATATTTTGCTTGTATATTCGATATCAATCGAAATCATTCTTCAATAAGCTTGGGATCTTTGCAGAGAGCTCTTTGAAAATCATAAACATAACTAAAACATATCTTTAATACTATATGATGCTTTACGAATCGATGAGCCCAAAGCTTTCCAACTTTCTTCGTACCTCTTGATTCAAGAATATAATTCGCTATATCCTCTATACCTTTAATTTTAGATGGAAACCCTCTATTATCCATATCAAATATATATTAAACAATCATCTTCTCTTTTAACTTTGTAAGATTATAATAATTCGCTCGAGTTTCGATACAGGGAGTAAAACTATTCATTCTGTGATTGAGTGTTGTATATAATAAATTATATAGCTTGGCAGCTTTTTGAATACTGAGTTTTTTGTCTTTTTGAATAGCCTCAATAGCTAAAAGTATTCGAGCTTCTTTATTATTCGATTATATTTCAATTGATTGATAAAACACGTGTTGAAGTAGGAGATCAAGAATTGAGGTGGAAGTGATCCACTCGGTGATATGATCCACTCGGTGATAAACCACGTTAATATTTATTTAGTAATACTACTTTGACTTAAGTGTGTGCGACATAGGTATGAAGCTCACAAGTGACTTTATTAGACTTTGCTGAGTCAGCATATCGATTTGAACTGGATCAGAACTTCTGTTTTCTTGAGCTAATCCAGCTACCCCTTCCATTCTTTTTTACATCCTCGTATTCTAAGATGAAAAAGTTCCACGGATTCAGCTTTGGCAGGTGGGCTTGAAAATTTCGCAGTTCAATTGGTCATGTCGAACATGGTTAACGTTACAACCCACGGTCGGAAGCCATTCGGTCAGCAGAGACATGGCTTCCGATCTTCTCTTCAATCATGTCAAAAAACTAAAAACTTAAACCAAACTTCTGTTTAACTTCAATCCAAAGAATATAACGAGTCAAAATGACTCTCTGTGAATATTGCAGTGCTATCGAATTCGAGATGCTTCGCTGTCCAACTACCGAGGAGTTACGATATCTCAATACAAAATCTGAGGTCCCAGATTGTTATCCCTTCAAGTCATTTATTCATAATCGACAGGCGCCTAAGTTTAGTCTTGGCCCTCATACTCGCATACGACAATCCTCATCTACTTGTTCTTTTTGTTCAGCGATTTGCGATGTTGTCCCTGACCAAAAAGAGAATCCTATCCGTGATCTGGACTCTTTCAAATGTGTGGCATCAATGAAATCTTTTGCTCGTATAGTGCCTATAGAGGCTGAGGCTTGGGATTCTAATCGCGATCTTATGTATCTGTATAGAATTAGTTTATCATGGTATCCAATAGTGGATGGAGAGGAAACTGATGAACCGGGGATTCACAAGACTACTGACGCTGCACCTTGGTATTACATCGAGGATGCTTTCCAAACTTACAATGGAGAGATATATCAGGAGAGCAACAATAATGAGTCTGTCAACCGAAATTCAACGGTCTTCTCTGGGAGGATAAGGCCCAGAGATTGTTGACATCAAACAGCCAGCTCAATGGCTTCAAGAATGTCTTGATAATCACAAGGAGTGTTGTCAGGCAAAACTTGTAGATCGAGGACTTTTAAGGAAAGTCTATTACACGTCGGTCATAAGGTAAATCTACTGACGTTTCTGAACAGTTTGACTCCAATTTTCCGTCTAATTGACGTCCGGGAGAGTAAAATTGTGGAATTTTATAACGCCAATATTGCTTCTTTTGAGTATGCGGCATTAAGTTATGTGTGGGGTGGTACTCAAAGGACACTGCTCTTAAAATCCAACCAGCAAGCGCTCCAAAGGGCTGGATCTCTCACAGGATGTGTTCCAAACACTATCCAGGACGCAATGACATTTTCGCAGCAACTTGGAATCCAATATCTATGGGTCGATGCTCTTTGTATAATTCAAGACAGCGATTCTGATAAAGCCATACAGATTGGTACGATGGGAACTATTTATGCTCATTCAAAGCTTACTCTTATCGCTGCTTCCGGAAAAAATGCCGAAGCCGGCTTACCAGGAATTCAAAATCCTCGAAGGGGCAAACAGACGCAAATCGACATCTCACCAGCGGATACTCGAATTTCCATGAAGCTAATAAGAACTTTACACCCTCACAATAATGGCTACTCATTCTCGCACCAGCTTGAAGATAGTGAATGGAGTTGGAGAGGGTGGACTTTACAAGAACGGGCATTATCAAGACGTAGTATTATTTTCACAGATCAACAGCTTTTCTGGGCATGCAGGAAGTGTCATAGACTTGAAGAAACCTATTGCGAAACTTCATTAGCACATGCAAGCTTCTTCAGACTCCAAGAAACAGAGTATTTCCTTGATACCTCACTCAGGAATTTCTTCGTCTCAAATGATGTCATCGACCAAACTTGGTATAAATTTAGACGTCTAGTTTCGGATTATACTAAGCGTCAGCTAACCAAAGCAGGTGATGCTCATGACGCTTTTCACGCCATACTAGAGCAAGTGAAGCAATTGACCGGCGATAGTTTCCTATGGGGGATACCCACAAGACGCTTTGAGTTGGGACTTTGTTGGGAACCTGGTTCACTACGCGGTGTTAGGAGGAGGAAAGATTTGACGACTTTAGAAACGACTTCCTTAAAGAGAAAAGTGTCGTTTCCGTCTTGGTCTTGGTTGGGTTGGCATGGTGCAATTGATATACGAGTGGAGGCGAGATATAGAGACTTAGGGTAAGTTTCCGTGTCTTGCACCCGAACGAAATTGACAGAAGAGAGAATAACGCCATTCAAAAATCGATGCGTGTAGAATGAATCCCGAAATTGTCTGTTATGTACTCCGAAATTCACCACTTCGACTATTACGAGTTCCAGGAATTTCCTCGGATGTTCCAGGAGCACAAACGACTATTCATCCATCGCAAGCACAACGAATGAGCCCAAATTTTATTGAATTGCAGGACATACCAACACACTGTCCAGAACTAAACATTGACAAACTCAACGATACCCCAGATGATCAACTCATATTCTTCCGAACGGAGGTCGCTCAATTCCAGGTTTCATCAGAACTTATAACGACAAAACACGAAGCTTTAAGAAACACACCATGGGAGCCTGAATACACCTTTTATATCCGTAACATTAGCGACATGAATGGCAATGTGGTTGCACAGATGATATGCAATCAGGAAGATGAAATTTTAGGACAAAAGGAACCTGAATCGCATGGTGGCATCTTTGATTTTATTCTCCTTGCGAACAATGAACCCCCGGATCCAGAATCTAAGCCGTCAAAAATTGTTTTGCAGGTTAAGAGAGAAGATGGCATAATGTATAGAGTTAATAACGCGGAAATACCGGAAGAGGTTTGGGAGAGAATGAACGCGAGAAAGATTTTGGTGGCGCTTGGGTGAGAAGTGGTTGTAAGATTATGGGTTTGAGGTAGTAATGATAGGTAGGGACTAGATCTATGTGTTAAGTGAAATATATTTGTTTTGTCAAGCTGAAAATCTGCAGATAGGACAAGTGGTCTAACACTCATGTTTCAAGTTTCAAAGATAAAAGTAGACAATTTTGTATTTATTTAAACATCAGTAACGCTAATGGGTCGTGATACTAGTAATTACACTCCTCAGTACTGGTTCTGTCGTCTGGGATTATAATAACTGCTTGGGTCTGAACGTGGATCTATACGTGGATCTGTACGTGTATCTAAACGCGGATCATGGCGCGGATCTCGATTCGAGGGATACCCATTAGGATTAATAGTATTCGATCGATGCTGACGATATTGCTCACCACCACTTCCAGAACCGTAACCAGGTGCATAAGTGTTTTGATCGTATCCACCTTGTCGTTCACTTGCACGATATCTTTCTCTTCTATCCCTGTCTGTATCCCTATCCCTATCTCTTTCTCTACCTCCACCTTCCATCCTAACTCCCTGCGTATATTTCTGTTGAGCTTGAATCTGTTTATCCTGAACTTTTTTCTTCTCCTTATATATCATGTACTCCTCTTTCTCCTGAAGTTTCGCTCGTTCCTTCTCATCTAATTCTCTTTCCTTCTGTCTACTTTTCTTCTTCAAACTTGAAGAATTTTCCAGCTTGATGAGACGATCTTTTTCACTCTCATCTTCTCCATCTCGTCTACGATTTCTACCTTCAATTCTATCATCTTTTCTCCGTTGTTCATATCGGATTTCTTCATTCTCATCTTCTCTATATTCTTGTCGTTTACGAGGTTCTTTTTCCCTTCGCGGTTTCTCTTTCTCTTCTTTGAGTCGTGTTTCTTTGAGTCTTGCTTCTCTTCGGGCTTCCTCTTCAGCTTGTAAGCGATCTTCTTCTTTTCCTCGACGGTGGTCTCTAATACGCCGTCCTTCTTCATCTGAATCTTCATCTCGTTCATCCTTCCGACGTCTTTCCTCATGACCTTCTCTCCGTTGTCTCCGTTCCGAATCTCTCCTTCTATCCCCTTCAATATCCACTCTCGAATTTCTTCCCTCATCACCTCGTCGAGAACGATACGGAATTTCAGTATCACGATTCTGACCAGATGAGTCATTTGTAGCTCTCGCTTTACTATTTGATCTCGGTTTAGTACTTCTAGCTCTTGCACGAGGTTTTTCACCCCCTCCTCGAATTTCCCTCTGATCTTCATAATCCCGTGATTTTGGAACGTCTGGAATATCTTTCTTATCTCCGGAAGGTCGTGTAGTTTTCTTCTCCATTTTCGGCGCACTCTCATCTGCAGAAGTATCCCTGCGCCTTCTACTAGAACGCCTCTTCCGCTCAGTACGAGAAGGTGACCGTCTACTTCTTTCCCTGCCACCTGCTTTCTCAGCATCTTTAACGCGCTGTTTCTCTTTTTCCTTCTCCTTCTCCTTTTCCTTCTCCTTCTCCTTCTCCATCTCCTCAGCAGCTCTCTGCGCCTCTCGTCTCTTTTCCTCCGGATTAGGAGGCGCTTTAATATTAAGTCTTTCCCTAAGAGAAGATAACTTGGGTTCCTGAGAAGCGCTCGCTTGGGATTCTTTAGCTTTTTGTTCTGCAGCTTTTTTTTCCCGTTCGAGTATTTCGGCTTGTGCTTGGGCTTGGGCTTGTGCTTCGCGTCTTTTCTTTTCGGGATCGACGGGCCGTTTTAGGTTGTCGAGGGTTCCTTCTAGAGAGAATTTTCCGTCTCCGTTTGAGGGGGTGGGCGCCATGTTTTTTGTAGGTACGTTAGGTTTTGTTGTTAGATGTGGTGATAGAGTTGGGGTTTTTGGTGCTTTGAATGAGCTTTTAGAGATTCAACGAGTCTTCTTTATGTTCAATCTAATCTTTTTTCTCCTCTTTCTTTTTTTTGCAGTAAAATAATTGTTTCATTAAATAAAAATGAGCAGAAAATGTAAAATACAATACTCAAGATCCATACGCTCAAGAGATCGCTCAAGATATACGCGAGTAAATGCGTAGCATAGCTAAAAAACCAACTACGTGACCTGGCTGGCCTGGCTGACCTACCCGGTTCCTTATGCCAAATTCTAACCGCAGTGTGCAGGATGAAAAATACATATGACATGTTCTTCATCATATAATTTTTACGTTTACCAGCTCCCTGTCAAAAGGACTTGGAAATTTATAGTGTTGGTGTTGGTATTGGTATTCTCTAGTGTAACTTTAAACTTATATACAGGTCAGGATGATGAGGCAAGGCCGCAACCTTTTTGAAATTCTGTGTTTCTGATCGTGGAAATAATTATCTACTTATTTATGTTTATTTTCAATTTTGTTATCATATTTTCAATATAGTTCTTTTTTGATTGGCGGGGGGTGGAGAGGGGCCTAGATGTTTAATAGGGAGAAAGAGGGAATCGTTAGTGAAAGTAATAAGTTTATAACAAGTTCACTGGTCCTTTCTGGTAAGAAGTCTTTTTTGAGAAGAGCTGAATGGATAATTAGATCCATGTGTAAATAGATGTAGACAGGAGGTACTATTTCTTTTATCTTGTATAGATTGTTAGGGTTAGGGCTAGGTTGAGATCTTAATATTTAAATCAGTACTAATTATTATTTAAAAACATAACCGAGCAAAAAAATAACATCTTCCTCTCGTAGTCTTTAACCTTTTATTTTGGTATTATATACCTCTAGATTTCTCATACGGAGAGAGAAGAGGTGCGGAGGGAGAGGTATTCGTAAAATCAAAAATATTCATAGGGATTTAACGGCTAACAAGTCGCATCGTATCTGACTGAAACTCCAACATTAATATCACAACAAAGATACCACACCCGGTCTCCAGGTCTCCAATTTGCTGGAGGAAGATGAGTTGTGGTGTGGTCAATGGTCTGCTTATGTAAGTAAGGGATGGGACCACCAACTAGAGTCTCACATCGCTGTTGCGCGGCTAATGTGGTGCAGTTGGTTGCAAGTTGATGGGACGAGTTTTTATTTTCTCTTCTTTTTCTCTGATTGGACTTTTGTTTTATTTTGTATTTTTGGGAAACTTTTGAGAGATATTGATGAGTTTATTTATTATATTAAAAGAAATTGTTTAAAGGTTTAATATAATAAAATGATCATATTACAAAAAGTAAGATCCTACAGTGTAATATCGTCGCTTAAGACTACATAGACAAATTGAAGATTGTATTAATGAAATAAAATCAACTTTTAAATCTTAAAACTAAGAGAATAATATTTATTTTTTTAAATAACAATAAGATAATATTACTGTATATCAAATCTATTAAGATAATCCACTTCTTTAAACACTTTACCAATTTTAGAAGAATAGTAACACTACAAATATTACGTTGTTGATAATTTTGTATTGTATCTAGACAGACACCTGCGGAGACCTTTAGGTTGGGTCGTTGTTTCCAGGCTGGGCCTTATGGAGGATCAAGACCGGGTGTTGATGGAGGCTCTGTTTGGATGTTGCAATTGATTTTAATTGAGATATTTATGATTGGAATAGGTTTTGGGAATGTTTGAGTATAGCGTTTGATAGTGTGAAGGTTTTATGCTACAGCAGCTTTATGAATTGATGACCTAAAAAGCGTTACATGTTTAGATTGTCTAACCGAGTATGAGATTCGTGTAAGTCTGCCGTGAGGGATATACTGACACTAGCACAACATCTTGGGAATGATATTGAATTGGCAATAAATTTATTATAACTTTTGGCTATTCAATGCAGTGGTTCTATACTCAATATGTTCTCAGGATTACGCGTTAATTTAGCAGATAAGGTGGAGGAATTTGAATCTTTCGGTTATGCATTGATTAAAAAGAAATGAATCGAGAATAGAAGAGGCCCAATACCAGCTATATTGCTATGTATGAATACTTGAAAACTACTCGTCGCTCCTGATTTCCCCTTTTCTAATTATCTAGTATAAATACCATTAATAAATTTCTGTGGTGTATTGTCACAGGATTCTTCTGGACACATATCTAGATAAAAGCAGTGTCTGTGATTATTATAAGCATCCATATATAGATGCTTATGTCTTTGACAAATCATTAGATTTAACGATATTAAATGACCGTGTAGATGAATTGAAGTCGTTCACATAGCTTACTTCATTGTCACGCTATTTTACTTGGCATTTTTTGGGAATGACGCTATTATATTCTATGGAAAAAATGAGAGTAACTATCAGAGGATTCAAAACGAGGGTCTAATTTATATTTCTTTGCGATTTTGGAAATTTAAGATTCTTAGTCTTCAACTATTAGATCCTTTAGAAATTTTCACGGTATGTACTTTTGAACGAAAAATTACAATCCCTCAAGACTTCTCCGATTTTCATCATTTCATAAGTTGAATTTCTCATCTCATTCTTTGTGGTTCTTTGTATAACACCCCTTCCCCTCTCTGGATGTCTTGCACGTTCGTTTTCTCTTTTATTCCCTTCTCCTCCACAACCACAACCAGAATCATCAACTCTCCCTCCCATCTTCGCCACACCCATCACACGTCAATTCTCGAAATCACCAACCTTAACCTCATGATTGCCCAGACCAAGGTCATAATCTGCGATATTATTACTACACTACCAACCTAATAACGTGCTTGGAAGCAGTGGAGACCGCTGAACGACTTTTCCTCTTTCGGTACGATCTTCTTTTTCCACCCTCTTCGCCATCTTCTTCGTGTTCGCAGGGCCGCTTTGAGTATTGTTGTGAGTAATCTAGCCACTTACTTGTCCTCTGGAGATTCTTATCTTTTTTCTTTTTTTTTCCTTTTTTGCATAGTTCAAGGGCTGCAATTCAATTATGTATGCTGAATCTGCTGATGGGAACTAGATGTGAGTGTTGTTACTCAGCAGAAGTAAAGGATATATCAAAGTAGACTTGTCTATTAGCTTCAAATTTCAGTCTGCCAACAAGCCAACATGTTGATCATCACCATATGAGGTGAGTTAAGGGACAATAAAACACTCTAGCCGCGGAATACTTTTTGAAGAAAACTTTTCACTTTCCAATACGAATAATTCAATGCATTGTATCGCTACGCACATAAAATAAAAAGGAATAGCGTAGATATTTGCAGAATAACACATGTCTTTCTTTCGAAAGAAATTAATATCACTTGTAAAAACCAACTTAACCGCCGGCCGGGAATGGGTCTCTTGACTCAGTTCAGGACTAATCATTTCTTTAAGTCTATCGGATGGACTATCAATGGTCTTCGATCTTGCAAGAATTTATAAGCCATGGTATTTCTTTTCGTGATAACGGTGAATGCGTGCAATACTGAGATTTAAAAAACTTTAAGAACATTTTAAAGTTTAGGAGACTGCAGGTTTACCATCAGGTCTAAATCCCAGGGACGTTTCCACGACGCAGGATTTACTGGCAGACTTGTCTTTACACATTGACATGAATGTTGCTAACAAAAATGATAGTAATATTAAATGGCCTTAGCACTTGCTACGCCTACTACAATCGTGTTATTTAAAGCCCGCCCATCGTAGTGCAATCAGTATGTCGTGAGACATATTACTAGACGGCTAATAGAGAGAATCTGAGTCTATCCGAAGGATGGTCTGATTGAATGCAGCTATGATGAAATTTCAGTCCACCATGGCAAGCAGCGTTGCTCAGTCCTTCCGGCAGGTGCTACTGAACGAACAATGCTTGAGATTGATATTCAAAAGGCTCTCGATGGCAAACGCCCACTGAAGCCTATTTTGCTGAAAATCAAGAAATATGCGACTTTTTATTGAGGATGCAAAAGTAGATGGTTTGGGAAAATTGGAATTGAATGTGGCATGGTGACCTTGATGCCGATCTGTTATTTCAAAAAGATGGATTGGGCGACTGCACAACTTGCTCTAGACACTAGGGATGCTATGCTGGAGATGGAAGATGTTCTTCATGTGTAACATAAGTTGTTACCACCAGAGGTAAAATGTCGATCATAAATGTGACCCTGTGGGGGTTAACCTATTTTGACGTGAGAATGAATCATCTGAGATTGACTCCTTTTAACTTGAAACTGCTAAATTGACCATGTGCACTTACTTATGCAGCGCGGGGTGAATAGCATGAATGCTGATGCTATTCAAAATCTTGATAGCTTATTACACCAGATTCCCGCCGATAACCACGCGACTCATGATTAAAGTGGGATGTACGTTGCGATGTGCTATTCGGGATAACTCAACATTTATACTTAGGAATGATAGAAAATACAAGATATAGTTCCTGATTGATGCGAAAACATTCATTATCTTGATATGATATTGAATAATATAATTGTTTATTTCTCTCGTTTCATACCTCCTCTTCTCTTTTGGATCCTCAAACAATTCTATTATTCTGATTTAATTCATTCGAAAAGATGACTCGCTGAATAATTTTGACATGGGCATTGTCTTTTAAAGATAAGGCCTCCCTCCACAGGCCCACTTACCGCCTAACAAAGAATCTGGGGTAACTTTAATTTAGCGCCAGAACCTGCGCCACCAAGAATTCAAGTCACCGACTCCAACTTCAAGTACCGAATAAAATCCAAAGATTGATATTCACAACAAGCTATGAAAGAACGGATATTTTTATAATGAATTCCTCGCCGTCGGCTACAGAAGGATCCAGCACATCGCCTGTGATTAGAGATGGTCAACGAGATAGAAGATTTGGAAAACATGGGGCAAAGCGAGGGGTATGTTGCAACAGGTCTTGCGCAACAGACTAGCTTAGGAACTAATTCATGTCGCATCACAATAGAAATTACGGAACGGAACTTTTGTGTTACCCAGTACTGGGGAACGGGTTCGCAGACAAATCACGCTGCGAAGTCCATCAGGCTTTGACGGGCCGGCGCGACAATACACATACGATGAAGGGTTGGGTTTGGGCCTGAACTTGAGGAGAGAAGATACAAATATATTCCAGAAAAGTTGGTCCTATTGTGCTGAATCCTGGAAGGAATTTTTGAAATGGTTACAATCACCTGTTGGGAAGGGAATAGTGAAATGCTCGTTGGCATACACATTTGGAAGTTTGGCGACTTTCTCACCATACCTGGCGAATTTTCTAGGGCACCAAGATGGAAAACATATGGTGGCTACAATCACGGTCTATTTCCATCCTGCGAGATCATCGGGATCTATGATTGAAGCAGCTATACTAGGTATCTCGGCATTCCTATACGCAGTCTTCATATCTGTATCGAGTATGGCGGTCTCGGTATACTGCGAAACGCAATTGGGTCTAATAGAGCTCGGTTATGCCTTCATACTTATATTGTTTTGTGGAGGAGGCCTCGGATTCATTGGTTGGTTCAAGCAAGCCTACAATGCTCCATTGGTTAGTGTTGCTTGTAGTCTGGCAAGTTTGGCAATCATTACGGTTCTCACAAAAGAAAATGCGGTTCAAGTAGGTGTTTTTTCGGACGATAAAATCGTTCAAGTGATGAAAATGGTTATCATGGGAATGGTTTCGACGTCAATTGTTAGTTTATTAGTAAGTTGATACCCATTAAACGTCCTCTAAAACCAATTATTGACTCATTAAAGGTATGGCCGATATCCGCGCGAACAGAGCTTCGAGAGAGTATGATCAAAACTACTGATTCCTTTGGAGATATGCTTACTATGATCACTCGAGGCTTTCTCAGTGGTGCGGAAACTGATTTGAGCTCAACTACCTTCGACCGGGCTCAGAAGCAGTATAAATCAGTATCTACCCAGCTCACAAACAACTTAAAAGAGGCAAAGCTGGAACATTATGTTCTAGGCACAGAAAACCAATATGCAATTGAGGCAAGGCTTGTCTGTTGCATGCAAACACTTGCTCAATCCATTGGAGGTCTACGAAGTGCTGCGTTGACACAATTTTCATTGCTTCAAGAACCCACAATAAGTAGCGCAACACCCACAGGCTCACATGGGTTCCCGTCGTCTCAAATATATCCCGTTAGTCGACCTATCAGTAGCAAATCAGATCGATTTGCAGTTCTTGGAGCTATTGAGGAAGCATCAGAAGAAGGGAGTGATCTTGACGCCGTTTCAGAAAGACCCAAGTTTCTTACTCGGCAAGGTACAGAGACCACACTATCTAGTATCGCTATGCCTACAGTTCGAACACCTTCGGAAATCTTTGGAAGATTTATCCTTCATCTTGGCCCGTCGATGAAGTCGCTCGCATATACTCTGTCGCAGATATTAGAAGAACTACCATTTGCCGAAGGCCCTGACTACCGCATCACTATAAACGAACATTTCAGATCAAGTTTGACCGAAGCATTGTAAGATGCCTAGATTTCTATTTTGGTATAGCCACTAACACACTTTTGTAGAAAACTTTACACCAACGCGAGAGCTCAGGCACTTCAAGAACTTTATAAATCAAAAGAGCTCGATAAGACACGCCCGGAGAGCATTGAAGCTGATTTCGAAGAGGTTGCTGCAAGCTGCGGCCATTTTAGTTTCAATCTGCAAGATTTTGCAAGCGAAATGCAGAACTATTTAGCAATTTTAGAAGAGTTGAAGGAAGAAGTGGAACGACCAAAGCATCGTTCGTGGAGATGGTTGATGTTTTGGCGGAAGTCCAAGCGTCAATCGGAATCAGATGCTATCGACAATGAAGAACAGGAACAACTTATTGCGAGGGATGTAGGGGATGAATTGCCAAAAGATATTCCTGATCCTTTAACTACTAGACTTGGATATAGCAAGGTAGAAATCGCTGCTAAGATCAACCCGGGAACCAAGGGCGGTGTCATACGACGAAAGGCAATGCTTATGATACGGTTCCTGGATCGTGATGATAGTAAGTTTTGTCCAGAATCAGTTTGTAAATTCCTTCTTACCAATTTTTAGTTCGATTTGCTGTGAAGGTTGGCCTTGGAGCAGCTCTTTATGCTCTTTTTGCTTTCATTCCCGGAACAAGACCAAAATATCAGCATTATCGAGGAGAATGGGGACTTTTGTCTTACATGTTGGTGTGCAGCATGACAATTGGAGCATCTAATACGACGGGTTGGGCTCGTTTCATTGGTACTTTCATTGGTGCTGTAATCGCATGTGTTATATGGGTCATTTGTGTCGGTAATCCTTACGCTCTAGCTTTTTGCGGATGGGTGGTCAGTTTACCTTGTTTTTACATCATCATTGCAAAAGGTAATGGTCCGTTTGGTCGCTTCATCATGCTTACCTACAATTTATCTTGTTTATACGCATATTCTTTATCAGTTAAGGACTCCGACCACGACGATGATGAAGGTGGTGTTAGACCCATCATCACCGAGATTGCCTTTCACAGAGTCGTTGCGGTTCTTGCAGGTTGTATCTGGGGTTTGATCATCACAAGAGTGGTATGGCCAATTTCAGCAAGACAAAAGTTCAAAGAAGGTCTATCTCTTCTGTGGTTACGGATGGGGCTTGTTTGGAAGAGAGATCCTCTATCGACGATTGTAGAAGGCGAACCTCAATATTCGTATATGAATTTGAGAGAGGAGTTCGAATTTCAAAGATACGTATTTGTATTGGACAAACTTCGAAGTGCAGCCGCAAGCGAATTTGAGCTTCGAGGTCCATTCCCATCCGCGACTTATGGGCGAATAGTCGAATCTACGACTAAAATGCTGGATGCATTTCATGCTATGAATGTAGTCATCCAAAAGAATGCTGAAGCTAGCGAAGGTGAAGCTTTATTATTGAAGTACACAGAAGAGGAGAGAGCACAACTTTGTGCAAGAATTAGTCATTTGTTTCAAGGTTTGTCGTTTAATGTCCATCAGTACCTCACAGAATGCTAATAATAAATAGTTATGGCCTCCTCAATGAAGCTCGAATATCCTCTCTTAGCGGATAATCTTCCCAGCACGGCTAACGCCCGCGATCGTCTCTTAGCAAAAATCTTTCAATTTAGAAGACAAATATCGATTAGTAATCGTCGTAGTAATGAGGACGATGTACGCGCACAAGACGATGATGAAGATGAGTTGCCGATATCTTTAGGGTTGGGATTGCAAGGGAGTGGTTTGCAAGAAAGACTTGATCAGGAAATCACAGTGAAAGATTTAGATTATGAAATCTTATATGCTTTCATTTTGGTGACGAGACAATTGGCGGAAGAAATTGGAAAGGTGCAGAGAGAAGTGGAGTTGTTGTTTGGAGTGTTGGATGAGAGGGTTTTGGAGTTGAGGTGAGGGGAAGGAGAGGAGGGGAGGGGAGGGAGGGGAATTGATGGTGGCTGGATTGAGATGAAATGTCCTCTGGTAAAAAAATTCTCGCCAGACAACGGGAAAAGAAGAAGAGCTTCGACAAAAGATGAGAAGATGCGCATTAATTCAGGGGACACAGTCCCACAAATGAACTCCTGCATTGCGCGGTGTTTTCTCATCAGGTTTCTAGGGTTTCCTCCTAGTATCTAGGTAGTAATATTAATCGGTCTAGTATGGAGTTTGGCGATGATTCTTTTTTAAAGAAAAAGGTTATAAGGAATCACAATGGGCGGGAAGGGAATGGGATGGAATGGAGTGGGATAAAAATATTAAGGAATGGAAAATAATTATATAATAGGATTATTAATTACAAATTACAGATTACAAGTATGAAAATTTGTGAATTATAAAAGGCTTTCTGTTAAGTAGATAGGTAGGTAGGTAGATAGATGAACAAATACTCTGAGGAATTTCCTATCTTTCCAGGATTTATTTTGTAAGACCCCATCTTTCGATTCACGAATTTCTTAAGTGTACTAAAAGAAGTTTATTATGGATACCTACGAGGTAACGTAATTTATCACCGAGTGGGCCATATCACCGAGTGGGCCATATCACCGAGTGGGCCATATCACCGAGTGGGCCACTTTCACCTCAATTCACACTCTTCATATTCAACACGCGTTTTATCAACCATTTATTATGTAATCTACAAATGAAGAAGCACGTTTACTCTTAGTTATCGAAGCTTTTCAAAAAGATAAAAAACTAAGCATTCGGAAGGCTGCTCAACTATATAATATACCTCGCACAACGATCAGCCACAGAATGGATGGTTTAACTCCATGTACAGAAACTCGAGCGAACTGCCATAAGATTACACAATTGGAAGAGAAAGTGATTGTTGAATATATACTTGATATGGATCGAAGAGGATTTCCACCTAAAATCAAGGGTGTAGAAGATATGGCGAATTATATTCTTGAATCAAGAAGTGCGAAGAAAGTTGGAAAGCTCTAGGCTCATCGATTCGTAAAGCATTATACAAAATTAAAGACATATTTTAGTTGTGCTTATAACTTTCAAAGAGCTCTCTGTAAAGATCCTAAGCTTCTTGAGGAGTAGTTTCGATTAGTATCGAATATGCAAGCAAAATATAGTATTCTGGATTGCGATTTCTATAATTTCGACGAAACAGGCTTTATGATGGGGATTATAAGTGTTGCAATGGTTGTAACTGATGTTGAACGATGAGGTAGAGGTAAAGCAGTACAACTAGGCAATCGAGAATGGGCTATAGCAATTATATGTGGTAATGGGGAGGGTGAAACTATACCTCCATTTCTGGTAGTTCAAGGACAAATCCATCTTTCCAATTGGTACACCGAAACCGATTTTCCTGCGGATTGGGCTATCAAACCTACTTCCAATGGATAGACGAATAATAAGATAGGATTAGAATAATTAAAGCATTTCGATAAATATACGATTCATTGAAGAAAGGGCAAATATCGAATATTAATATTAAATAGATACAAAAGTCATAAATCAATATCTTTTCAATCATATTGCAAGGCAAATGATATTATATATAAGATTACTATTGCATTTAAGTCATTTAATTCAATCACTTGATATTAGGTGTTTTAGTGTGCTAAAACACTCGTATGATTGTCAAATTGATGGATTTATCAAGGCATATATCAATCATATCTCCAAAATTGAATTCTTTATAGCTTTTAAAGCTGTATATCAAGAATCAATTACAATTCAGAATATGAAAGCTGGGTTTTGAGAAGCTGGATTAATACCATTTAATCCCGAAGCTATACTCTCAAAATTAGATATTCGAATTCATACACCTACTCCTCCTCCTTTCGATTTGGATCTTTGGATCTCTCAAATTCTTCACAATCCAACTGAAGCTTTTTCTCAATCAACTTTAGTAAAATCTCGAATATCTCGTTATCAATCAAGCTCTTTTACATCTATATTCGAAACTGTACTAGCTTTAGCTAAAGGCATAGAAAGATTGGCATATGAAAATACACTTTTAAGTACAGAAAACCGTACACTTCGGAAGGCAAATGAGGCATTAAGCAAACATCGATATGCAAAAAAAACTCAGTTACAGCAAGGAGGAGTACTTACTGGACAAGAAGCTATAGATATATTATCTCAGCAAGAGGTTGATATTCAGATTCAACGCGACGAGCGTCAAAATGGGGGGAATTCTAATGGGGAAGCATCTTCTAGTAGATGCTGTAGTAAGTGTGGAAAGCCAGATTATAATTCAAGAACTTGTCAAATCAATATAATAGATCCTAGATTATTAGATTCCTAATAGTTTCAATCAATTGATTCAATTGTTGTTGAATAATATGTACTTGAAAGTGTAAATTGAGGTGAAAGTGGCCCACTCGGTGATAAATTACGTTATACTTAAGAATATCAAGACTTATTCTTAAACGACAAAAGTTCACCGGGGGTTTTATATATATAAGACTTACTAGGTGAGACTGATATTTATTTTATATTATTTTATTAACAATCCTCGATAAGTCTGTCTTTCACGTTGTATACGTAAGACTTGGATGAGAAAATTATAAACAAAGTTTCAAATTTGAATTTGAATTCCCAAGCTCGTGTAATCTTATATGAAGTACTGAAAAGCATAGTGAAATCATTTATTCATCGTACATACATACATACATACATCTACATAGTAATTCGAATTATCACTAGAGATAATTCATAGTAAGTAGGTATCCTATATAATCTTAATATCATAGACACCTATTTGCCGCTTCCAATTTTTATTACATCCACCCCTCGGTACGTTGCCTCCATTCGCTGTTCATTTCACCTGCTTCAATTTCATAAGTACCGGTATCGTATCTTTTCTCGCATCTTTCTCGTAACGAACTAGAAAACCTAAGTAGCTTCCTCGCCATTGTCCTCTGTATTAGCCACCTTGGCCTTTTTCTCCTTTCCTCCATCACTACTTTCACCCTCGGCTTCTGGCTCTTCTTCTGCTTTTCTCTTCGAACCTGCCTGTATTGGTAAATCTTTGATTTCCTTTTTCTTGTGTCTAACTAAACCTGTTAGATCCGTGGCTGTCTTTTTAGCTTCTTCAACGCGTGCTGCGGTGTCGGAGGCAGATTCGCCGAGGATGTTTCCTAGAATGCCACTTATGGCATTGGATTGAGGTGCGCCGGCTGGAGCGAGAGCTGCAGCAACGGCTTGATTGATATCAACCGGTGGAGCGCGGAGCTCTTTTAGCTGTGGAATAGTAGTGTTAGCGGATATCGCGCGGTAAGAGTCAAGGAGTCAAAGTGTACGAGGGGAAAGGGGCAGCGTACACGAAGCTCCATATCCGCAACAATACTCTTAACGTCGGCAATTCTGTGTCTCGTAACATCGTTGTCTTCTGCGACAGCTGTTTCTGCCAATTCAACTTCCTGGTTATGTAACTTAAGTTTTGTACTCTTGATTGCGAGTTCTAGTTCTTTAACAGCTTCCGCTCTCATTTCCTCATCGACGTTTTCGGCTCCTGCATTGGGCTTCTTCTCATCCGTTTCGGTGTGTGTAATGGATGCAAATTCGAGCGCGAGGGATAGTTTGTAATGAGCTTCGGCGATTTGTTCATCTTCTTCTGGGAATAGACTTTCTTTTAGAGCGAGGGATTCCCTGAAGTCTGATACCGCAGCTGGGAACCTATAAGATTATTAGCAATTGATCGGACTTCATAGCAGTGACTTTCTGACCTTTCATTTTCAAGGGATATCTCCCCTAAAAGATCGCGCGTATCCGCAAGCCTCTCTTTTATATGAGTAGTCATAGCAGTATCACCGGTTCCCTTTCCTTTGCCCTCGCCTTCATCCGCTTGCAACCTCTTCTCAAACAGCACACGCGCCAAATCCAAAATATCGAAAGCAAGATTAAGAGGATCATCCTCCTCTTCATCATCCTCTCCGTCTGCCTCTTCCTCTTCATCTGAGTCTTCAAAATTTTCATCTCCCGTAAAGGTAAATAAAGGCTTCTTTGGATCCGTACTAGCACTATCCTCTTTCTTGGTTGCGCCTCCATTTGCGATTATCGCAACCGCTTCTTCTGCCACTTCATCGGCCTTTTCTTCCGCTTTTGTCTTCACAGTCTCATCCTTCTTCTCTACTTCCAACTTCACAGTCTCGTCTTCTTCCTCGATAGTATCTACTTTCTTTCCACCATTCTTCTTTTTCGGTTTTTGTTTCTCACCACCAGCCCTACCACCTAAAACATCACTTTGTTGTTGCGCGACCTTGAATAGTGCTCTTCCGTACAAGAACAGAATTTCTGCATTCTCTGGTGCCATTTCTCCATTGATTTCAGCTTGCAATTCCGAGGCCTGCGCATAGTGGTCTACGGCATCTTCGTAACGCTTTTGTGCATACTCGGCGGTTCCTTTAGCGCAATATTCGGCAAGTGATACTTTAGCAGAATTATAGGCTTCAAGATCCGCAGCTGCTTGTTGGGATACGGTGATGGGTGGTTCAATTGGTTCCGCCATTGTGTCTAAGGTGATTGACTATGTATTTGAGAGATGCGATGGAGAAATTGATAGAGCTTTGTAGAAGGAGGATATATCAATTAAATAGAAAATGCAATTCCTCAACAGTCCAAGATGGAATTATGATGAGATCTAAAAAATTGTATTTGCGACAGATAAATAGGTTGATAGTTTGTTTTTGAAGCTTCGAAAAGTCGTAAGACATTGAAGCAATGAAAGTTGCAGGGATTACGAGAGCTTTACGCGAACATAGAAACCACTTTACGCGTCAAAACGCGTCTCACAAGCCTTGACCAAAATATCGATATATGTAGAAAGCTTACTCGAGTATATGAATTCATGAAATAAATAATTGAGGACGATTAACAACTAATATCAATGGAAACTTTAAAACTTGACTTGGAAATATGAGTCGTCCAAATCCTATACCGAAATCAAATACTGCTTCAATTTTCAGACCTCCTGCTACCCCCACTACCAATATAAATCCTATTCCCTCCTCGTCACCCGCATTCGCAACTCCAGTACATCCTATACGACCATTCAATGCCGCTGCAGTTCCCCTACCGAAAGCGAGTATTCTTCCAATTCTCCTGCCACCTGCAACATTAAGACCTTTGGCTTTTCGGACTTTCACAAAAAAGCATAGTTTGACTTTGACGTCGTCTGCTTTGCAAGTATTAGCTACTTTCATTGGGAAGCATTGTGGGACAGGATGGAGGGAAGAAGGATTGGCAGAGAGGGTGTTGGAGGAGGTTGCAAAAAGTTGGAAGAATAGGAGTGGTGGTGTTATTGTCGATGGAGAAGGAACAGAACTGAAAGAGATTTTAAAAGCCTTGGAGGGGAATATGAGTGGTGGGAGGATAGTTGTAGGAAGGGAATTAAGCCGGCAGAATAGTCTGGTTTTGGGATCATCACAGCATGGGGAGGTTAGTCATACTAGACTTGGATTACGGCCAGGGAATATACAAAGAGAAGAGAGTCAATCGAGTCTGGGAATGTCAATGTTAGAGGTGGATGACGAGGAAGATGAAGACGGTCTGAGGGATCCAAGGAGGTGGCTGAAGGTTATTGATGCTTTTGAGCAACCTCGATTGATATACAATGTTGCTAAGAAGCACTTTGATAGGTATGTTACAATAATGGGATTTCTGAAAAAGCCACTAACTCGACACAGGGATACCTCTAAGCCCTCCTTATTCCCTCCTGCGTCCCATAAAACACTCATGTTCCAAAACCGTTATAATGTAATCCATCAACGTCTCCTACGGAATGAATCCTTCCAAACGCCCTCTTTTCAAGGCGGAAAAGCCTCTCTTCAACGCAGCACTTCCGCTATTGCCTCTCCACAGCAATCATATAAATTAACGCCGATAGCCAACCTTCTCGGCCGCAACCGCAGCAACCACATGCTTCTCGGTCTCCTTAGTATTTCTCCGACTGGTACCCTTGCAATCAATGACCTAACGGGCACTATTGCTCTTGATCTCACACACGCGAAAGCCATCCCTGAAGATGGCGCCTGGTTCGTACCTGGGATGATCGTACTGGTAGACGGTACATATGAGGAGGATGAAACTGGATCATCGTCTCGCCTTGGTGGAAATGGAGGGGTAGGCGGTACTATTTCTGGTAAATTTATCGGCTTCACTATTGGACATCCTCCTCCCGAACGTCGTCACGTCACTTTAAGCACAGCCGGTGAAGGAGATACTACTGCCGGTGGCGGTTTCGGTTGGGTAGATTTTCTTGGTGTAGGAAGTTCTCGGGCCCTAGGTACCAAAATGCAACGACTCGAGCAGAAGCTTCTTCGACCTCCTCCCCGCTCTTCAGATACAGACGAGCCCCCGCTTCCATCTAAAGGCCGTGTGGTTATTCTCGGCGATGTACACCTTGATATCCCCCAAACTCTTCAAGCCTTGAAAAAAATCCTCTCCCTTTATTCATCTGAACCAGAAGGGTGCACACCTATGACTTTTATCCTACTAGGCTCCTTTGTCTCCCATGCCGTACTATCACGTGGCGGATCGGGAGGTTCTATAGAATATAAAGAATATTTCGACTCACTTGCCGCCGTTCTCTCAGAATATCCTACTCTCCTTAGTACCGCAACATTCATATTCATACCCGGCCCCAACGACGCATGGGTTTCGGCGTTCTCATCAGGCTCCTCTGTCCCTTTACCCAGAAAGCCCGTGCCAGAAATGTTCACGTCCCGTATAATACGCGCATTTGCGAGCGCCAATACCGAAGTGGAGAAGGAAAAGGGGAAAAAAGGTGATGGAGAAGCAATCTGGACAAGTAATCCCGCAAGAGTCAGTCTATTCGGTATGAGTTGCGAGTTAGTAGTATTCCGAGACGACATCAGCGGACGTCTCCGACGAACAGCCGTCAACCTCAACTCATCCAAAAAGCCCACAACTGAAAACGACGAAGATGAAGATATAGACATGTCACCACCCCCTTCCTCTCCTCCCTCCTCCACCCCTCCTCCAGAAATCGATCACGATATCCATGCTGCGCGTCGTCTCACCAAAACCCTCCTCGATCAAGGACATCTCTCACCCTTTCCCCTCAACATCGCACCCCAACATTGGGATTTCTCAAACGCGTTGAGTATCTACCCATTACCTACAGCCATTATCCTATGTGATGTGGATAGTCCAGCCTTTTGCTTAACGTACGAAGGATGCCATGTCATGAATCCTGGGAGTCTAGTGGCAAGGGGGCGAAGGGGTATGGCGAGGTGGGTCGAGTATGATGTTTGGGGGCGGATGGGAAAAGTTAGAGAGGTGGGGTTTTAGGCATTTTAGGTTTATTTTTGCGGGAAACTGAATAGTCCGGTCTTATATCGGACTTGGGTTTTAAGTACTCATTTTCTTTTTTATCTTCCTTTGTGCCTCGCCACAGGTCACATTGTGTGCCTTTTCGTCTGAGTGACTCAGGGATGAAGTAGACGATTCCTACATCGTCGAAAATTGGAGTTGGGAGTTAGATGCGAGCGGAATGGGATCAATGAGTACCATTATAAACTCATGAGCAATTTTCAGGATATATTCACATGACCAAAATATGATAGTAAATAAAAACATTTGTAGTCTTACTGCGACATTTAGCACTAGTTAAAATACTATTACCTATGTTGTTGAATCTTGTCAAATTGCAATTTTCCATCCCCATGTCATCCCGACCAGATGTAACCCAGAATTACACTACTATCCTCCCTAGCATTGTCATCTGATCCACATAATGGAAGACATGCACGTGAATGCATATATTTTCATTCCCAATCCTCTGTCTTTGCCTACCGAGTTCAACAGTTACGTACAGATAATAGCCAGTAGCCTAAGCGACACATACTTGCGATCTCAAGGTCCTACGATAGCCGCATGACTGACTAAGCTCAGCCTTAAATCTCCTAAATATCAAAGGCTCAACAGGCATGTTCATCCCTCCACAAATTCCCAAAGCTGTGTGGCCCTGTCGTTATGTAAGCTCGACTGTTGAATCTTTAATGTCCCATTCGCCAATGACGCCATATCCTGTAGCTTGAATCCCAATCATCTGTTCATGGTATCGAATAGTATAGATATTCGTAATAAAGAGTATTTAAAGAGCAGCACTCGATGGTGTAGTACTACTGCTACCACGTAAATGTGATGAAGAGCCTTTGAAAAGTGATTGCCATACGAATGCTTCTCCCAGAAGCATGTTTATGTCAGTTTCCGTCCAGTTTCGAGTCGGTAGCGCCTGAAGAAACATCATGATTTCTTGGAAATCCATTTTCAATAGTTTAGAAGACCACTTCACGAGAAATGCTAGGCACACATATAAATGAAATTCTGAAAAGCCTTGCTCTTCAGCCTAAAAATTCGTTAGTAGTGGGAAAAAAGGGTGTGTTTGCTACTGACCAGATAAGTGTCCCACATCCTAATAGTATTCTGAACACTGATCTCTCGCATCAAGAGACAATTCATCCACCGAAAGCTAAACTGTATAAACTCAACACCTTCTGCTTGAAGATGCTTAGCTAGAGGTTCATCGATCCTTGCTGTTAAATCTCGGAGCGACGCCACCTGACGTTGGATCCCTGGTTGCGCAAAGATATAATTGTCCTGAATGCCATCCAAAAGCTTCGTCAAACACCAAAAGGAATCTGCTTCAACTGCGTCTAATACTGGTTTGGGAAGCTGTCCTGGATCCATACCACTCTCTACATCTGAATCTGCGATATAGGTAGCTAGGAAGACTTGCCAGAATGGAGTCACAAGATCGTTGATGCCTTGCACATAACCACTAGCAGGATGACGTATTGCCCATACGTAAAGTATTCGTTCTAAGGATCGTTGTGTAGCTTCATAACTGTAAAGCTCTAAATGCGGATTAGTTCTTGGTACATCAATACTGATTTGGTGCCAAATTGCTTCGTCGAGGCCCCTAGCTTTCCCAGTCGAGGCAGAACTAGTGCCGCCTTTCTCGAAAGCTTGTCGTACCCCGTCAAGATATTCCTTTCGTTTCCGTTCCAATGTGCCCACACGTCTTTCGCTGCTAGTAGGGAGATACCCAAGTAGCAGTTGCCATGACATTGCGCGAACTTCTTCTGGTATTCCGTTCCAAGAGGCATCTCTAAGTTCGGTTAAAGGAATGGAGGTAGCTTGTAATATCTTCTTAAATTTATTTATTCTTGTTATCCGAGCACCGTGTGCTTCGACTTCTTTTGAAGTAGCGTTGGGTGTTACTGGTGGGTGATCTATTAGGTGTAGAGAATTGGCGGGATCTCGAAGTATTTCTTTGTATTGAGGCCGGAGTATCTTGCCTTCGCTCTTTTTCGCAACCGGGTAACTTGGCGCAGGCCTTTCGATCGCGATGTCTGCACTGTTTGACATTCTTCGCGATCCTGACCCCACTGCACTCGCGCCAAAGCTAGAGCGCCATGGAGCAATATTGCCTTCATCAAGCGCGGTACCAGCCGACGCACTTTTCAGTCGGCTCTGATTTTTGCGCTTCTTGCTAGATATACTCGGAAGGCCAAAATCGTCCCCGTCGTCATCCTCGTAACCGTATTCATCCTCTTCTTCTTCTTCGTCGTCGGCGGCCCAATCGTTATTCGTATGTGATATGAAATCTGTATAGGATCTACGAGGTGGTGGGGACAACGTTGCCGGGCCTCGTTGCGGAGGAGTATCGCTTCGATGTTTATGCGAGGGAATTGATGGGGGTGTCCTGGGGCGCGAGGTGTTGGATAATGATCTAACCATAGGTTAGCTGGCGTTTCCAACGATGAAGGCAATATGGAACGTGCAAGTTATCAAACTTCAGTATGTCAGCATGAGAGTATCCAGCTCCCACAACAAGTCCAGCTCCCGACTCGCTACTTGGTTTCTTTGGAGATGCATCAGCGCGTCCACTTGCTGTTCGAGCACGCCAGAAAGGAGATGATGATCTGTTCATGTCAGTCCTTGGTATTTATAATCCGACACCACAAATTGAAGCTTCTGCTAGGCGTGGCGCAAAGAGATCTCGATTGGGAACGTACTCAGCACGCTCTGTAATGCAGGGTTAGATATCAGTCAAGTAAGAGAAGTAGAAAACGCATAATTGAACATGCAGAACTTTGCGCATGCTTCAAAATAGAAAGGTGTGGGGAGGGATCAAACTGACCAACCTGAACCATCTCCTACAGTAGTGGCTCGAGTCAGCTACATAAACCAGGGAGTTGGAATGGTGTTATCGCATACCTGTTGGACTGGTTTTTTGTTACCATTCGAAGAAGAGAACATCTTCACAGCCCCTCTGAGAATAATTAGATTTTAATATTTCGTTTTCATTCCTTAGAGCATTGCAGTCCTCTTCTGCCATCCAAAACGCAGTACTGTAGCAATGTTTGGTGTTGTGTTGCGCGGGCTTCAGGCGGGGAAATTCCCCGCTAGCCTTGGAATTCGGTACGCTAAAAATATGCTAAGGCGGAACGGACCAGGGCGCGCAATTCAAATGTTATTGGGGAAAGAGGAGGACCTTGAATCCATTCACTCTCACTGGATTTCCTATATCAATTTCTTTATCAATCTACTGCTACTGCTACTCCTACAGTCCTACTTCGATTTCAATCTCAAGACAAAAGCTCCATCAACTTGTCTCTTTACATTTCTGAATACTACCAGTGTTTGCGATCAAAGACAACTGCAACCTTTTCACAAAGCTTCTTTAACGAGAAGTGCACGAAGCTGCTCATCCGTCTATTGACGTTTGGCTAAATCTAACAAGATACTTCACAGATTATAGATCGATTCATCATGGCTGAAGCCGAAAACTTTGAGGAAGATCTCTTCGCTGATTTGTATGTACAATCCATCTTACAGTTGTGTTGTTTCCATTATTACTTGGCGGTCGCACATTTATCAACACGTCGCAAAACCTCCAGCTGATACATTGCTTTAAGGTATACCGAAGACGACAACGCCGCAAATCCAGCAGAGGCAGTACCTGAACCTATTGCCCAACCTTCAGCCCCTGCTACAGAATTAAAAGCTGAAGTGAAACCCGAACAAGATATTGAACAGAATCCACAAGACGGGGATGGAGATGGAGATCAGCAGATGTATAACGGTGAACAAGACATGGATGATGAAATAGATTTCAATTTGGGAAGCGGGAATGATAATGGGAATGGCACTGGTTATGATGCTCCTTCAACTAGAGATGAAGCACAGGGACCGGGTATCAAGGAAGATGGGTAAGATTGCAGAATTTTTCTTTAGAACTTCACCATTTACTATATTTCAAACCTGCAACATGACTGTAGTTACCCTTGAGCTTTGGGCTCAATTCACATCAAGGCATGAGATATGGAGACTATGGATATGATAAAACTGGGCCTTTGTGGATGGAGGCAGGAGGTAAAGGCAACAATACTGGAGTTGGGCTCAGGCATTGGAACAAATGAGCTGATATGGGCGAAATAATAATGGGAGCTTTTGGAGGAGTAGGGTGGTTATGTTATGGGTATTGAGCGCACGACCCAATGTTATATCCTGCTTTGGAAATGGTCATATACTTTGGGCTTGGTTTCCGACAACGGGAACGTGGATAGGGAATGGCGATGGAACAAGCTCAGAGTCATTTGATTTGAGATAATGGGGTATAAACCTCATGCATTCGCCACCCACAACAGCCATAGTCAAACCTGCTACTACTACTACATAGCCTATTGTCGAGATAATCTTCATAGAGCCACAGACACAGATAGGCCATAGCCCATAGCTTCGACGCCAGTACCTAGCATCACGATAGCAAAAGACACGATTGTTTTTGGATATCTTATGGTGCCATCTGTTCTATCGTTATTGCATGATTCGCAGGCAATTGCTTCGATGGTAATTTGCTTGGGCGTGTGCCTGGCATTGATATACTGCTGGATTTACCGAAAGCTTCATCAAATGCCAAATGGCCCATTTAGAATCCCAGCCCACTCTTGCTCCTTCGCTCGCAGCCCAGTTAGATTTTATCTTCAACGAAATGGAGGAATGGATATCATCTCACTACTCCAGACATAAAAACGGACCCTGGGAAAAAGCATTGATGCAATCTTTGAGAATTTCCAACATGGGATGACTTCAATGCCTGTTCTCTTGTCACGATAGTAATTGATAAAAATGGGCAACATGCTAATTCTTCTTGCGCAGTAAAATGTTCATTGGTGGATTGAATTGGGAGACTACAGATCGTAAGATGGCTGAACCAATGTTAGGCTCAACCCCTGTATGGCCACTAACTCTTAAATTCTAGAATCATTGAAAGAGTATTTCTCGCAATTCGGTGAGGTACTTGAATGTACTGTTATGAGAGATGGTGCATCTGGTCGATCTAGAGGATTCGGATTCTTGACATTCAAAGATGCTCGGACTGTCAATATTGTCATGGTTAAGGAACATTACCTTGACGGCAAAATAGTAAGACCCGATCTCAAAACTTTCAATAATTCTTTACGCTCTTATCCTTCCAAATTTCACTATTTAGCCTCAAAAAACATAAGCTCACATTCAAATTTCAAGATCGATCCCAAACGCGCTATTCCAAGAGACGAGCAAGAACGTACAAGCAAGATTTTCGTAGGTGGTGTCAGTCAAGATGCTTCCGAGCAAGATTTCAAAGAGTACTTCATGCAATTCGGACGGGTTGTCGATGCCACTCTGATGATGGACAAAGATACCGGTAGGCCTCGAGGATTTGGATTCGTCACATTCGATAGTGAAGCCGCCGTTGAGGCATGCCTGGAAGGCCCACTCGAAATTCATGGAAAGCCTATCGAAGTCAAGAAGGCACAGCCCCGAGGCAACATAAGGGAGGAGGAAGAAGTCAGAGGTCCACGAGGCGGTCGATTTAAGAAAGGGGGAAACGCCGGTGATGACTTTCAAAATTCTAATCAACAGCAACAAGGTGGTCAAATGAATGCTCCAGGCGGTATGACTCCTCAGTTAATGGCCCAGTACTGGCAGCGCATGCAGCAGTATTTTGCACTAATGCAGCAACAAATGGCCATGGGTGGAGGCCGAGGACAAATGCCAGGCGGAATGCCCGGCGGTATGAATCCTGCTATGATGGCCCAAATGGCTCAGATGCAACAAATGCAACAAATGCAGCAGCAAATGCAAGGTGGAGGGGGAGCCGGTGCACGTAGTCAAAGCCCTCAAAGTCCATCGGCTGGAATGGCAGCAATGGCCGGAATGAATCCAGCTATGATGCAACAAATGCAGCAAATGCAACAAATGCAAATGCAGCAGGCAATGGGCGGACAAGCAGGTAACTTCGCGGCTGGTGGTGGTAGTAACCCTGGTGGTCGAATGGGTACACCCGGCTACAATGCATATGAACAAGGACTCTTCGAGCAACAAAAGTATGAACAACAGCAGATGAGACGAGCTCAGCGCGAGCAATCGCAATACGGCGCTGGTGGCGGTGGATATGGAATGGGTGGAGGTGGAGGCGGGCCGACATCTTGGGAGGGTATGTACGATGATGTTCCTCAGCCAGGTACTAGTAGTGGTGGCGGCGGTGGCGGGCGTGGTGGATTTGGTGGTGGGAGAGGAGCTCGCGGAGGCGGGGCTGGAGGAAGTGACAGAGGCTCTGCTCCACCAGCCGTTGCACCGAATGCGCCTGCTGGTGCGCCAACGGGCCCAAAGAATGCCGGAAAGCCTGGTGCGAACTATAGAGGAGGTGGAAGGGGTGGTAGCCGAGGTTTCCATCCTTATGCTAGGGGATAAACGATGGTTCTTTTTCCTTGTTCCTTCGAAAGTCGCTTCACAGCGATGTTTTCAGGGGAAAATTATCCAATCTATACTCGAGTCACCTGCACAGATGAGTTGGGATCCGTCGATGCAGTTACATCCTTTCTATTTTCAGAATCACACATTCGCATAGCCTTCAACTACTTTCGGCGACTGCTCTCATTTAAATTTCTCTTTTGGTTTTTCTTTTTGTCAATTGGAGCTGCGGTGTTAAATTGCAAAAAGATCCATGGAGTTTTCAGATTCCAATAATCATTTCACTTGCAAAACCATTAGCATTGAAAAAATTTGAGGTGGGACTAGTATTCCGACATGAACTTTACGTACTTGTATATTAAAAATAGGCAAATCAATTTAACGGGAATGGAAAATAGTTACTACATGATGTCCAACCCGGTATATGGATGTGATCCGCTTAATCCTCTTTTTTCCGTCTGGAATGATTGTCGGTTGTGCTCTGTAAATCTCATTCGTGTTTTTTAATGTTCTAGTAAGTGTATCTCCTGTTCTTCCAAGCGACAATTAAACCAAAGTTTGCATCTCATCCTTGTGTTTGATTATAAGATAATCTATAGCAGATCTATCTCTTAATAGAATTTTGTGCAGTTTTACGATTTCAATCGGTTAAATATTCATTTTGATGGAGGCCGTCGCTTAATTCGATCTCCTGTGCCTTAGGGTATGTATACCTGGTAGGTAGGTAGTCAATGAACACTTTTTATAGCACAACGTGACTGTACACTGATCATAGGGAGAAGATTTACGATATGCCTTGGTCAGTATTATACTCAAACTTTTACTGCTTCGGAAATGAAAGAGGAAGTGAACGGTATGCAAAAATTTGGAATCATAAGTTAAAGTTCGAATATTCTAAGATTGCTTTAGCGATACCTAGACCAAAATAGATAGATATAGTATTTCTTATTGTAATCTTTCGATTTCCTTGAAGTAAAAGTGCAGCTACCTTGGTAGGCAGAGAATTACCTGAGTCATCCATCCCTATTTAGGAAAGAATGTTCATATGGTGTGAACTAGATTACAGATTAGTATGGCTTAGTGTCAATTAGTGAATTGACGGATTATGGCGATGTGGAAACCACGACGCACTTTTTTTTTTTTTTTGGAGAATACTATATAAGAGGGATATTCTTCCTCGTAGAGTCTTTTTTGTTTTTTTCTTATATATTCTCTCTTGTGTATTCTCTCTTACAGATTCTGTTTACAAATTCTTTTTCACAGATTCTCTCACACAGATTCCCTCACACAGATTGTCTCTCACAGATTCTCTTTTACAGATTGTCTCTCATAGATTCTGTTTACAAATTCTTTTTTACAGATTCTTTCTTACCTATCCCCTCTTAGAAGTTCTTTCTTACATATTCTTTTATCGACGAACAACAGGAGATACTATAGTGGTTGAAATCATGGCTACCTCCCACCGAAATACAGTACCAGATCGAACAAAAGAAGCCAACAACAAGAACAAGAGAAAGGGCAATATGTCAGGTTCTAGCCGTGAATATCCCGATGATGTAGATGATTTACGGATTGCTTTAAAGGAGATGAATGAGGAGGAAAAGGAAATAACGTTAGATACACCCCCAGACACTCCGATTTCCGAAATATATGCTCGTAAACGAGCATGGCACAGAAGAAAAACTCTATACCTGGATATGATCGTCGAAGCGTTCTCAAAACGACATCGAAAAACGGACCCTATCAACCCCACCGGCTCTACCAATCCTACCGACCCTGCCCATCCTACCGATCCGACCAACGACGAGAAAAAGAATGTGTTCGGCTTAGCAGAAAGAGCCCATGTTGAGCTGATATTACAGCTTTATATCAAGAAGAGATCGAGCACAGAGCAATCAGGATTTAGAGACAACTTGATGGACTACTATGGAGTGTCACGTACAAGAGACGGTGTAAAAGAGTGCTGGTGCGTCGTCAGCCACTCGTGGGGTGCTTCAAAGCTGCTCACTGCGGCTCATATCATGCCTGTCAGATTAAGACAATTGCCAATGAAGCACATATTTGGACAGGAGGCGGCTGAAGAGTTGTTTTCCGCCAAAAACGGATTGATTTTAGAAAAGCAAATTGAAAAACATTTCGACAATTGCCAGCTGCCAATAGTACCGTGTTTGTCCGAGGAAGATGTATGGGAGTTAAGAGTCATAGACAAACACCTGCTCAATCAAAGCCATTATTTCACGAGCGAGAATTTTAAATTTCTTCATGGCCGAAAGTTGAAATTTTTGAATGCGAATCGTCCAAGGAAACGATACCTCTATTACCACTGGTTGATGTGTATCACTGTCGCGGCGCAAAAGAAAATGAATCTGAAAAGGATTGAGGAAAAAGCAAGATTTGCCCAATATTGGGGCACACCTGGACGTTATTTGAGAGAAGAGATGATAGCAGCAATGATGAGCTATGCATGCCATCAATCACCAACCGGGAAGCTTATTTTGGGAAAGGAAGAGGGTGAGAATGAGGATGTAGATGGAGATGGGGGTGGTGACGGGGATGAAGATGGGAATGAGAATGAAGACGGGGATGAGGAGGATCAGGAGGACGAGGAGGATGAGGAGGAGAATTACGGAAGATAAGAGAGGTGTAATACCAAATTCAAGATTTTTTCCTTGTTTCTTCATCGCTTCAGAGCGTGAAGAAAAGCAAAAAAGAAGAATGAATGATTTGAGTGGCAGCCCCAAATGTTGGATGAATTTTGCGCGGAAGGCAAGTAATTGTGGTGATTCATAAGGTTAATCATACCCCACAATGAATATTCAGAATTGACTAAAATTTTGACATATTCAATAATTCAGCTTATTTCGGAATTATGTTTGATTTTATACAATTATTATAAATTGAATTGTAGAATTTGAATATTTAGGTATTTTGCGAGAAGACCTCTTGGAAAGACGTCATTAGGTCGGGTGTAACCTTACATGCTGAGTAAGAATTGAGCTCCCTCGGCCGATCGACAAATCGCCTTGCATCGGATCAAAATAATTCCTTCCTTCAGGGATGAAAATCCAACCTGCGGTGTTCACTCAGTTCAACAAATTCCCTGAGGATATCCATCTACTCGTACGGGACTGATGCATTTGTATCTCGCCATCCGGGATGATGGTTTTATCGCATGAACGAACCATCAAGCCGATCAAACACGAGGGCCATTTGTCGATCCGGAATCCTTCGACGTCGGTCACCATAAGGTTTATGAGCGGACCTGAAAATGAATGTCGTGGAAACGCACATATATTATTGCGGGTACTTGGTCTGTCTTCAAATGAGATCTCCTATACAACCCTCTGAGGTTACAAAAAAAGTGATGTTCTGTTCTAGGATGGATGGATGGTATCTCTCTCACAAGTGTCTCTTTTGGCTCAAGGGCATTTCCATAACAGCCTGTGGCACGCACCATAGTGTATCCAGAAATTTTAGAGACGGAGAGGAAAAGGTGGAATGAGTCTGTCGCAGCTCACTTACAGAATTATGTGGCTGGCGATGTATTTTTGATGAGGCAGTCCCGATAAAGACATCGGGAAATGCCAGGTTTGAGATCAGAATATTGATCGGCCGAGCTTGGGATATCCTACGAATTTCGGACATAGAAACTTTGTATACAGGATCTACCCTCTGGCAATCCTTATCTACCAAACAATTATCCTAAAGGCACAAACCACAGATTGATGTATTCTTATTAGCTTTACCAAGATTTTCAGAGGTCGTGCCATTATTTACTGAGATACCTCGCTTGGTTACAACTAAACCCAATGCACATAAGTCCCGTGGGCTCTGAAGTATCAAGGCAGGATGGATCCGATGGCTTGTAGTATCCGTCTTGCTTCAAGAACCTTTCAATGCGAATGGGGCTGACGATCGTCTTTCTATTTACAAATAATGACTAGTGAGAAGTTGTGCGCTCGCCTGATATGGCTGCTGGTAATAATCCTGACATATTCAAACGCATTAGATGACGTAACGGAGTCTCTTATAAGCTGAAAAGACTTCAAATGTCGTGGAAAGTAGCCCCGGAGTAAACTCCAGACTGAGCATCTTCAGACAAGGTCCGCAGCTCTAATTCTGCAGAAACTTTTCCTTTATTTATTCTCACTTTTGAGATATAACATCAAATTACGGTTGTCAGATGCACATTTACTCAAGAGACAAGCCGGCTTTTTTCACTCATAGCAAACGACGACTTACACTACCTTAGTAAAATTATTGTGCTCTTCTAGGAAATTGTTGACATATGCATATTCTTAAGAAGATACTTTAAGCCGTACAATGAAGTTCTAATTCATGGTTTTAATGAAAATTCAAGGTTTTGGTACTCCAGCAGGATTAAAGCCTTAATCTTGGCTTCAAAGGATGTTCTTCGAGGGAAAAATCTTGAAGCTTATTCAAGAGTTTGAAACCTTTCCAGAAATCAGAACGTCAATTGTGGCCTTGAAATGCTAGAATAATATCTAAATCATTCATTTACGGAGTGCGGCTGAAGTTCTAAAAATCACATGTTCATGCCGACAACTATACACCTTCCTAGATAGGTTTGAATTTGGCGGGGGAAAACCTTAATAGAATGAACGGAATCGATTATTTCTTATAATTCCACTTTATTAATTGGAGACTTGCATAAAGGCAAGTAGAATACTCGCTTATATTAACCTACTTCAAAAACTTTACTGTATCTAGGATAGATCTGGAGGATCTATATTTCTTTTATCCCTCAAATAGCCTTGCCCGTAAAATTTAAGCCCGTATAGGAATCTGTTGCATACGCACGAGTCCATCACCATACTTCCATCTGCACATTCCCCTTGGTTTTCGTTCTGTTATACAAAATAAAAGTCATTACGTAGCAGATGATTGCTAGTAGTCTAATCAGCATGTAATATTTGGCCTCTGACGGAAAGCACGGTGTCGCATTATACCTTAGCTTGCATGGAAGTAAGAACATCTACTTCCACCCATCTCGCTTTCAGAATAAAAACTGATGGAGTTCTTATATATCATCGAGCACCTCTATCATTCTTTCTAGCAAACTTTACAAACTCCGTCAAAAAACTTCCTGCAGAAATGTCAACACAATATGATTCAATCGGTGCCAAATATGACACTCTCAATGTCATGCCAATTCAACAGATACAACATGTAGCTATGAAAAGACTTATTGGCACTTTCGATTCTCCCAAACGAGTTCTCGAGCTTGCATGCGGTACCGGCTTCTATACACGCCAGATGGTATCCTGGGGCGCTTCTCACGTAACGGCATTAGATATCTCTCCGGCTATGGTATCCACTGCCCAGAAGTCTCTTCCAGCCGAGATGAAAGATAATGTCACTTTCTGTGTTGGGGATTGTGCTCGACCAGATATTTGGGATAGTGCCGAACTCAAAGATCAAAAAGGAACTTTTGATTTGGTTGTTGCGGCATGGCTGTTGAATTATGCACCTTCGAGGGCAGAGATGCAACGGATGTTTGAAAATATCTATGCCGCACTGAAACCTGGAGGAAAATTCGTCGGACTCACTGTTCACGCGGCAATCATCGATAAGTTTCAGCCGGACGATCCGCTCAATGAGAACGAGAAACATCTCGGTACCGTCTATGAAGTTCTTGGGAAAGTTGATGATGGGTATAGAACTTGTTGTCATGCTTTCACTGAGCCGGAGATTAAGTGGGAATTCTATTTCTTGCGAGAGGATGTGTATTCCAAAGCAGCACTTGGAGCAGGAATGGGTGAGCTCGAATGGAATGTGGTGTTACCAGGGGAAGAACAAGTGGAAAAACTGGTAAGCTTACTTTCTGATAAAATGTTCCTTTGGCTAATAAATGAATGAAGGGTAAGGAATACTGGCAGTCATATTTGGATCGACCAAAAGCTGCTATCTGCATCTCGAGGAAGCCAGATCTTGAATGATGCGAATCTGAATTTTTGACTGCCAGGCCTGGGTATAATAGACATTTGAGTCCATCGAAATATAGATATGAAATAATCGCTTGACAGATTCCAGCTCTTTTGAGAGTAGTTCTGAAAGTAATAATAGTATCAATATCAAACTCAATGTTATGTACTTCAAAAATGTATGGCAGCGACGCGGTTAGGCACTAGTCTATCACGAATTTTTCATATAAGATCTGGAAGTCCTCTCATTCATTTGAAACATGATCGAATATTGAAGACTAGTGATTGGTATAGTATATAAGTCTAGTACCCTACTTTTGGACCACCTTTTTACACCAAAAATTACCATTTTCAACTATTAATGACTCAACAATTAATAAATAAAATCAATTGAGATTTTAGTTATAGTATTTCTATATAAATATAAAAAGACTCTGAAAATTTCAGATTTTTCACGATTTTATTGATTGATATTTTGAAGATTGAAATTTCAATTTTCGATTTGTATAAAATTTATATATAAATTCAAAAAACATTGAAATTTGAAATAACTTTTCAATAAAAATTATTAAAAATAAACTATAAATATTTTTCGAATATTTATATTATAATTGTGACGCCTCACACCTCCGGGTCACGTGGCATGCCCCGTTTGTATTTAATCATAGGAAAACTCTCTACTCTTGTTTTCCTTCTTCTTTTCTCCTTAGCTTAGTATTTTCTAATACAAGATACTTTACCCAGTATTCTTGAGTGTGACAATAATTGATCAAATAAATTAACTTATTTGAAAAAATAATTTATGATTAACGTGGTTTATCATCGAGTGGGCCACTTTTCCCTCAATTCACACCTTCAACTTCTTGTTACGACGGCTATCTTCTATGCCGCGTCACATGACTAAACCAGGGTAACGTGATTAAGTCACGTTATGGACCGCTGAGGAACGCTGGCTGTCCAGGACCGCGCAGCGGTCCTGACTAGCCATAGGCATGAAGGTCTATATAATCAAGATGGATTTCCTTTGTATAGAGCTTCGTGCTCAAGATCAATCATTTAGTATATCCTACTATTAGTTACGAATTGCATTTCATTATTGTCATTACTTAAGTCCCTGCTTGACGCCTAATTATAAACCACCTCGAGAGCCTAGAGCACTTCCACGTGATCTAGACGGCAAACCTCGTAACAGGCGGTTTGGGCCGCTGTTTCCGAGGGGGTCCTTATCGATAAGGAATCCTAGGACAAGTGTCCTGAGGCCAATAGGAAATCACGTGATATGCTAGCTATGCTAGCCAGCTAGCATAGCTAGCACTCAAGGAAACGACGAGTATATAGTTAGGATAGTTTCATAGTTTAGGAGCTTCGTGCTCAACTTAGTTATCAATTAGTTTACCTACATTCTACTTGATCTAGTAACGACTTCACTTCCAAGTGAATACCAATGATAAAGCCTTAACCCACAACTACCAACCAGACGAAACCTCAGGCAGCCGCTGCCTCCAGTACAGTATCGTTACATCTCTCTAATTGAATCAAATTCCTTCAATTGAAGTGCAATAATAACATTCTATATCTTATCTTCAATTTGAAAAGATCTAAGAGGTGGTTCGAGGCGTATAGCAAAAATTATTATAGTTTAAAGTTGGTGGTGAGTTAATTATGACCTGGTTCATCATAAGTTATATTATATAAATATAACGATACTGTACTGGAGGCAGCGGCTGCCTGAGGTTTCGTCTGGTTGGTAGTTGTGGGTTAAGGCTTTATCATTGGTATTCATTTGGAAGTGAAGTCGTTACTAGATCAAGTAGAATGTAGGTAAACTAATTGATAACTGAGTTGAGCACGAAGCTCCTATACTATGAAAATAATGAATGTTTATATACTGGTCCTTTCCAGGAGCCTTGAGGAGCCTATGCTCCTGGAGGCTCCATCACGTGATCCCTACTTGTCCGACGTGATGGTGAATCGTGACAGCGGGTTATGTTACGCCGTCGTAACAATAACTCGATCAATAAAATCATGAAAAATCTAAAATTTTTAGAATTTACTATTACATAAATTAAAGCTTTATAGCGTGGTTTATCAGGACCCTGTACATATCAGGACCCTGTACACTTTTACCTCAATTATCACCCTTCAACTTCAACACGCGATTTATCAATATTTAATTATGCAAACTACTTCAAAAGAAACTCGAATCAATTTAGCTATTGAGGCTATTCGTACATCTCAAAATTTGAGTATTCGGAAAGCTGCAAAACTCTATAATATACCTCATACTACCCTTACTTCTAGAATGAATGGAATTCTGCCTCTTACTGAACGTCGACCAGCAAATCATAAAATGACAGAATTGGAGGAGAAATCGCTTCTTCAATATATATTGGATATGGATGAAAGAGGGTTTAGTCCTCGAATAAATGATGTAGAAGATATGGCGAATTATATACTCAAAACGCGGGGTGCGAAGAAGATTGGAAAGCTCTGGGCTCATCGTTTTGTGAAACGACATACAGAATTAAAGACACGTTTTAATCGTGTTTATAACTTTCAAAGAGCTCTCTGCGAAGATTCAGAGCTTATTGAAAGATGGTTTCGATTGGTATCGAATATGCAGGCCAAATATGGTATTCTGGACTGCGATTTCTACAACTTCGATGAGACAGGCTTTATGATGGGACAAATATCACCATATATAGTAGTTACTAAAGTTGATCGATATGGAAAAAGCAAAGCTATACAATCAGGCAATCGAGAATAGGCTACAGCGATTATTTGTGTTGATGGAGAAGATCACAATATACCTCCGTTTTTGATAGTAAAAGACGAATACCATCTTTCAAATTGGTATACCGAAGGTGATTTACTATATGATTGGCTTATTAAACCTACTATCAATGGATGGACAGATAATGAGACAGATCTTGAATGGATTAAGCACTTCAACAAACATATTGAAAGTAGGAAAGTGGGTAGATATCGAATGCTAGTGCTTGATGGGCATGAAAGTCATAAATCGCCAGCATTTCAGGAATACTGCAAGGAACACGACATTATATTACTTAGTTTACTACCTCATTCTTTGCATTTAACTCAACCACTCGATATCGGTTGTTTTGGTCCTTTAAAGTATTCATATAATCGACAAATCGAGAACTTTATCAAGGCACATATCACTCATATTACCAAAACCGAGTTCTTTCAAGCCTTCAAAGCTACATATATCGAAGCAATATCTATATCAAATGGTAAAGCTGGGTTCCGCGGAGCTGGGCTAATCCCATTTAATCCGGAAATTGTACTTTCAAAGCTAGATATTCGAATAAAAACTCCATCAAATAAATCAATATCAGCCGATCCTGATATATAGCAATCTCAAACACCTCACAATCCAACTAAAGCTCTTTCTCAATCCACTTTAGTGAAAAGTCGTATTGCTCAACATCAAGAGAGCTCACCTACTCCAATATTTAAAACAATTGCAGCTTTAGCTAAGGGTACAGAACTCTTAGTTCATGCGAATACGCTTTTAGCTGCTGAGGTTCATAGTCTCCGCAAAGCAAATGAAGCACTTAGTAAACGCCGGAGAGCTAGAAAAGCTTTAATACGAAAAAAAAGAGTACTTTCAGTAGAAAATGGGCATGATATATTAGAACAAGAGAATGTAGAAGATCAGATACGACGTGATGAATTTACAAATGGTGATTCTTCAGCAAGGAGGCAAGCTACTATACGACGATGTAGCAAATGTGGTAATGCTTCACATAATACACGAACTTATCAATTAGATCCAGCATTAGTTGATGTTGACCTCCTGGGATCTTGGCAGCATATGCATATATAGTACATATGCATATAAGGAGCAAACAAAACTCAACTTTTAATTCATTCTTTCCTTTTTGGTATACTGTTTGTTTGCTTTCAATATTTTGATTTCAAAGCACTTTAATTCCGAAGGCCGAATACCTAACCTATTCCTTCATTTTTTTTCAATATATACTCGCAGCTTAACTGCTCAGCTAGAAAATCAATTCAATCTGATACTCTTTCTGGTCTTAAGAAACCCAACAGTTGATCTTTGAATTGTATATAATTTAATTCTAATTTATAGTATTGTTGTAATTTTATTTCAATGGAATATGGGCAATTGAGGTAAAAGTGTACAGGGTCCTGATATATACAGGGTCCTGATAAACCACGTTACTGTAAATTTTATTAAATTATATTTATTGTTACGTGACGGTTGTTATCCCACTAGTGGCTCACGTGCACTAGCCCTGTATATAAAGACCTTCTTACTTAGAATCCTCTTAGTTCTTTAGTTTTAGATTCTAAGTAATTGAATTGACTCCGTTTACGACTTTTCCGTCACATTTATAAATAAAAAAATTATAAAGATCGATTTTTGTTATTTTTGGTGCAAAAAGGTGGCCGAGATTAGGGGTGGCCGAGAAGTGGGGTACTAGACTTAACTCTCATTGTAGACAGAGAACAGGCGTCTCGTATCCTGTCGAGCACCAGAGACCATGGTATCCTCCGCGACAACAAATATGTTCATTATTCTCGAATTAACAATCTACCTACAAATCTCCAAATCAGAACCTCAAATCTAATTCCAAATATGACGGAGACGGAGATTTACTCATAACACCCCCGCCCCCTTCTCTTCCTTGCCTCACCCTCATCCTCCAGAAACACAGCTCCTTCCCAACCCCGTAAAAAATAATACACCTCCCGTATTCAATTCAAACCATAACCTACTCAATTTTTTCCTTATAAATAACTATTACTATCTTCAAGTTCAAGTTTATCATTTTTCCGATTTATCACACTCCACTCCACATCGAATTCCGACCAGTCTTAAATCCAACTACACTCATCCTCCTGATAAATTAACAATCAACCACTTTAATATCACCCATATTATATTATATCGATTCAAATGATCATCCTCCCCTCGTATCAAAAAAAAAGAAGAAAAAAAGAAACGACAACACCATCTGTTCTATATACCCTTCTAACATTCTACCACTCCATTCTTCCACCACAACATCACCTACACAAATAAAAACCTACTATCTACTATCTAGTATCTACTAATCCACCCCTTTAACTACCTACTCCACAATCTATACCAATCACCTCCAATTACCACATTCATTTACACGCATACTCCCTTTCATCTCCATCTCCACACGGCCTTCCCTCATACCCCTCAAACAAAATCAAATTAAATCTATCCACTCCCCTCCCCTACTGTAACGATACTGTACTGGAGGCAGCGACTACCTGAGGTTTCGTCTGGTCAATAGTTGTGGGTTAAGGCTTTATCACTGGTATTCACTTGGAAGTGAATTCGTTACTTTATCAAGTAGAATGTAGGTAAACTAATTGATAATTAAGTTGAGCACGAAGCTCCTTAACTACGAGACTAAATGAATGTTTATATACCCTATATCATCTTTTGAGGACCTCTGGGACCCTAAGGTCCAAAAGGTCCTCAAGGTCCTCGAGGTCATGTGAATTAATGAATCGTGACACCTACCTCCTTCTATAATATTCACAATGCAAACCACCTCCTCAAAACTATACAATAAATAAAATCTATCTCCATATCTATCCATATATCCATCTACTAATATCTATTCAAACTAAACATCGCAAAGAAAAAGAAGACGATCAGAGAAGATGAGGGGATAAGTATAAATATATAAAAAGAGAGAGAATAATTTATTTGTTTATTTACTTATTTACTAATTGAAATATCAATACTTTGAAATATCAATACTCTTGAGTTTTTATATTGATTATCTTAAGTTGTATTGGAGTATTAACTACTCTTTTTATATCAATCAGTGTTATATCAAATCCAATCCGATCCAATCAATGTCACACTCAAGAATACTGGGTAGAGTATCTTGTATTAGAAAATACTAAGCTAAGGAGAAAAGAAGAAGGAAAACAAGAGTAGCGAGTTTTCCTATGATTAAATACAAACGGGGCATGCCACGTGACCCGGAGGTGTGAGGCGTCACAATCAAAGCTCTTTACCCCTTAATTTAACGACTCGATATGATTGGGTTTAATTCATCGACTTTACTTATCTACTTACCCACTTAATCCCTCGCTTATTTATACACACAAGCATATAGATATTCATAAGTAGGACTTGCATTTATGCATTTATGCATTTGATAATGTGTTCAATTGTCTTTATTTTATCCATTTATTCTTTTCTCGGCATCCCGCCTTCCCGTCATCCCTCTACGCATGTCCTCCCTATACGCATGTCCTCCCTAATCCAGCTTCTAGCCCATTTTTAATCTTTCCTCCCATTTTCCCTTCCCTTCCTTTCCATTCTTCCCCTCCCTTCCATCCCAATCCAACCCACCCTAGCCAAACAGACTTCATTCGTCTCCGCATTCCAATATCCATCCTAACCATCCCTATCCCACCCATCTTCAATCCACAGTCCTCTTACCGCTACCTACTGACCACTGACCACGCCCGAAACAAAAAACGCCATACATGCATGCCCATTTCCCCATAAAAATTTCACGAAACGAGTCCCTCCCATCCCCGCCCCAATCTAACCTAACGTACATGAAAGTAAAAGGATGTAAAAATCCCGCAAAAAAGGTATAAAGAAACCAAGCGACCAACCAAAAATAACCATCTCAAATCATACAAAAATATATAACACATCATCGCCCACTCAATGCCCCCATATATGATCAGCCATGATCCTTAACCTAAAAATTCACCTCAATACCTTCTCCTTCTCGAACTTGGGGCTCCCAAATCAATATTCTTCATTTCCTCCAACAGCGCCCACGCATCTCCAGCTCCACCTCTTCCTGTACCACTACTGACCGGGGCCGGTAACGCCATTGGAATTTTCGCCGGTACAACCGGTAAACCCGAGCCTCTATATCCGTTTCCAAATCCTCCATTACTAGGATTAATTCCATATTGATAACCATTTGGCGAATAATTTTCATTAGCATATTCTGCCGTGGAAGGTCTATGCATTGATGTTCTACTAGATGCGTAATTTTGATCTTTGTAGATTGGTACATTTGGGGATGAATGATATGCCGGTTGTGCGGACATGCGGTTAGCTTTCTTTTGAAGTTTTCTATGAGCCGTAGCTGGAGGGTGATCAGGTGTACCACCGCTGAAATAAATTGGGGAAGAAACGACCATTGACTGAGGTCTCCCCGCTTGACGTAATTGCTTGCGACCAGTTGATGGCATTGGCTGTGCTGCTGGCTGAGCTCGATAATTGCGATCTGGCACTTGGGATGCGTATTTAGGTCCTTTCTGTTCCAGAAGTGGTGCGTAATTGGATTCGGGAATATGATCACTCGGATCAATTTCTCTACCATCATAAGTAATGATTTTGGCGTCCGGGTCGTCTTTGGAATCATAAGCAGCGCTTAGAGATGTCGCAGATTTCGATCCTGCTAGACTTGGGTTGAAAACATCATATGAATCCGGTCCGAATGCAATACCGGATAACCTTCTAGGCTCAGGAGCAGGACTGACCGGTTTTCGCATGACAGATGGGTTAGGAGAAGTTCCTCTTCTAGCCATGGGATTGGGTGAAGTCCCTCTTCTACTCATAGGATTGGGTGAAGTACCTCTTCTATCCATAGGATTAGGAGATACGCCTCGTCTATCCATGGGATTGGGAGATACGCCTCGTCTATCCATGGGATTAGGAGATACACCTCGTCTATCCATCGCAGGATTAGGAGAGGCACCCCTAGGCTTTACAGGCACCATAGCAGTAGAAGTATATCGACCCTGGCGATCATCATACGCTGCTTGTGGCGAGTATGGTACAACAGCAGAATTATCATGGTAGGGAAGAGGTATAGGTTGTTGAATCTGCTGTGGTTGATGCCTTGAACTTTCTTGATATCTCCCCCGTTGCGAGCTGCTAGTATTCTGGCTATAACTTGCGCGCTTCTCCTGATAGATTCGATCCGATATTTCCTTAGCAATGATTGGATCCATTCCTGGCACCAAAGTTGGTGGCATCTCCGGTAAACCATAATCTCCGTTAGTACTTTGCATACCCAGAGAATGACTCCTATCTTGACGAGATGACGGAAGCTGTCCATAAGAATGTCTCGAGGTTACAGAAGCGCCGTGGCTAATAGAAGACATAGAACTAGAGGTCGCATAACCACCCGAGCTAATCGAAGGTTGATGGCTAGGAGCAGTTGTTGCAACACTATTTCCACTAGGTCGATGTCTTAAATTCAACGGTGCTGGTACTTGGTCATACATCTCATTAGTTTGCTGTTGCATGGCACTTGGCGCGCTGCCTCTGTGTGGAATAATTGGCTGATAACTGTTTTGCCCTGGACCTGGTGCTGGAATGGGTGGAGCGTCCTCAACAGTTGGCTGCATGTCCTCATGACCAGCATTATATCTTAAATCTCTCGAATCATAAGAGTTATGTCGAGGAAGGTGAGGATGTCCATTTCCCGACCTTCGAGGCTGATCGTCAATCTTTGACGGACTGTAGGCTTGATAAGCTGGAGTAGGTTGTGTATATGTAGGGTTTGAATGACGGTGCATATCATCCATTGGAGTATTGTAAGGATTCGAATCTCCCCTGCTAACGGGACGGCCATGAACTGCTCTAGGTTGGGCAAGGGGTGGTGCCGGGCTCACATTTTTACTTGCATGAGCTGGTGGAGGAGGGGGTGGAGGACCAGGGCTCGTCGGAAGCTCATATGGGCCTGGCTGTTGGGACTCATAATTGATCATATGAGATCCATTGTATCTATCGCGAGGATCCTCTTCCTGGTTTGAGTATTGATTTATATCATGACCGTGTTCGTAATCGTTGCGGGACATGGGGTCGTAAGTTTCATATCTATCATTATTTCGCATTGGTTGTGAACTTTGTGATGCCCCAGCTATCATATCCTCAGGTGCTCCATATGGTGTTGATCCTGGACTTACATCATATCCTTGAGATTGGTTATATCGGGCTTGAGGTGCATTGAATTCTACTCTTTGGAGAGATGACTGATCTGGAGCGAATCCGTTCTGGTACCCACGCGGTGGCATTTGTGTGTGCTCCTGAGCCATCATAAGGCTATGATATCCACGCTGCGATTGAATAGGCTCAAAAATATTGGCAGGACCTGGATATCCGCGGGGCGAAGGTTGATCCTGAATAACATGCGTACTTGCATATCCTCGAGGAACGTGATCCGGCATACCATTCGAAGACATCTGATACCCTTGCGGTGGTGTCTGGATGTGATCTGGTGGGTTTTGATATCCGCGAGGCGGCGTTTGAACATGATCAGACATCGAGGACGGGGGTTCTCTGTATCCACGAGTAGGGGTCATTTGCACATGATCAACTGCAGACGGTGCTTGATAACCTCGCGAAGGAGGGTGAACAAGCTCGGCAGGCGCTGGTGCCGCAACAGGAATCGAAGCCGGCGCAGGTGCTGCGACAGGCGGTTGAGCTGGAGCTCCGGTGATGGGATCGGATGGCAGAGGTCGTCTCTTAACCACGGATTTCGCTCCCAATTGTCTTGGTCCACTCACTCCTTCTCTCGTGCTCCCACTTCCACTCACACTTCCGAAGTCCGTTATCGATTGCGCAGATGTAGATGGTGTAATGACCGATTGGGTCTGTTTCAGTTCTTTCCTTTCTGGTCTCTCTGATTTTTCTGGTTTAGGCCTTTTATCGTAATATGTGATCTCGACCCTAATTTCTCCTGCATATTTTCCTTTGAAATTTAAATTATGCCACACATCACTTTGTCCACCTCCTGCAACGATAACGTCTTGCAAGTTAATCCAAGTCTCCCCTATCAGATCCGTTCTCTTGTCGTCGTTAAAAACTGAGACCTTCAATTGATAATAATCCGGCGAATCGTGCACTGTAAATCGTAGCTCTTGATCCCTACATAGCTTTGTCAGTAACGAAACCTAATAATTATTTCCAATTGGGTACTCACCATCGAGGAGTTTGTCCACCCCTCTTGTCCGTCTCTGTTTTTTTTGCTTCCTTGCCCAGTCGTGCTGCACAATAGGGATCCTGCTTGCCAATTGTCTTCCGATTCGGTAGATTCTTCGCTCGATCAACAATAACAACCAGAGTACCAATTTCTGGGCCATCAACCGTCATATCTGAGAAGATTCCAGCAGTATGCATGCCGGCCATTTTAGGTTTCGTGGCCATCATGAAGGAGTTAAGGAAGGGAGTACGTATGTGTACGTATGTAGGTTAAAAGAAAGGAAAATCAATGTGTATAATCTAATGGTCGTAAATAATAATTCTCAAGATCGAGGTCGTGGTCGTGGTCGAGGTCGTATGCCAAGTCGTAAAGTTGATCTCGGCCTCGAATGTTGTGTAGTAAAGAGCTTCTTTCTCCCTTCTTTCTTTCTTCCCTCACCAGCTCTAGCTAGGCATTGTCTCTGGGAATTGGTCGACTGATATTCCCCAAGTCGACGCCGAGTAGGTACTTCTTCGCGTTAGGACCCTTGCATCTCAGACCGTTCTATGCAGGATAAATCAAAAAAAGGCTGACGGTCCAGAAATTTCGAAGAATTGATTTGAGAGAAGAGAAATGGTGCCCGTTTTACTTGCGATGAAGCGGGTCTACAGTGGATTGACTCAAAGGTTGTTCAAAGTGTTCCCTCTCTTCTGTATGCAAGTTGTGCGAAAGTCGTAAAGGGAGTGGCTGAAATCGTGGAGAAAGAATGGCGAAGGCTGGTGTTATCCTTGTCGGGATTTTACCTTGGGACAATTGTTAATGAGAAACAAAGAAATGGATTCATCTACTAGGAAGGTGTTGATAGGATTGAGTAAATGTTATCGTTGAATTACACGTATTGAAACTTTTCATTTATAGCTAATAAATTGACTTAGCATTGTTTTTATTTACATTCGGTTGATTTAACTTTTCGTAATATTTCCCTCACTTCCCTCTCCCATACAATTCACAGATATCGTAGATTTCCAACTGATGACGAAAATCGGGGCTTGGGTCCGGATAAATGTATGTATGTACATAATTCAATCCTTGTCTCGAATCACAGTATAAAATAATCCTTGTTTACACAGCTTCATCCATAAGGGAGGAAGAACAGTAAAAATAGAAACCAGAATTTGATTTGGTTACGGCGGTTACCATCATTTCAAGTGGCTGGAGTGGCTGAAGTAAGGTATTCTTCATTCTTCCCAGACATGATGAGTAAGCCCGGCGCCCAATCACAAAAATGTCCGACCTCGAAAATGGCGAAAATCATTTAATTGTAAATGGTTATCGATCGGAAAATCATCGATACCCATTGGTGGAGTCTATTTGCTGCAGGTACTCCGTAGCTTCCAAGATTCTAGCTTCATTTATCAAAGATCTATGGAAGATCAGCGGCTGTTTCGTTTTAACTACCAAATACCAAACATTGATGAGGTCGACCGGGATCGAGAGTTTTGATCATATCAAAGTTGTCTGTTTGTCCGTTATTATTGATTGAATGAAAAAAACCTACACATACCCCGTGCGCGCCGCTTTTGCTTGTTCTTCGGATATTCCCGAACACCGGCCGGTGTGTCGAAACCTTATCTCGTCCCCGCCTTACACCATCAAGAAATGCACAACGCCCTTTTCATCACACCATCCAACCTCCCAACCAACCTGCAACCTAACATTTCCTAACCAAGCTCTCCACTCACCTATCCCCCCCATACATTAACCCTTCAAAATCATGTATACCATTGCGCCCTCCCCCACCCCCATCCTCCTATCAGACCCAGTGACCTCCGCCCCGCCCGACACCTCAGCTCCTTCAATCCTCCGCTATATTATCGGTTTCCTCCTCATCGGTATTGCCTGGGGCTTCACAACCCCCTTTATCCGAGCCGCCGCACGAACCCATCAACCACCCTCTCACCCCATTCTCTCATCTCCTTCAGTCACGAACTCTTTTCTCAAATCGAAGCTGTACGGCGCGTTTTTCGGAGTTGTGGATCTTTTGAGAAATCCTAGATATGCAATTCCCTTGGTAGTGAATTTGACGGGAAGTATTTGGTTTTTTCTGTTGATTGGTCAAGCTGGTAAGTGTTCTTTTTGGTGTTATGATTTGAAGACAGATGGAGTCGTGGAATTGATGACGTAGATGATGCTAAGTTTGTATATAGAACTCTCATTGACAGTCCCCATTACAAACTCCCTCGCTTTTCTCTTCACCGTACTAGGAGAATGGTGGGTAGAAAGAAAAGTGATCAGTCGGGGTAAGTTCTTTCATCTCGTCCCCTCCTCTTCACCCCCACTTCACTTGAGATCAACACTGTTGATCGGAACAAATATTCGAAAGCCCTTTGTTCCCGGGTACGAGCACGAGGGCTGATTTAGCGATAGATACCTGGATTGGTATGATATTGTCATTATGTGGTATCGCGCTCTGTGTCCATAGTAAGACAGGATGAGTCTCCATGAGTTATTTTTGGATCACGTTTTCGGGAGTGGGGGATTCGATATTCTATAGAATGATTGGTCGAAAGAAGAATTGATCATGTGGGGTCCAGGCAAATTGTACGCATATGGTTTTTTGGTTAGCCGCCATAGGAGGCTGTAGTATATATTTCTCGTTCAAAAATGATGTAGAGAGCATGACAGGATTCACGATGTTGGATATTTGAAGTTGGAAAGGTCAATGTCAATAATATCATATAGAAGCTCGGTAACACGTCCCAATAGTTTGATTCATAGATTAACATTAGACACATTAGCGCAGCTCTATGCTCTAACCGAACTATCGCTCGTCTAACCCCGTGTAATAAGTAAAGAAATAAGTGCCTAACCAAACAAACCGTAACCACCAGGGCCGGGAGAAAAACCAATTGTGCGCCACCCCATGCCAGCCGCCAGCCCATTTTATGTGTAAGGAAATTCCAGCCCATGCCATGCCAAGTCCAATCGTCCTAAACAATCCTAGTTTGATCGAGTCATCAAACATTACCCATCCCATTCCATCTCCCAATCGACCACGTTCAAAACATCCATACAATAGTGTTACAACCCTCCTTTCATTTTCATCCGCCCATCAGCCCCTCCTACACATCAGACTCAACCTCGGTAGTCACATATCCGCGTCCACGTGCTCCAATTCCGAACACTGACACTGACAGCTTAACGTCTAGCCCGAACCCATCTCTGAACATGTCTCAAGCTCGGATCTTCTTGCGTCCAGCGCCCCATTCCGTAATCTGACGATCTCAGATCCGAGTATATGGCCTCATCCGTGATAGATACCAATTCCTGTTTCCCAAATCAGTACGATTAAAATCAATAGTATTGAAAGATCAAAAGTTGGCAGGATCCTTGCTCGCATGCATAATATCCGGGACTGAATAACGACTCGGATGCTCGGAATGAATAATAAATGAATGACCTTTGACTTACAGCTCGGAGTTGCGCATCGCATGCGTTCAATTGATCCGTGTGCCCGGTATGAGGTCTCTGGCCCTGCAATATTTGATCTCTGTAAGTGATCCAGCGCTGTGCTGCACCTTGGCGGAGGTAGATCTTCTGTGCTTCGTGCCGGCGAGAAAAAGCATCAAGGTGTACCCTTCTTACTATTAGCATAGAAAATCACCTGAGATCCAATTGCAGGCCTCGTGGAATGAATTTATGGCTAAGGAGAGGCGTACTGTTGCAATTCCGCTTTAGCTTGCTCATCTGCACCACCTCGAACTCGCGGAACTCGAGTTTCGGCGGCACAGTTTAGGATATGCTGACCATCTAGGGAGCATTGACGAAGGGCGGCATATCCTTCAGTGTAGTAGTCATCCATGTTTAACGGCTCAGTAGAAGCAGCAGCGATGTAGTATTGAAGAGTGCGGAAATCAGAGAGAAGATCTGCTACCCGAGCAGTTCTTTGGTCATTTACTAGACGTTGTATTAGTTACAAAGTTAACTGAGTACCATCCGTTCCGAATGCATTGTAGGGACGAGAACAAATATTAGTCTGGAATAGTAGGAACATCAATTAACTTACATCCGTCCGCCATTGTGTATGTAGATGGGTGTGTGTGAGAATCTGTGACGCCAAACAACGGGAAAATGAACACTAGGACGACTTGCTAATGTGAAGGAAGTGGAGACGTGACAATGAGGAACTGAATGAAAGACTGTGCCGTTGATGTCTTGGAGAGATGAAGCCATCCCGACCGTTTATGAAGCTTTTCAAATCATGGCTAACTAGAGCAAACGTTCACTCTGGATATTGATCATCCACTTTGAGCATCGACGTGGCTGGCTAACGGGAGGATACCTCAGCCTGATGCAAAGCCAATTCTTTGATTCCATTGGAATTATTAGATACCACTGAGTGACTCTCATGGTATAGAAAGCCATTTGTGCCCCACAATGAAGTCCGATGCTAATGATACGGGAGTGACGAGCTCAAAGCTAGTATAAACCCTACCGAGCTGTAAGGATGTAAGGATGTAAGAATACTAAGCAATTGGAGTATTTTCCAGGCTATGTATGACGGCAGTGATTTGCTACATGTTCAAGGGTTCAGATTGGATGGCCCGAGATAGGTTTAAGGAGAGGAAGGTGAGAAGCACAGAGTAACGGAATGTAGGCATTGGAACGTGGGAAGGAATGGGAGAGGATGATGAGAGGATTACATGAAAGATAGATTGTGGATAAAGGATATGGGTCCCCTGCATGATGTACAATCAAATCTATGTATATGTATTCCGCATGCGTGGAGCGTGAAATGTGGATAATGGATTGGGTTCCCTTTTACTTTTCTTGGTCAGTGAGGTAGGGTAAAAAAAAAGAGCTTAAAAGTAATGATGTTCACCTCGGTACCTGCTCGCTCGCGTGGCAGCAAGGATAAGATATTCAGCCTTCAAACCCTAGTGAACCCTAGTTGACCAGTCAATTCATCTAATCCAATAAAAATCTCGCAAAAACGCCATGAGAGTGAAAACCATGCGTGTTGAAGGCTCAAAGATGTATTGCCATCTGATCTTGGTACCAATAGGAAACCTCGGATCCAGACTATAACATCACTATAGCTGAAGGTGTAGATAGCATCTCACTCGCATTGGACAAGCGGTGACTGCGCCAGGTACCAACCCTATCGACGCATATGTATCATTACATACCGCACTGTGTGCTATGCTCCGACCATAGCATGCTATCCTATAGCTATCTGTACATGGAGAAAGCTCCTGAGTCCTGATACAAACTACGGGGTAGATCATTTACGGACATAAGACACACCATCTTTTGCCCACTACCAAGATATGATTTCTTCGGGGATTATTCTCATCACCGCACGTCAAATATTTCCATATCCGTAACTTCGGTAAACACAATAATCCTATTTGGGTCCCCACCCTGTTACCCTTCTGCGATCCTCAATACTCAATATTGTCTATTCCCTGTCCTATATTTTGGTTCGAGATGTGAGATGATTGATGATTCGATGAAAAAATGACATTGACCACCAAAACTTTATCTCCTGGTAGGGCTGCGCAATGCTAGCTCATTAATGCTGTCTGTGGTAAAGAAATCATGTCCTGAATTTACTCGGATCATCTAAGATCATCGAAAATCTAAAATCTAAAATCATCTAAGATTAAAAACTGCACACGCACTGTCGTAGAACTAGATATGGATCGTCTATATTCTCAGTACATCAATAGTCAAGCCACGATGAGGCTATGTTTCCGTTTCGTTTCCTTTTTCCATCCGAGCAGAGTACAAATTTGTTGCGCCTAATTGATGAGATGACACAAAGGATGTGGCTTTCTCGTCTATGCTTTCTCGGTATCGAATGCAATTGTCATCATATATGTAATTTCATAGCAATAGTATTTCTTGACAAGTCATTCGCTGGTATCACCGAACGTAATTTATGATTGCCTCTTCTGGATATCTTGCCTCATCTTTGTACTCATGATCGACAACTAGTCCTTCTCTGCGATTGCCTGTAACCTCTCGTCAATCTCCTCTTCTGTTAAAGCCCTGAACCCCGGATCTGTACCCTCCTTTCCGTCTTTTCTTGGGCCTCCAACAATACCAATCTCCAACTCTCCTTTCTTAAAATCGACGCTGAGAACTGTGCTCAGAGTTGTGATGCCTAGTTCCACTACATCTTCCCAGCTTCCTTCTGCACAATCCTTGTTCTTGAGCTTCTTCTCCAGATGGTTGAACGCCTCTTGCTGTTTCGGGCCCGAAGCCGTTCCTTTGTAGCCAGTGTAGTAACCAGCTGGGTCGCATTTGTACAGTTGAGGACCAAACTCAGAATCCAACGATATCAAGGTGGTTGCAACACCGTATGGTCTCATGTATGCCTAAAAAATTATTAGGTTAGCAAGGTGAAGAGGGATACAATAGTATCCAAGATCCCGAACGGAGGTTCCATTAGGTAAGCTTACTCTTTGGGTATAGACTTGGCTGATATTGGCGATCCTCTTTGCCAGGGCATCACACGGCATCTCGTATCCAAACTTGTATCTAAATTCTGCAGCCTCGCCAATAGCTCTCTGGACGGAGGCTCTTGCATCTGCGATAGAACCTGTCATGACGCATCCTACGGATGGTGACAATTGAAAGATGTGGGAGACGGATGATGGATCGATGAGCTTATCCTACATGGACCACCAATATATTAGTATTGAATTAGAATTAGAATCTGGAACAATGTGTCGTACGGGGACCTTCTTTTGAGACAAGACAACGGCACAATCTTTTCCTCGAATGCCTACGGACATAATGTTCGCAGCGGTGATGGCTTTGAAAGCATATTCTATCCTCATAAGAACAGTTAGTTAAATATCATGGCATGTTTGCGTCGGATTAGGATCTCGATAGGTCAATAAAGCTGAAGATCCTACGAATCCCATGGCTCTAACAGTTCTATTTGCGTCTGTGTCTACGTACCGACTTGATATAATCTTCCTTGATCAGAAAAGATTGTGATATGTCTATCATAACCCGCGCTACCTATTTAGAACTGTTAGCTTAATCTGCTTGAGCTTCTCCAGAAGCTTGTCTGGAAGCGGGCGCGCCAGAACAAACGTACCCGACATTTTGAAGAAGTTGACTGCGTAGCTATATTTGAAGGATGGGGCACCTCGCGAGTGTGATTAATGGTAGAGCTGAATCAAAAAGTATCGTGATTTTTTGTATGAGGAATCAGGATGTTGAAGGGATTATGAAGCTTCAAGATTGTTATGTACAGACAGTAGCTATCAACCTTTACACGCGGAAGCTTGAAGCCTGGACTAAGATGTTAGTTCAAAATGGTTTAGCGCCGGAACTTAAAGCGGCGGGAAATCTTATCAAGAAAAAAAGTTACTTTGCGGACCTTCACACTCAACATCAATCTGAACATCATTTTTTGGTTTTTTATATAATAACAAGCCGTACATAGAGTGTAAACTTCAGTTCATGCATTTGCAGGCTGGTAGTCTCTCCAATTCCTCGGATCCTTCGCCATGATACCTTCTTCCGCGAGTGGAGGTGCGCCACGAATCCCCTCATGGAAACGATTAGGCTTGAAGTTAAAGTCGGCCCAAGATTCCTCAGATATCAATCCTCAAGCCTCAATTACCCAACCTCTTAGAGAAATCGAAATCGCAAATAGGAAAAGGCCAAGAGACACCGAGTTCGAGCACGATACATCTTCGAAAAAGTCGAAAAATCTCAACTCTCATCCTACTTCTAAACTACTACGGCCAACCGCTCCCGATTCAATTACTACACCTAAAAAGTCTGCGCTAAAGAAGTCAGTCACATTCACTCCAGAGACGAAATCACAAGATGGCGATAGTATAAAACAGTTATACTTAGGTTGGGTAGCCGATCAGAAAGCTCAAGACGACTTCTTCTACGGTCCTTCCACTAGCCAAGCTTTTGAAACTCCCGCACCACCTATAGTCGAAGAACAGTTTGATACCACGCTTCCAGAAAAGGAACGAAGGGTGAAAAGAGTGAAGAAGCCAAAATCCGAAGACAAACCACAAAGTGGTACACACGAGAAGGATTTAAAGTCTCCAAAGTCAGTAAAGAAGTCGAAGGTCTCGAAACCTACCGCCGCTCCACGTCCGTTCTTAGCGTATCTAAGACAGTATCACGAATCGAGGGAGACGTGGAAGTTTAATAAGAACCATCAAAATCATCTACTGAAACACGCTTTCGACGTTGAGGTCGTTCCTTCCGACCACGTTCATCTCCTCTACGAGTACGTCAGAGGCTTGCAGGGAGGGGTGAGAAAGCGACTCCGAGACGAGGCATTAGCTATCAAGGTGAAAGATCGAGAATCAGACGCTTCTGGTTTTCCAGCGACAATGGCAGACAGTAACAAAAGACAAAGAGAGTACGATCTCGCTATGAACGAGTATGTTGCGTCAATGACTGCTGCTGGCGCATCTTCTCAAATGGGATACGAAGAAGGGGTACTCATGGGACTATCGGACGTAGCAATGGCTCCGAGAATAGCCAAAAGAATGAGAGCTGAGCAAACGCTTGCTGAATTAGGCTCATCCTCGGAAGAAACAACAGACACGCAAACTGCAGAAACAGAACCTGTGGCCACGGACGGAGAAAAGCGGTTGCGATTGAACGATGGTATCACTCAAAAGCTCGGAAGAAAAAGAAAGCAACGAACACTTGCCGCGGATGATTCGAGCTCTTCTGACTCGGACTCAAGTAGTGACTCGGATGACAGCAGCTCCGAAGATGAATCGATGGCAAATGGTGATGACACGGACGAATCATCAAGTAGTTCATCAAGCAGTTCATCTGGTTCGGATAGCGATGATGATTCATCCAGCGAAGACAGGTCGAGCAGCAGTGAAAGTGAGGACAGCGAGGGCGGCATACAACAGTGAACGAGGGCGGGCTACTAGTCACGTGTTATCTCTCATTACATACCAGGGTTTGAGGACTTGTTGTAATTGGCGACGTTGGAACAATTTCAATGTTCCCATGCTACCAACATTTACTGGACAATGAATGAGCCCGTGGGACGGGATGGAAGTGCATAATGTTTTTCCTTATAAATGGCCTAAAATGTATGGCTGAAGGGACTAATACATGTTGGTGGCTAATTAATGCTTGTGGTTGGATCATTCGATAACCAAATCATCCGAGATACCCCAAGTGAAAGTCAATGGGCAACAATACATCTTTGCTCTTTCACCAATAAAATATCATTTCTCATGTAATAACTGCTAGGTACTTCTTATCAGTAACTTTGTGATACCGTAGCGCTTTCTGCACGCCTCGTCTGCATACCTAGGTAGGTATATGCAATCATATCAAAATCGGTCCTCGTGATCATGTGCATGTATTTATTACTAGGTATGTATTCTGGTGTCTTCCGTTTACTCGCGAGCCGTCAACGTCATTCTGACCCTCCACTTTTGAAGCCAGCCAATCATTGTGTCAAATTTAGACATTTCCCTCATTATCTGCCACCAACACCACCTTCCATAAAATCAAAAGAATCCCATCACTTCAAACATGCACAACACCATCTTCTTAACATTGTGAGACTCGATAAATATAATTGAAGGAATCGGATATTTTTCCCATATAATTTTCACCGCCATTAGTGAACGATAATTGCAAGACTTTCATTATTGACGAATCGCACGATTAAGCAGGCAGGCCGCCGTTTGTGCATTGCACCTGGACATGTATAGATAGGTATATTGCACGTACTACCTACTGCACATACCTACTGCACATACCTGCTGCATAACCTTCTAAGACCCATCTGATTCAATTTCAACGTCTCCTACCCCTCATTCCAAGTTTCTTTAAAGATTTTCGCTGTCTTCCATCTTCATTTCACTTCTCTTGAAAACCAGACGATATTCCAAATAGCGGAAGACGAGATTGGAAAATACATTAGGGTTAGAGGAGAGGTGGAATTCAGGAAGGTTACGAAAGTAATCTTGGGTACATTTACAGCACGATGACGAGAGTTTTTGTTTATACCATCGCTCTCGCGGCTTTTGTCGCCGGTATGTTTGTTATTCTTTATACCAATTATCTTTTTTCAAATTCTTGTCCTTGAACTTCACCCATATTCATAACGAAAATAGTATGGGATAAAAGCTAATTACTTCATATGTATAGCGACGACATTGACCTTCGTATCAATCTTCACACCCGATTGGATTTCATGGGATATGACGACGCCGAACGGAAATCATGTAACGAAAACGATAGGACTTCATCGCGGCTATAGTTCGCTGACGGGCCACTCTTCTCATTTCCCCACACCTGAAGATTGTGCGGGGCCAGATCGAAGATTCTGCTCTATGTGGCGATCGGTGGGATTTCTCATGTCTTTCGCAGCTGTGGTAGAATTGGTTACGTTGGTTGCATATGTGGTTGTGCTACTTGGTGGCAAACAGAAGAGAGAAACCGGTTGGAAAATACTAGTTTTCATGTTGGTGCTAGTGGGTGTAGTTCAAGCGGCTAGCATGAGTATTGTGGTATGTTGTCATTACCTTAGGGATGAATGGGGCGTGGGGCGAGATGATACTGACAATCGATAGGCATATCTTTATGACCATGATGAACAATTCTTTCCGGGCTGGAGGCTGGATAAGGGATGGATCTTCTGCACTGTTAGTTGGTGTATCTCGATTGTGTCGGCTGGATGTATTGCAATCTCCGCCTTTGCGTTCTCTCCTGAAGATGGCTACGAACTCATACCAAGTGAGCGATACGGAGGACTTTCCGGCTGATTTTTTTTTCGATCAACACACACGAAGTCAAAACAAACTAATATGGTCACAACGTTTCGGTTTTACTTCTCTGCGGTATCTATATTTCTGGGAACACATTGATTGTTCTTTTGGCAAGATTTTACAAGACGCTTAGCAAAGGGTGGTTGTTCTTCTGCATTTGGAGCATTTTTAAGGGGGCTGGCTGTATGAATCTACGCGTATACGACTGATGGACTGTTTTGGATTTAATTAATTTGATTTAATGGTGAGAACCTAGGAGTTAGGCTAATGAAAGCATGCTTCATCCTGATTATACTTAGTCTCCTGCACTGCGTTTGCATCAAAAATTACGATAGCGCCGAGGCTCATCTGAAAATCTTACCAACATATGCAGCTTCCCGCTGACCATCATACAACGTTACCATGCTGAGAATGTCAGGATAATAAGTGTCATCCATAAATCCAAACATGAAGCAGATAGCCTCGGCCGTTCCTGGAATACAGTACTTGCATTTACATTACCTTGGTTTTGGAACAATAGAATTGTATTCTTCTCGACACTTAATTTATATATGGCTAAAATGTTCGACAAGTAGTACATATGGCTACAGAGGCAATACAATTTTAGCTTGTTTGCTCGTTCACTTATTCACTTATTTGTTTGTTTATTTGTTCATTTTATAGCTTTGGGTTATGATAATGGCGAAGATAGGGAATGAAGAAGGGAAGGATCCCGAGGTGTACGGGTTCATGCATAGAGGTTGGTATTTGTTGTAACTGCTGTGTCACTTGGGTACCTCATGCAGTCCGGGACGAAAAAAGTAGATTGATGTTGTACGGGGTGAGACTAGAAGTGAGGCTTGAGGTTTAGGACTTGAAGCTGACTGCTAAGGAACCGCGGTTTGCTGTCGTCGCACGTTGAATCACCATCACCTGATTGACACAATCATTTTTTAACCCATTTTCAAAATCTTATCATTTCTACAGTCATTCATCATTCTCAACAGTATATCTCACATCTATCGGACCTTTATATCCATTGTGACCGCACAGAACGTGTGAAGAAATAAGTGACGTCTGTATCTCACAGCAAGACGGAGATGCCATCAAACACAATCCACCGACGGCATGTACACTAGCTTCCTCAGCCTTCCTAGCGAATTTCGCAACAGTATTTATGAGCACCTCTTAGTGGTTGGAGAAATCGCCCCAAATAGACCTTTTAGACACGAAGGCCTTACTCCGGCGCTCCTTCTCACATGTAAGACTGTCTATGACGAAGCCAGCTCTGTGCTTTACGCAGAGAATATCTTAGAATTAACGTTGGTCGCTGCTGAGTCCTTTCTTCCTCGGATTGGCTGTAAAAATGCCCGTTCCATCCTGCACATCCACATCTCTTTCCCACGCTTCGATTATCTGGAGCTTCATCATGTTGCCTCAAAGATGAGAGCTCTCGCGTGTTAGCGGAAATCTAGAAGTTTTGCGCTAGTTTGATTACGCTTGAAGCAGATGTAGTCAATACCGATAAAGAGGTTATACTCGATAGATTTGATAATTTCGAAATTGTTGCCGAGGCGTTGGCCTTGGTCGATGCTCAATTCAGAGCCATCCCCGCCATACGAAATATCATTATCAACGTGTAGGAGGGGGGCCCCATCTTACATACGTGAGGAAATGAAGAATCATGGGTGGGAAATCCGCACGCACGGATCAATACAAGACGTGGACTCCAATAAGGCGGTCAGTTTGGAATATGATCATCCCGATCATGATAATTCTCTTGACTATCATCTTGATAGACATTTCATCACTCTTTCTTTATGTTGCACTGATTTGAGTCGTTGACTGATACCACAATAGTCTACCGGCGCTTGAAATTCTTGAATCTACACATATCGACTGAGAGACCCAGACAATGGCTTTATTCCTACTGCGCCAATATTATCCTCAGCAACTTCCACTTCGTAGTGCCTGTCAGCCTTTACAACTAGCAGAATACTCCACGCTACCGACCATATTTCCCTATACGACCACTTCTCCTTTGCAGTTACCTTCACAACATGCTCCCCTCAACCGCATTGTTTTCTTAAATGCCATTTCCTTCACGAGGACGGTTTTCTTAATCCATCAGCCCCATTTCATCTTTTCTTTTCGCCCATTTGAAAAAACAGTCTCTTTTCCAAACTTACTTATATCAAAAGCTTATCAGACGAATGCGTCCTGGGAAACACCCATCAAATGCGATTTTGATTTTTATCCTACGTAGGTTTCTTGGTCTGCACTGAATCACGCCAGTCATATTGGGAGAACCTTGTTTCTAAGCAGGCTCAGATTCAGGCTTCTTAATTGAATGAGGAAGATGGATAATGGAAGTTCCAATTTTGGGAACATTTCCTTTGAGAGAACAGCTCTCTCGAGCTCTACATGTGTCATTTGGAGGACAAAAAAGTTCCAAGTGCTTTATGTTTATATGTGGCCAAAATAGGTATATGCTTATTCATCTTCTTCCTTCCTTCTTCCCTTCTACAGGTATTCTGATATTATTATGGATATTTAGCTAGGTATCCTTCAATAATTGAGTTTCAGATACTATGAATCCGACATGATCTGATAGGATCATTTATTAGTCCCATCATCTATCTCAAGGATAAATCCACAGCACTAGTTTGTTCTATCTGCGCTCACTCGAACGAAAGCTTAACATGTAAGATTATATGTTGTTAAGGTTTTATTGCTTCACATCTCTTTCACTACTTACCCAACATATATATTCCATCTAATCATTCATCGACAAAATAGCTCGCTCAAGTACATCGCATATTTGTCAAAAAGCATTTACTTCTACTTCTACATTTATTTATATCACGTTATAATTAATTCAGATTTAAAACTAAGAATGTCTCTCTACACTATCCTTATATCGTACTTTCACTAAATGCATCGGCCTATAATATTTTGTTCTCCGCTCATCCTGCCTCCTATTCTACGCAAGGCGATAGTTAGATTTCCCATTATGCTACCTCTAACTCTACTTTTACTTTTATTTTGGTGTTAACCTATTCCTTTATTTTAGGATCTTGGACTTTCCAGGCTTCATACCGTTCTCTCCTCTATCCTATCATTTCAATGATATAATTAATATCCGTATAAATTTAATCTCATCTGTGAACCTTTAGTCCAAGATATATACACCGTGATATCATCTAACTTAAGCTGTACCCTAACCGCACAGTAGAATACAGTGTTTCCTCGAAATTTCAAATTACCAAAAAGCAACGGTTCAGAATATTTCAAATACATTCCAAAATCTACAACCTAGTAAATCCCCCCTCTGGAGGCTGTAACCAATTTCTTTCATCATAAACCGCCTCCCCCTCAATAACATGAAACGTGTAAATAATCCTGCCCTTCTGACTCGTATTCCTCTCACTCTTATGCAACAAATTCCCATGAATAAGCACCAAATCCCCCGCCTTAACTTCACCCAACACATAATTCTCCTCCTGGTCCCCTTTCTCCCTCCTCTCCAACCTCCTCGGGAACCTCTCCCCGTCATTCCCCACAAACTCTGTTCCCCCTCCCCCACTCTTCCTCACAAACCTCTTCCCCACCCCCTCCCACCTATGACTCCCAGGCCAAAAACTCAAACATCCATTTTCCTTCGTGGCATCTTCGAGCGCGTACCAGAAACCTACTGCGCTGGGTGGATCGGTGTATAAAAATGTGCTGTCTTGATGTGCTGGGACCGCACCCCCGATCTCAGGGTTCTTGCAGATTATCATTGATTGAAGACATTGGGGTTGTTGGAATCCGAGGGATTTGGCAATTAGGGAGGGTGAGTGTGTTGATTGGGGTGAGAGGAGTGCGGCGAAAGGGGGTGAGAGAGTGTGTAGGGCGTGTCCGATTTTGTTTATGGAGAGGTGTTTGGGTTTTAGGAGTTCGCCTTTTAGAGAGAGGGCGTCTGATTTTAGGATTAGTAAAAAATAATGAAAATGTATCATTGGGTAAATATAGATATGGACATGGAGAACTCGAAATTGAATGTAAAAGCCCTGGAACACATACCCTCTTCAAAGAAAAACCGTATCTTATCACCACTCTCCAAAAAATAGCTATCCCCTACATGTTCGACCTCCTCACCCTCTCCAGTACTAAATTTCGTCATAGGATGATCTTCCAATGAGAAATTGTTCAACATAGAATGCGTTTCAGAGAGAAGGGAAGAAACTGTTTCTGGGGAAAGGGCGCCTGGAATTATTGAATAGCCATCTTTGTTAAAGGTGTCGAGCTGTTCTTTTGTGAGACCCTTGGAGGCCGCAGGACCAAGGGGTGTGGGTGATGACATTTTGTTTATATTTGAGGGGGTTGCTATTGTTGTGAGAACGGGGGTTTGGTAGCAAGGGGAGAATGAAGTTGAAATAGATGGATTTCCTTATCGGATGACCCCTCATCGATAAGCCTACCTAGTACATATTCAAAGTATATCTAAGCCGAACTACGTCGGGATTGTCCGAACGGCTAGTTAGCCGTAGAATCCAATTTACAAGTTTGAATTGAATCATGAAGTTAATTGCAGAACTACCCTTAGGCGCGGCATGTCTCCATAAGATCTACAGCACTAGCAGTTAGTGATGTAAAGAGGGTTACAAGAAGGAAGAGGTAGCAACCTCCGAAATCGAAGGAAACAATTCGGAATTTATCTAAAGTATTATTATCTATTCATTTAAATAAAGTCGATAAAGAATGATAAAATATCTCCTACATATATTACTGTTTTATTCATATCGAGCATTATGTTTTATTAAATAGATATCTACTATCTAACTTATCTAAATAATTGTAAAAAGCAGACCTTTAAAGCCTCTTTCCTACTTACTCACCTCATTACTTTAGTTACCTACCGGTGGAAAAGAAAAGACAATCCAACTACTTCCACTTAAGGACTAAAAAATGCCGAAAAAAAAATAATTGGTCGCTGAGGGGTTCGAACCCTCGCATCTCTCGATAATGGTGATTTCTACTTCAAATGAAGCTTCTTAAAACCATCGCCTTAGACCACTCGGCCAAACGACCAGCTTGTACTTGTTATTGGGATGCATCTCATATTTGATAATATATTTTTTGCAAACTGTGTGGGGAAATATTTGAGTGGAAAGGATTCATGCGGCAACTGGACGCCTAAGCTTAATTAGTCTATAATTCAGCAGAATTCGAAACCAGCGTATGTTGAATTGAATATAAGCTTTTGAGCCCTGAATGAACCAAGGCGGTGACTTATACAGGTTTTAGTGTTGAGCTGGCACGTGAGCTCTCCTAATCAATATTTGAACCTCAAAATCTTTATCTCATTCTCAGTGTTACGACGGCTATCATCAAACGCCGCGTCACATGACTAACTTAGGGTAACGTGGCCTTGAGTCACGTTACGGACCCCTGAGGAGCGCTGGCGGTCCTGACTAGCTATAGGCACGAAGGTTTATATAATCAAGATGGATTTCCTTTGTATAGAGCTTCGTGCTCAAGATCAATCATTTAGTATACTCTACTATTAGTTACAAATTATATATCATCATTATCATTACTTAAGTCCCTGCTTGATGTCTAGTTATAAACCATCTCGATGTCACACTCAAGAATACTGGGTAAAGTATCTTGTATTAGAAAATACTAAGCTAAGGAGAAAAGAAGAAGGAAAACAAGAGTAGAGAGTTTTCCTATGATTAAATACAAACGGGGCATGCCACGTGACCCGGAGGTGTGAGGCGTCACACTCGAGAGCCTAGAGCACTTTGTAACGATACTGTACCGGAGGCAGCGGCTGCCTGAGGTTTCGTCTGATTGGTAGTTGTGGGTTAAGGCTTTATCACTAGTCTTCACTTGGAAGTGAAGTCGTTACTAGATCAAGTAGAATGTAGGTAAACTAATTGATAACTAAGTTGAGCACGAAGCTCCTAAACTATGAAACTACTCTGACTATATACTGAACAATAAAGGGGGCCCCTAGGAGCTTTCTGGCTCCTCAAGACTCCTTATCACGCGATTTCTGATGGTGCGTGCGCATACGATCTTCAGGTGACCAAGATCACATACTAATTCGATGAAATCTGATCGTGTTTGCACACGGCCTAAGCTCTCCTAATTAATCAGTTTGCTACCATCGTAACACCATCAATCCTAATGGTGAATCGTGACAATAACGTGGTTTATCACCGAGTGGATCACTTCCACCTCAATTCTTGATCTCCCACTTCAACACGTGTTTTATCAATCAATTGAAATGCAATCGAATAATAAAGAAGCTCGAATACTTTTAGCTATTGAGGCTATTCAAAAAGACAAAAAACTCAGTATTCGAAAAGCTGCCAAGCTATATAATTTACTATATACAACACTCAATCACAGAATGAAGGTTTTACTCCCTGTATCGAAACTCGAGCGAATTGTCATAATCTTACAAAGTTAGAAGAGGAGGTGATTGTTCAATATATACTTGATATAGATAGTAGAAGGTTTCCACCTAAAATTAAAGATGTGGAAGATATGGCGAATTATATTCTTGAATCAAGAGGTGCAAAGAAAGTTGAAAAGCTTTGAGCTCATCGATTCTTAAAGCATCATATAGCATTAAAAACATATTTTAGTCGTGTTTATGACTTTCAGAGAGCTCTCTACGAAGATCCCAAGCTTATTGGAGAATGGTTTCGACTGGTATCGAATATGCGAGCAAAATATAGTATTCTCGATTGCGATTTCTACAATTTCGACGAAACCGGCTTTATGATGAGTATAATATATCCCGGAATAGTTGTAACTAGTATTGAACGAAATGGGCAGAAGCAAGGCAATACAATCAGGCAATAGAGAATAGGCTACAGCGATTATATATGGTAATGGGGAGGGTGAAACTATACCCCCATTTCTGGTGGTTCAAGGATAGGTTCATCTTTCCAATTGATATACCGAAACCGATTTTCCTGCGGATTGGGCTATTAAACCTATTTCCAATGGATGGACAAACAATGAGATAGGTTTAGAATAGTTGAAACACTTCAATAAGCATACTCTGAATCGAAGAAAGGGCAAATATCGAATGTTGGTGTTGGATGGGTATGAAAACCACGAATCTGTAGCTTTTCAATCATATTGCAAGGAGAATGACATTATATATATCAAATTACCACCGCATTCAAGTCATTTAACTCAACCATTTGATATTGGCTGTTTTAGCAATCTAAAACGTTCATATAGTAATCAAATTGATGAATTTATCAAGGCATATATCAACCATATATCGAAGATTGAATTCTTTGCAGCTTTCAAAGCTGCATATCAAGAATCAATCACAGCTCAGAATATGAAATCAGGATTCCGAGGAACAGGTCTAATACCATTTAATCCTGAAGCTGTACTTTCGAAACTAGATATTCGAATTCATACGTCTACCCCTCCTCCTTTCGATCCAGATATATGGATCTCTCAAACCCCTCACAATCCAACTGAAGCTCTTTCACAATCAACTTTAGTAAAATCTCGAATAACACGTCATCAATCAAGCTCCCCTACACCTATATTTGAGACTGTACTAGCTCTAACTAAAGGTATAGAGAGATTAGCTCATGAGAATACACTTTTAAATGCAGAGATTCGTATACTTCGAAAGACAAATATAGCATTAAACAAACGTTGATGTGCAAAAAAAACTCAATTGCATCAAGGAGGAGTACTTATTGAACAAGAGGCTGCAGATATATTATCTCAACAAGAGGTTGATATTTAGATTCAACACGACGAGCATCAAAAAGGGGGGAATTCTAATAGGGAAGCATCTTCTAATCGATGCTGTAGTAAATGTGGAAAAACAGGACATAATGCAAGAACTTGTCAAAACAGTATGATAGATCCTAGATTATTAGATTCTTAATAGCTTTAATCAATTGATTCAATTGTTGTTGAATGATACGAGTTTAAAGTGGTAAGTTGAGGTGAAAGTGATCCACTCGGTGATAAACCACGTTAATTTATAAAAAACTTTAAATATTCCTTTTTTTAGATTAAATTTATATTACGAAGTATGCCGTCCAGATCATGTGGAAGTGCTCTAGGCTCTCGAGATGGTTTATAACTAGATTTCAAGCAGGGACTTAAGTAATGACAATGGTGATATGTAATTCGTAACTAATAGTAGAGTATACTAAAGGATTGATCTTGAGCACAAAGCTCTACAGTGAGGGAATCCCTTCTAGTTATATAGATCTTCGTACTCCCTATCCCATCGCTCCCATTTGATTTAAGTCGGTGGGATCGGTGGGAATCATATAATAACAGAGTCTGTGCTTTTCAGATCCCCACATGACCTTAATCCCATACTATTTTGATCGAATCGCATCTCGTAGGCATACGATCGGTTACTGTAAGATCTGTGATCGTAATACTAGAAGCCTATTTGGGATGCGAAGACTCAACACCTGTATACGGTGCATTCTACGAATCTCCAGCTCTCTTATAAGAGTCTGCGGAGCTAAGTTTGAATCATTTAATAGAGTTATAATAATTGGAAGAGAAAGAGGCACCTAATCACAATATTTTTACCTGTTTGCGGTTTTTTGACAGTTGCATTATCGAAGTGCATTCTCTATAATATTACTTTTATTATAAAACAAAGGACAATATTATCATTTACGATAATACGCTACGAAATCATCTCATTTCTTGAGAGTAAGACTCCTCTGAAATATATAATACAACTCGACATCTTTGATATGTATATAATATATATTGTATATCTTCTACAATCAATACAATCGAAATAACAACAATTTATATACTTTCTGTTGGTACGAGAAGGATACGGAAGACGTAGCACCCACGGATTACGTAGGTCCTGTATGTCTAATTGTATTCTGTCTAAAGAGCTAGCTACATATTGAAAGTAGTAAGTCTTATATAGACTTACTAAAAGAGCTAGTCTCTTTCGCGTTCGCTTAGTTCTTTATTACAGTAGTAATTAAATTGAAGTCATTCACTTCGTTCACACAATTACAATACATTCTGGTATATAAGAAGCAATTGGATTGATGGTATCGGGAAGGGGAGCAGGAATGAAGGGTTTTCGAGTACAATGTTTTGATTGGCATTTATCTTTCTTTCTAGCAGCGTTTCGATATAATAAATCTTCTTTAAGGATCACGACAGCTATGGAAATGCGCTTAAGAATCAATCAAACATTAGACATAGTTATATGTACATAGCTATTCATAGCTCAGGAGTAACTCTCTGGCGGCCTTTGCCCCAATAGGGGATGTCATGAGAATGGGGGGGGCTTCGCCCCCTCGGCCTCTGGCCGTTAAATAATAACACACACACACACACACACATCTCAAACACCACAGGATCCTCGCAAGAGATCTTCTCATCCTTCCGACGAACGGCATCAGGTTGGCCCAATGGCACAGTGCACATCCGATGGGTCCCAGGACATAAAGATGTGGCAGGAAACGAGGCAGCAGACAAAGCAGCCAAAGCAGGAGCAGCACTCCCGCAACCCGAAGGAGCCTACTCATATGCAGGACTCAGAAGAGAAACTAAAGGCCTCAGGCAAAAAGCAATAGACAAGCTATGGTCGACGGTGATCCCTCAGACATACAGAGAATTGGAGATACACTCATCACCAAAAAACCCCAAGGAACTCTCTCTGCCTAGAAGCTTCCTAGGACGTCTGTTAGCCATCCGTTCAGGACACGGCGACTTTGCAGCATACCACGAACGCTTCAACCATCAGGACGCACACCCTCACTGCAGATGCGGTGCCCGCAAAGCTCCCCTACACTTCTTCTTCTGTCCTATTGCCAAAAGAAAACACCCCCAGCCGAAAGGCAAACCAGCTGACCTGATACCATACCTCTGTGGGACATTCGAAGGAGCGGAGCTGCTCGCAAGATGGACGAAAGCCAATAGCTTTTTCACGGATATATGCCCTCGACACTACCCTCTCCCCGGCCCTGAGGGCCCCATACAAGATCACGAAACTCCAAGGGATAACGATAACCCTACAGGCTAACAAATTGACAGATAAATTTATTGTTTCCTTTGTAAATTTCCTTTGTAAATTTCCTCTTTAGACTTTCCCTAAATAACCAAAAAAAAAAAAAAAAAAACAGCGTTTTGTGGGAGCACTCAGAAGGTCACGGGGGTTAGGCGGACCGGCTGCGGCTTGGCAGACTTTCGTATTATGTAATCTCCCCACTAAGGGGAAGTTCTGGTATTTCACTGAGATCACGGCAGCTATGGAAATGCGCTTAAGAATCAATCAACCATTAGACATAGTTATATGTACATAGCTATTCATAGCCCAGGAGTAACTCCCTGGCGGCCTTTGCCCCAATAGGGGATGTCATGAGAATGGGGGGGCTTCGCCCCCTCGGCCTCTGGCCGTTAAATAATAACACACACACACACACACTAGAAGCCTATTTCTGGAAAATCATTGTCTCCAGAAGGCATAAGAGACAACAATTATATCATATCTAAATTATTCGATTCCATTTCACTCTCACCGGGAGATTAAGCTTCGCTTGTGCTCTCTTTCCCTTCTTAAAATCCTCCATCTTCAATCCACACAATCTCTTTTCAATATTCACCAGTTTGGTATCAATAACCTGTTTCACACCATGCGTAGACAAATGACGATACTCAAACCCCTTGATTGGTGATAAACTGTCACAAAGAGCGATAACTGTAACTTTTCGGATCTGATTGGCTACATAATTGAATGTGAGATCTGTGTTTGTAAGATCTGGTACGGGATATATGCCTAATTTTGTGGCACTCTGGAGAAGGGTTCCCAGTACCATGCCACTGCATTCAAATGAAGATTTGCGGGGCGCGGTGCAGTGGTGTTTGCCAGTATGCAATATAGTTGCGACTATGGAGTAGGCGTCGGTTATCGCGGCTAGTCTTCGTTTTTGGATTGCATCTTTACTATCGTTAGTCATGTGCTTGACACTTGAAGAGATGGGAACTTTCTTACCAACTCGATTTGCAATCGGAATGTCATCTCTATCTTCACCAATCCTACCCTTGCTTTGTCGTTCTGCAATCCGAGTAGTCTCTTTGAAGATACTTGATTTTTCAAATACCCAAGCAATGCTAAGCCATGGGAGTAAATCGTCTGTAAGTTCCTTCGGTATTTCAGATTCAAGCTGGGATATCCATCTATCAGAAATAATTTCAACCACCTCACGTAATTGATACTTATCAACCAGAGTGGATATCCTCGATAGGAGATCTAAATCGATTTCGCGGGGAACACTCCTTGTCCGACCATGAATAATACACATCAAAATAGCAAAAGCATCCGGGTCGTCATCAGGAAGGGAAATTTCAACCTTGCCAGCAAAAGCTAGTTCTCGACCTTCTTTGAAATGGCTGGCTTGAAGCATGGCTTTGAATACAGGAGAAGCAAGGCTCATGTGTTTGGATGATACTAACATATGTACATCTTCCCTGGCGGCAGTAGCTTCGTCCGTTAGGACATTCTTTTCCAGGGAGTCTCGTGGTTCTGGTTCTGTTGATTCCTTTGAATTTTCTTCCTCGTCTGTGTCTTCCCATGCTGCGTCCTTTGAGAGGACTAGGACTAAATCTCCATCGGGATCATATGTAACAACCATCTTGCTGAATCCCTTTTGAACACTGAGTCTTGACTGCTGTTCTTGTATGTTGAATTTGAGAAGCTCATCCCAATGAGTTAGGAGATTAGAGAGGATATTAAATTACCAAGATGATTATTTCTCAACAGGTTCAGTAATGTGAAATAAATATCCATCTGTGATGAGATATTGGGAAACATGATCATTTTTATAGATGTATCTTTCCCTGTTGCCTGATGTTTGACAAGTCATGATTGATCGCCTTACAGACGAATCTACGGTAGACTTGTAAGGCTGACGCATACAGCTTTAATTGTGGCTGAAATTTAGCTAAAATGGCAAGGCCAACCCCACTAATTTCTGCCCCGCAGCCTTGTTTCATCGTGGTCTTCCCCAAGTATCTCGAAGTCATTAATAGTAAATAAACCAGAGTTTCCTTTGTGAACTACGTTGATTCTTAAAGCACTTCTCACAGCTCCCAAATTTTTTGAATCCTTGGTATTGACTTGACTCAAGGAAATATGTCTATCGTTATTGACAAGATCCTTGCTGCTTCCCCAGACACTCAACGTGGTCGTCCCTCACAGCTCAGTTGTGATCCAAAGGGGGAGCGTATTGCTTATGCCGTGCGTATATATTTTAGAGTTCACAATATGCCGCTGCTGACTTTCCATATATAGTCTGGCAAATCTGTCTTCGTTCGTAATATCGATGACCCTTCGTTAAGTAAACAGTACACATCTCACACAACCCAAACTACCGTTGCTCGATTTTCTCCTTCCGGTTACTACATAGCTAGTGGTGATGTCTCTGGAACAGTTAAAGTTTGGGACTCTATAGAAGGTGTTAATACCAAGGGGGATTATCATATTATAAATGGCAGAATTAATGATATTGCATGGGATGGAGATTCTCAACGTATAATTGCGGTAGGAGATGGGCGAGAGCGATATGGGGCTTGCATAACTGCAGATAGTGGAAATACCGTAGGAGAGATTGTTGGCCATACTGCGGTTATCAACTCGGTCGCAATTCGCCAACAAAGACCCCTCAGAGCTGCTACCGGTTCCGATGATCTTAGCATGGTGTTCCTTCACGGGGCACCTTTTAAATTCAATGCTAAGCTGGGAGAGCTTCATAAAGGTTACATTTACGGGGTAGGATTTTCGCCGGACGGAAATCATCTGGTAAGTGTTGGAGCGGATCGCAAAATTCAATTATATGACGGAAAGACTGGTGATGCGAAAGCAAACTTTGGAGAGGGAGAACATAAGGGGAGCATATTCAGTGTCTCGTGGGCAAAAGACTCAAAGAGACTAGTCACAGCGAGCGCTGATCAAACAGTCAAATTATGGGATGTCGAAGCTGGTAAGGCGGTTCAAACTTGGAGATTCGGCGGAGAAGGAAATGTTAGCATTCCAGATCACCAGGTTGGTGTCGTATGGCCTTCTCGCAGTGATGGAATGATTATCAGTTTGAACTTAGCTGGAGACCTAAACCATCTGGCTGAAGGAACGGATAGACCAACCAAAATTGTCCAAGGACACGGTAAAGCTATTACAGCTATCGGCTCAAGCCATACGGAGAAGGGACAAACATTATGGACAGGTAGTTTTGATGGTCGAGTCTGTTCTTGGGATGTCGGTACTGGTATTGGCTCTGCTACGGAAGGCTCCTCGCACACCAATCAAGTATCAAGCTGGGCTAGCGCTGGAGATAAATCCTATAGTGTTGCTTGGGATGATACTTTACGAACTATCGATGTCCCAGGAAACACTTTCATCGGGGAGGCAGCTAAATTGAACGGACAGCCCAAAGGACTCGCAGCTGGGGATGATGATAGATTATATGTCGCTACCACCAACGGTATCGATATCTTCTCTCAAGGTACACTCGTAAATACAGTGACAACCAAAGACTTTACTCCAACATCTATTACAGCAAACGGAAACAGTGTAGCGGTGGGAGATGAGGGCAATGTTGTACACGTCTACACGGTTGACGGAAACAATTTGTCTCCCAAAACAAAACTTACAAATTCTTTAGCCCAAATCTCCGCACTGGAATTCTCGCCTAGTGGAGATCTCCTTGCAGCAGGAAACTCGTCAGGAAAAATTCATGTTTATGATACAACAAGTTGGGAAATCAAGACGGATAGATGGGGAGGTCATACGGCAAGAATAACCAGCATTGGTAAGTTTTTTTTATTTTCTTTTGAGATGTCTTGCCCAAAGCTGAAATACCCTCGACGCCTTTTTCGATTTCCAAGCCGCATAACTAATGTTTCTCTGCAGATTGGAATCGAGCCGGAACCCACGCTGTGAGTGGTAGTCTCGATACCAACATCTTTGTTTGGAGTCTTGCCTCACCAGGAAAGAGAGTCAAGGCTCCCAATGCGCATAAGGACGGGGTTACTGGTGTTCGTTGGGTCGATGGTGGAAAGAAGGTCGCTTCCGTTGGTGGGGATGCTTCTTTGAAGGTTTGGGATGTTGCCGGATTATCCTGAAGCAAAATATGTCTTTAGAACGCGTGCGATGTGCCTATGCATATTATTTCCTCTCGCGACGTTGCAGATTTTAGCGCAGTAAGATATCAAGTGAAAAGCATTTATTAAGAGCTAAATAAATATAGATTCGTTCCATTGAGAACTTGAGAAAATGGAAAATAACTTCAATCGTGAATGGAACGACGTTGGAAATAAGGGTCCGCGATAATTTCAAAGGATCCCGAAGAAGTCAATGTTTTCAGTGACGTGGAAATTGATCACAGCATTTCCAAACCATGAGGTTATGGGAAGTTCAAACGGGTCGTGCAAACACGACAAGCTTTGCGAACACAATCAAAGCTCCCGTCGTAGCCAAGAAGCTAAGAAGCTCAAACAAGAGGAAAAGACAAGCTTACCGATCCAATTGAGTCTATCGTCGCACGCAAGCAGGGTAAACAGACAAGACGGATAAAATGTAAAATATGATGGAAATGCAAGGAAAACATGCAAATTGGAAATTGGATCCTCCTTAACCCATCTTGGCGTATGTAATATGGCGGAATTTGATTTTATGTGAAGTGAAAAGTGGCTCAAATGTAAGACCACCAGTGGACTCAGCCATTCATTTCCTGCTTTTTGACGAGCGCCCAGAAGTCATTTTTGGTGGGATGTGTGGCTAGTTATGCGCTGACGTCATCATCCGTTTGGTTGAATTAACCAATTAAATGAGTGGAACGGAGCTTTCTCTCCATGTTTTATTTCCACTAGTGGAAGGAAGCTAGGGAAGCTAGGGAAGCTAGGGGATCATGCTGATGACTGTGTAACTGCAGGTGTAGTAAGTTTGAATTTTTGTAAACACTGGAAAATTCATGGATTGGGTGAATGGAGTTCGTGGCTAATCCCCTATCCCTTTATTGAATTGATATCATGAAAAAATCAAGGTGTGAAATCTAGAACTGTTTCACCAAAATGTAAGTCAAGGGAAAAGGAAAAGGTATTAAAGTTTGACCTTCCTTCTAATACAAAAAGTCTTGGAGTTGTTGTGATACCATCCTCATTCAAATTCCTTTTGCATCTCATCAGAGTATTCGTCGCTTTTCAAGTCGTTGAGCCACTTTCTCAACTTCATTTAGTTCATTTACTTCATCTCTCCGTTTGTTGCCTCAGCCATAGATCGATCTCATCCTATACCTATCTACGAGATACTAGGTAATTCAAGATGGGCATGTTCTCACGCAAACAGCAGACACCTGCGAGCACAGGACCTGGAGCTAATGTAGCTACTCATGATACAAAACATCATGGTAAAGGACCACTCGTTCTTCCCATGAGCAAACGTCCAAGTTTCGGTCAATGGCTTAAAGTTACCTGGCTAGATATTCTTACTATGGCTGCAATGGGTGCTGTTGGACTGGGTGTTTATGAAGCTCATCCAGCTCCTTCTCGGTCTTTCCCCGTCTATTTTCAAGATGGAGAGATTGTTTACCCTCAATTTGCATACGTGAGTAGTATATCATTCATTCCAATTACCTTCTAATTAAGAAATGCGAACATGTTCTAACATATATTCACCAGCCTCTTCGCAATGAAATTGTTCCTATTTGGGAGGCAGCACTTCTTGCCTCTCTCGTTCCCATCGCCGCCTTCCTCATTGTCCAAATTCGTGTCCGATCTTTCTGGGATATGAATAATGCCGTGATTGGTCTCCTCTATTCTCTCATCACGGCCGCAGTCTTCCAAGTTTTCCTCAAATGGCTCATCGGTGGTCTTCGTCCTCATTTCCTCACCGTCTGCAAACCAAACATTCCAGTTACCACACAACAAGAAACAGGAAATGGTCTCAACTACATCATGTACGATCGAACAATCTGTACGGGTGATGAGGATGAAATTGACGATTCTCTCGAATCTTTCCCATCCGGTCACTCCACCGCTGCATTTGCCGGTTTCGTTTTCTTATCCTTGTATCTCAATGCCAAGCTCAAGGTCTGGTCAAACTATCATCCTGCCATGTGGAAACTCATCGTAACATACGCACCTATCCTCGGCGCAACACTCATCGCAGGTGCCCTTACCATTGACGAATACCACAATTGGTATGATTGTCTCGCAGGAGCAATCATCGGAACCGTCATGGCTTTTTCCGCTTATAGAATGGTATATGCATCGATTTGGGACTGGAGGACCAATCACATTCCTTTGAATCGCGCGACTCCGTTCCCGGGTACTGGTGCCGGTGCGGAGCTTGAGAATGCGACTTTTACGAGACAGGTGGGTTGGGGAAGTGACGGTTATGGTGCGAGTGGTTTTGGTGGTCAGAATCATGGTTATGCTCATGGTTATGGTTATGGTCATCAAAATGCTATGAATGAGGGAATGGTTCAAGGTGGTGATATTAGAAATAAGGAATACCCTCATGGAACTGGTACCACAACCACTGGTATTGGACGGAAACCTGTAGGAACAGGAGCGGGTCATTATAATGGTGATGCTGCGCATATAGTTTGAGATGGCTCGGAGGCTGTAAGAGGATAGACGGAACATGATGAGTAAAGCAAACAAGGCATGACATGGCGTTTTTGATGGATGGATAAAGAATGAGGTTTACGAATATGATACCAGCATGATGTACATCGGGTTTTTGTTTTGCATTTTACATTTTAAACTTTTAAAGATTACATCGGATAATTAATTAGTTTTTAATAAAATGATTTCTATTATTTAATGTGTTTTGAACTGCTCATCACCATGAAGTAATTCGTAGATATATTTTTGTTTATTTTATATTTTTTATTCTTTTTTTCGCTCTAGCTTTTAAATATAATTAATTAAAAATTGATATATAAATTATATATAACTAAAGATTCAACTTTCCATACCTTAAAAAAAAAACTAAAATATAAATTTATATCGAAAATAAATGAGATGGAATCAACCGGGGGGGCAATAAACTTTCAATGGCAAGAGTGCTTTAAAAATGTATATTCATCATCATATCAATCAACACACCAACGCCACAAGCAGCCAGCCTATCTGCTTTCCAAGCATCCATCATTGGTATCCTTATCAACCATCCTACTATGCCATGCCATCCCACAAGTAAAGACCATGAAAATACAATACGCCGCTTTGTCTTTGACCCATCTCGAATCTATTCTCGTATCAATCATCACAATTATCTTTCCTTAACGCTTGATTCACCAGATCTTCCTTCTCTAGCTTTTCCCTTCCCTTTTTCTCTTTCCCTTTCCCTTTCTCGGTTACTTTTCCGCCTGACCCCTGTATATACGTCATTAAAATTCATTACCACACCTAAAAATCTCATATCCGTGTCCGGTTGATACGCCAAATCCCCTAGTAATAGAGAAATCCTTGTTTTAAATTGCGTTCCTAATCCACTCAATCTGTCTGCCAATAGAGGGAATTCTTCTTCTTCACCCTGAATATTTGAAAGGTTGAGATTTAAAAGTGCAGGGTTGGGGTTCTCAAAAGGAGATCGAGAGGGAGGATAATCATCGAAACGAGTTCCGGGTCGAGAGGAGGTGGTACCTGTCGGGGGGACCGAGGGAGAATTGGCGTTTTGACGTTTGGAGTATTCCGTTACGCTGAAGGAATAAAGCCCGTCAACTGCGTCGCGGTATGATAGCATTAGTCTAAGGATTTCGCCTAATTGAACCATAAAAGTATTATCATCAAGGTCATTAGAATGTTTTTTCTTGGCGCCTAGAAGACCTTTATGTGTGATGGCATTGAGGTACTTGGTATGCGCTTTGATAAGATCGTCAAGTGTGCAACCATCTTTGTGAATTGCAGATTGGAGTTCATCCCAAGAGGACTCGATGACTTCAAAGAGAATATAGTATTGAAGTTGAGCGATGAAGTGAATCATTTCTGCAAGGACGCCACGAGTTTGTTTCCAAGATTGATGGAAGGCGGGATCAGGAGATCCGAGTAGGACACCGCGGGCGCCGGTCATACATTTACGCCAGGTGGTAGAGAGGGCAAATTCAACACGTTTAATACGCCATAAGAAGTTAAAAACTTTGAGGTATTGTCGGTTACCCCATTCGGTTACTACGACATCGACAGGGGCATCGATTTTGTATTCAAGTGTGAAACAATCCCAACCTATATCACCATGAGACAGTTGCAACATGCGAGCATCAAGACGTCGGAGAACCTCGGGAGAATCGTATTGCGCATTAGAGCCACGAATAGCGTGTTCAAGTTGAGCTGTCAGGGTATGTCGATATTGGGCACCTGCGGGACGATCAAGATTTGATGCGAGAGATTCCATGAGTAGAGCGATAAAATCTCCCTGCCCTAGAAGGATATAGTTTTTAAGAGCCTTAAGATGCTCAAAAAGATGAAACTTGTCCGACATTAGGTGGATTAGTCGAGCCATTGTTGTCTTGTAAGCTTCATCAATCCATGTTTCTAACGTTGCGGTATCACCATATCGTAGTTCTTTTGAAGCATCTTTTGAATATGCCTCCACCCATTGAGAATCTCCACAGCCATAACGGATGAAGTTCAAGGACTTTCCGATCAAAAAGACCTTTTGAGCGAAATCCTGTGTAATGATACTTGGTACCATATCTTCATTAAGTTTGTATTTGTCCTCCCATACACTACTGGCACCTCCTCGACTTCTGCCATCTTGGGCTTCTTGAATCGCATTGGGATCTTGCTCCGAGACGAAAAATTCATGATAGGGATCAGATAATTCTCCATCATAAATCCAATGTCGAAGCATATCATAAAATGGCCGAGTGACATGAATCAACAAGCGTTCGGCAAAAGCTCCTACCATTGGGTCCCCATGTGATGACGAAAATCCATGGATCAAGGTAATGAGCTGGCCACCCTTTTTGCTTTTCGATTCTTCACTTATTAAACTCATTAATCTCAAGCCCATCGTAGCTTCTCGGGTCCATACCACGCATCTCTTAAGAGTGACTCCTGCCTTTCCAATGCCTCCTCTAGGCTCATTCTCATCTAATGATGAAAGTGCTCGTCTAATTTGACCTTCTAATGTCGCTACGAGCCCAAGGTATGACCTGAGTTCGCCAGCAATAGCAGCTCTTAAACTCTGGCCGAGTAAACCGCCATCACTCGTCTGCACAAAACTGGACAGACTTCTGTATAGTAGCGATGGCTCAGCTAAAGTATGGAGGATCGAGATTATTGGTACGGGCAAAGTATCTGGTAGCCTTAGGCTTGATTGGGAATCAAATGGTAAATTCGACGAAGATAGACCTTGTAATGTGAATGGCAAATCCCTAAGCAATGCAGTCTCCGGTGGATCAATTTCGACATAATTTTCCGCCAGCAGAGCCGTCTTCAATGCGACACTCTCACGTTGGCTGACTGGCGTCTTCACAAATGCCTGCTCTTCTTCCTTTCTATCTCTCTGACCCCCTTCTCGTTCCGGTAATTTCTTCAACCCGGCAGGCGCAAAAGCATCGTCAAATTCCCGTTCCTCTCGCGACGTGTGGCTTTGGGAATCAAAGGTATTATCGGTTTGAAAATTTCGACGTGTGTCCCTGAGAGGAGCAGCACTTGCAGTATCTTGAGCCTCGAGTGCTCTCCTTGATTTCTTCTTTCTTATTGGACTCATAAACGGGCTCGTCAACCCAGAAGGCCTAAGTTGCTCTTGATCTCCTAGCTGATATAGAAAATAAAGCACTGCCCATTTTTGTGTAATGACCGGTATAGAAAGAAGCCGGCTATAAAGGTTTGTAAATCTTAGGGCTTCATTCGGACTTGGGTTTGTTTGTATTAATCGTTTCTTTATCAAATCCGAAGCTTGGTTCACATCTGCGACAACAGCAGGAGTTTTTGAGCTACATAAATTGCCAAATTAGCATACCATTAAACGGCGCATAGTCTTTAAAGCCAGTACCTTCCCAGAACTTCCCGTACAAAGTCGGCAGCATTGCTTTCTCTTTCCTCCGCATCTGCAGGATCTTCTCCAGGTATATCTACTTGAAATCGGCGCACTAAGCTATCAATAGCAGTGGAGATACGAGTACTTCGTGAGGACATAATTGCATCGTTGCGATAATTGAATATCTGCGACTCCTCCTTCTTGCTCAGAAAAACATAAAAAGTTCATGAGCTTTCATGAGAAATTAAATAAATGAGTGGACGCGTTGAGAAAGGCCATACGCGATGATTTATTTACTTCAATTTTGAGGGGGGTTTATTAGTGACAGTACAAGGTAGGTTACCCTAAAACTCTAGATTTCTTACATAAGGCTACAAGGCCAACCCCCGACTCTCTCAACGTCACCTCTATCTTATGCGCGAAACGACCATCATTCATTCATCAACCACGGCATCAAATTAACGATTGGCATCCTATATTTGTGTCGCTGGATTCCTCTGATATTGCTCTATTTATGGGCTATAGAAAATCCGGGGTTCTCGCGCCTTGAGAGCGTGCTCGCGCGAGCCTAAATAACTCCTACAATCATCATGCCCGACATCGATCCAGCGGCCTTGAGCCGCCCTAGTGTGACGAACAAGAGTCCAACTCCTGTTTTACCTACAAAGTCACTTACCGCGACGACTCCAGTTCAAAAATCAGCAAAGTTCAATCATGTTCCGCCCCGCATCGACCTTGAACCGTTGTACACGGCAGTCAAGTCTGCAATTGGCGATAACTGGGGGACATACAAAGAATCAATTGGTTTATTTCTTATGGGTAGGTGATGAAAGCCATTGTCCCCTGAAAAGGGCGATAAACACGTGTGTGAAAATTAATCTTAATTCTTTGTTTCTCAGGGCAAATGAACCAGGCCGAACTCTCGTCCCGAATTGATCATTTCCTCATAACAAATACTGGTGAAATCGAGCATCTTCACAATCAACTTATATCTGCCATCTATGCGAATACCACTCGTGAAATGCCTGATCAGGGCGTGGCGAGCTGGGTCAGTGCAAATGATAAACCTACAACAGGGGCTGGGAGCAAGCCGGTCAGCGGCGATGCGGCGGAACAAAGACTCAAGACAGAAGTTATGCAATTGCCGAGTCGTGATAGGAGAAGACTGAAGGATCTCTCTCAAAATGATGTGAGATATTTGCAATATGTTGCGCATGCGAAATTATACTGGATTTGTGCTAAATTGCTTTGCAGTTCGACCCATTCGACGCATTTGCGACAATGCTTACAGAGCATCGCCGACCGAAGCCTGCAAGACAGCCAGAGACTGTACCTGCCAGTGCTGGCGGTCTGAACAAAACAAGTGAGTCAAATACAATTTCCAAGCCTAGGAAGTGTAGTAGTACTTACATGTTGTTCAAGATTGGGATCTGGAAATTCGGAAGAGATATACCTTACCTTTGGCCTCAGAATCTGGTGAATTTCCTGACATGACAACCATCGAGTCACGAATGCTTCCCATATGCTATGAAACAGGATTGGTCAATGGCCATGTCCAAGATGCAGCTCAGTTCATGTCCGTGGCGACAGAAACGTTCATTAAAGAGGTCTTGTCATCGATATTTAGCAAAACGAGAAGCAATGGGCCCGGATCTATGGGTAGCGCCGGAACTAGTGGTGGTTCTTCCTGGGTTCAAACACACAAGTATCGCAGGCAGCTAGAAAGGGAAGAAGAGTCCTCGATGCGCAACGAAGTCCTTCGAGACAAAAATGGCTTACTGCCCATTGAAGCCCGTGCAGCAAGTGAACGAGGCCCTCTAGGCATGGCTGATGTACGTACTGCACTTGAAATTGCCGATTGTGGTTTAGGACAAATGCCAGTAGTTGTGCAGCAAATAATGTTCGGATATCAAGAGGGCGAACTAGAAGACTGGAATGCATTTACTCGGCTTGGGCCCCAAGGCAGAATCATCACTGAGGATGATGATGGCGATGTTGAGATGGGTGGTCTCGAGGTCAACGGTTTAACTAATGGTGTCAACGGACACGCGATAGACGAAACAATGAGCGATATTGAAGATTGGGGATGGGAGGGGGCTGAATACCAAGATCGAGCTGCGTTGGATATGGTGCTAGATTCATGTCTAGCTATTGGAGCTTGATCATGAATGATATTTACGGCTGGGTACGGAGTTCTAAATCTGGGTCTTGAGAGGCGTCATCAGCCCATTTGGCGGTAGCGGTTTAGCATTGGCGCAATGGTTATTGGGTGTATCTATGTATCAGAATATTGTATAAAAGAGATCATAAAAGGGAGGGAAAGGTGAAGGGCGCTTTACATACGGTTGGGTATAGGGGAAATTCTGCACAGGATGATACCCATGAATTGGCTCGGTAAGCCACTTATTATTAGCTTTCGAATGATGAAAGAAGCCAATATTTAGAGCGTAAGACTGCATCCATACTATTGCATTCAACCTCAATACAATGTGACCAATCAAACAAATAATCTCATCGCATCATTGAAAGAGGGTTGATTATCATTGTCGAATAACAATGCAGGATCAAAAATCATGATATAAGTCTTACAATATAAATCAGGAATTTTGTACTAGGTTGTCCCAGAAAGGGCACCATAAATTACCCATGGATTTGTATCTTGTAAGTATCAATCGGGTGCTTAGATAGTCTATACATAACGGCTTGGACAGGGAGACAACAATCGAATTCAATAAGGAAACCCAGAGTACAATCTGCTTTGGATTTGATATAGATGTCTCACAGGAGACTCTTAAATCTGGTAAATCATGGTGAATAGTCTATTGTCTGCTAGTTGAAACCATGCATAAGAACAATTCTATCGATGAGGCACCCATCGCCTCCCTACGTATTCTTGTCTGCAGGAGAGCGGCGATTGATACATATGATCGAATTGGTGTCGTAGATGTTGAATCAGACACAACTGTTCTCGACGGGGCAACAAGGGTACATATGAGATTGATATGAGATATTATTGAAGAACATGAAATTTACCTCTCTCATCAGCTCTTGCTGTAGCCTTGACCACGCTATTGTCTAGGTTCTCAGCTAGGTATTCATGTACTTCGTAGAAGATTGCCACCTATTTTTTTCACTCGAAAGAACCGTCAGAAATATATACTCACGGCTCCCAGAATAGACACCGTGGAATAGTAGAGACAAACATGCGAGACTTCTGTGGAAACTTCCGGAACAGAGCAGACGATGAATCCTTTCAAGGCTTGCAGAAAATTGTCCAGCTTCGCCATGTTTCAGCTCACTTCCGTTTATCAGAACTTAAAAGACGGAAGTTGTGAATGATGAGTGTATTGCTAGAAGTAGCACAGGCTGTATATTCCGCGAGCATCGTGGTCTTAGCATCGCGTAACCTTTTTTGTCATGTTGGGAAAAGTGCAATCCGTTACCAAACAAAGCACCGAATGAAAGGCACTTCAACGTCTCTACTCTTTATATCATGATGAGAATATTGGAAGTCAACATTCCAGGGTATATCGGCATAAGAAGACTGTTGTCCATTTTTCAGCTTCCCGAGATTATTGGAACTTTGAATTTTAGACGATTAATTCGAATTATCAAAAGTGTGAGGCCCAATTCCGCACTCTGACTACTTCCACCACCCCTCCCTCCGCAACTGCTGCGTACTCGCCAGACAGACACCCAGACCGAGTCGGATCACACGGGGATCTACATACATCCTCCTAATGTGAGTATCTATGGGCTAGTTGGTTAACTACTAGTCGGTGATATTGATATGAGCGTCCCTGAGCTGGTTGATAGGATGTTGACAGGTGATGATGCCACTGCGGGCTCGGTCTTTGAGTTTCATAGAACACATTTATGTCTGATCGAGGAGGCTGATATGATCTTGAAGATAGTTTTCCGGGTTCGGAAGGTTGCATTGGTAGTGCAAAAGAATCATGCACTATCGAGATTGGCACTCCATCGTCTTGACGTGTGGAATCTGAAGCTTTTTGCCCTGGCCTATAATGTATTTCACCTAATAAGCATCTCCAAATAATCTTCTAAATGCCAGGGGAACTCACGACGACGTATCAATCCACCTCTGATGATAAGGACAATTTCCATGTACAATCTTAGTTTTGGCACCAGTGTGATCATCGCATAAAGGCATGCCTGGACAGAATGACGGACGGGAACACAATATTCTGTATTCTATACACTTCGGAGCGCATTCGAAGTACTTGTATGGTGTATTATAGTACATATTTCCTTTGAAGTTAGAATAGTTTTGATCTTGTTTGATATTACCTACTTCAAAATTATTATATTGCAATATTATCAATAAATCCCAAAACGAATCCCCAAAGCAATCTACATTTTATAATTAAAGAATAAAAAGTCAACAATATCAAGATTTAAAACCTCCCACCCCTCCTTTCCCAGATTATTCCAAGGACTCCACAAAAACCCTGCATCCCTTAATTTGTATGTATTCCCATCCTCCCTAAAGACTTAATATTCCTCTCCATTTTGATAGGAGGATATAGTAGATAAATTACAACGGATAAAAAAGAAAAGAGTTTGGAAATTCAATAACTACATCTATTCACAGTAAGAAACTATCCATTTTACATTTGTAAAATTTCAAGAGCATGCAATTACTGTTATCAATCTCTCAAGGTACTTGAAATCATTTGCGCGCCTGGAAGCAACTCATTCTGATGTAGCCCCGTACTACCTTGATGTTCTTAGCTTCTGAAAAAATTCATGTAGATCGAGTCTCAACATGTATGTATAAAGATTCATCAATGTGGTTGTCTACTTCAGAGCCTACCCTAGAGCCTTCATTTGGACACAGTTTGACGTCCCTGTAATACTTTTTCTCTGAAATGCAGCAAAACTAGGATGATTTCTCCTCTAATAACTTGAAGCTATGAGGAACCAGTCTCAATTACCGCATCTAGCAAGAAAGAATTCATTGGTAAAAATAAGGGTGAATTCAACATTATATCATTATAACACGAGTAGCTAACCATCTAGACTTTCGCCTTCTTCTCATGTATTTAAAGTCCTCCACACATATTTATATATACTTCATATATACACGCGGCTACATTGTTAGAATGTTACATCGAAAATGCCAACTTTGGCAATAGATTGAAGCTCATCACATCGTGATTTTGTAACATGATACGCTGTTGTGCACTGATCTGTACATATAAAAGTACTGAAAGTGTTTTGAGAACGTAACAGTGTAAGAAGGAATTTTTGTTGCGACTTCTCGTTTCCTTTCTCCCTACGTCTGACCTTGGCTGTACAACTTTGAGGGAACCACGTGAGTTTCCAAGCTGCTAGCTTGGTCAACCACCTCGTGATTTATATTATCTTCGAAAGTATGCCATTTGTCCAGCAGCAACTCTAGGAAGTCTTTTTACATTTGAACTTCTTTTGAATATCCTCCTCAGTAAATTTACGGGTCTTCGTCCTCAACATGTCCGCCAGCTCCTTTTTACTCTTCCCAATATTCTCCCCTGTCGGAACCAAACATCCAGCAAGGTGCTCGTAATCCTTCTGCATGAGTTTGACGAACATCATGATGTAATCGATATTTTGAAAGACAAGAGCTTTGCCGGAATCGTAGTTATGTTTTCCCTTGAGGTAACTAAGTGGCTGATCCCGCCAATGTCGAAGTGGGTTGAGATGATGAGCCGTATGCCAACCGTCGTTGAAGCAGTTTCGGTTGCTCTAAAAGTACCAAGACGATAAATTAGTTGAGGATCTTCAAAGTTTCATGGATGTAGGGTGATTCCTTACCGCCACATCAATCAGAACAATGGAAGATCTATAATCCGAATCTGGATCAATTTCATCGACCAATGCATGCTGACCCCAGTTTCCTACCATCAAACCGATTCGCATTTGCATAAATGGTATCAACAATACAAAAAGGGTTGGCCAAAAATTCAGTCTAGCCATCACATACATGCCTACATATGAGCCGACCTCCCAGAAGAGCACCTCGCATGCCAATCTAATCTTGTTGGTCCGAAAAAAGTATAATGGGAGCTCAAGCCAGATGAAGAACATAAAGCGACCCCAGTACTTTAGGAAATCAACTATATCATCCCGCTGATACCGTAGAGTCGAAGAGAGATCGTCCGGCCCATTACCCTCAACATGATGACACTTGATGTGGTGATAATAGTATGAATGTAATGTGTGGCCCATGAGTGGCTCGAGAAGGTATGGAAAGGTTTTGTCGAGCCATGCGTATTTCTTCACTAAAACTCCGTTGTTATGAATATGGTTGTGAAGCATAAGTGTGAACGGTCCGCAGTAAAGAGCCTGCATGATCCAATGGCAGAATCCGTGTATTAAGGAGAACCGATTGTACAAAATTATAGCACTCGGGACCGATGTGGCGAGGTAAAGGATGATATGTGTGAGGAAGACGACGTCTGTTGGCCGACGTACCACTCCTTTCCCCCATTGTATATATGGCTCAAGTATATATTGGTATAAAGGACCGGGGAGGCGTTCAAGGTCTTCTTGGTCCCAGCTTGTAAAAACTGTAGGTTGGAATTTCTCGTTGTTCTCGTCGTTGAGTGCTTCAAGGATGGAAATTTGTTCGTCGATTTGAGATTGGTTATCTTGACTGCCAGAAGTGTTGGACGAGTCGCCCCTGCTCTGTTTTTGTACATCTTTTAATAGTAGCTCGAGTACCCTTCGATCAGGCTGAGTTAAGTTGGGATTCATGGCTTGAAGATCCATGATTGTAGAAAGAATTGGATGTTAACCAAAAGGATCTGATGTCGTGAAAGACATCAATGGAGGAAGGGTATTTGTATTGAAACGAATCTTTTTGGGACCATAATTTTGCGATTGAACTAGCAGATTCACGTACCTGGTATCGTGCAATACCCTGATTCTCCATAAAAACCCACTGTGAGAGAGGATCAGGGTCTAACCTGTGCTATCATCATCCATACCGCGCGGTTTCTATTATCGCTCCATCTAGACCTGAAGCCCCTTTATATGCGTAATACGCCTGAATTTGATGTTTTTGCGGAGTTTATGACCGGGGAACGGATGTTAAAGGATTCTAGAAGGTTATACACCTGTAAATCATCATAAGCTCTAGGGCTTAGAAGTTGTCATCCTTATGGAAACAACGGTTGTTTGCAGGTGGTATTGGGTTCAACGTTATTGCTTATCATTACTTGATAAATCATTGTTCCACAATATCATCTTGGTGAGTTGCTGTTAGATGTGTTGAGGGGTGCAGTAGGTATCATCACAAGAATGCAACCACTAAATACCTAGGAAGAACTATGCGATGACAATTCTGTATGAGAACTATTCGAAGAAGTAGATTCTATATTCAAAACCTGGGTACAGTTTGTTGCTGAGCTTTTCCTTGGGTGCAAAACATGAAGGGTTGGAGAATGCGATTCTTGAGAAAGATTGCCGAGCTGCCGGACCTGACAATGGAAGCTTCGAAGCGTGGCTAGCTTAGTAAGGCACTTAAGAAAACTCCGGTGCTAATGAAGATCTAGTGGGGAAAGGGGGATAAATGTTGAGATCTCAAAATATAAAGGGTTTTGACTTTTTATACAAGTAGCATTTAGGTATTATTGCTATTTCTAATCCTGACGGACTCTGGTGATCAGTTATCTGGAAAAATCATACTTCTTTAACACTTCTAATCAATCGCAAGGGGTTATCTGCATGGCTGTTGATGATATTTATTTTTATGTTTCTTTCCGCACTTTTATCTCACTAGCTTTCCAAGCAAAATTCTATGCACATATCCTATCTTTAGCATGATAACGCTGTTACTTGCTCAACCTGCTAGACCCAACTATGAGCATCCCGCCACACCCAGAAAAACAACAATGTCTAACCATAAATAACGCTCAGGTATGGTATCAATACACCCCTCATCCTCTTCCCTACAACTTTTTCTTTCATCTCTTGCTTATTTCTTGTAATCCTCTGGTCCAACCATCAATTCTGGTCTAACCAACTTATCAAAATCCTCTTCACTGAGAGCCTTCAACTCCATCGCCGATTCTTTCAAAGTCAATCCCTTCTTGTGCGCGTTCTTGGCTACCTTACTAGCCATGTCATAACCAATCTTTGGGTTCAGGCAGGTGACTAACATGAGACTGTTGACGTTTGTTAGTACTTGGTATCTTCAGGCTTTAGGGGGGACAAAGGTTGCACTAATAAGTAGAAGGGTGTACGCACGATTCTTTCAAAATACTTTGGATCTTCTCCTCATTGGCTTGTAACCCAACTACCAAGTTCTTCTCAAAGCTTCTCATTCCATCACTCAAGATTCTAACACTGTGTAACAAATTTCTGATAACTAATGGCTTGAAGACGTTCAACTCGAACTGTCCGTTCATACCACCAATAGTTGTAGCAGTACCGTTTCCAATCACTTGGGCACATACCATGGTAATGGCTTCGCATTGAGTTGGGTTAACTTTACCAGGCATGATGGAACTTCCAGGTTCGTTTTCAGGGAGTGCAAGCTCGCCGAGACCGCATCGAGGACCGGATCCCAGGTATCGGATATCTTGAGCAATCTTGAAGAGAGATGATGCAAGGGTAGTGAGGGAGCCAGATGCTTGAACAATGGCATCATGAGCGGCAAGAGCTTCAAATTTGTTAGGTGCAGTGGTGAATTGTGTGCCGGTCATCTTGGTAACTTCCTCGGCGATAGCCTCTGCAAATCCCTTGAAAGTATTAATACCAGTACCTACAGCAGTTCCTCCTTGTGCTAAAAGTCTGAGGTGGGGCAGAGACGACTCGACCCGCTCGATACCATAATCAAGTTGTGCGACATATCCAGAAAACTCTTGGGCGAGGGTAAGAGGTGTTGCGTCTTGCAAATGGGTTCGTCCAATTTTGATGATGTTCTTTGCTTGAAATTCATCCACTTTAGCTTGGAGAGCATCTCGCAAGGACTTGGTTGCGGGAAGGAGCTCATTTTCGATTTCGAGGACCGCAGCAATATGCATAACAGTAGGGAAGGTATCGTTTGAAGAGGCTGACATGTTAACGTGATCGTTGGGATGAACCGGCTTTTTGCTTCCCATAGTTCCGCCCAAGATTTCAATAGCCCGGTTCGAGATAACCTCATTAGCATTCATGTTCGACTGGGTACCGGAGCCGGTTTGCCAAACGACAAGAGGGAAATGATCGAGCAACTTCAGATCTGCGACTTCTTTAGCGGCTTGTTGGATAGCTTTTCCGAGCTTTGGGTCTGTCGGTATCTCGTCAGTTCATGCCTTAACGTGTATTTTTTCTTTCATGTCCGCGTACCAAGTCCAAATTGCATATTGACAGTTGCAGCTGCACCCTTCAAGATACCAAAAGCCTTGATGATAGGAGGAGGCATGCGATCTTGAGGCTGGTTGATCTTGAAGTTCTCCAACGAACGCTCAGTTTGAGCTCCCCAGTATTTGTCCGAAGGGACCTCTACATTGCCGAAAGCATCTGACTCGGTTCTTGTTTGTGCCATATTGTATGCGGTTGCATGAAAATTTCTTTGCAGACGGGAAGACGAGGATTGGAAGCTTTTAAGCTTATATGATGAGCAAGTACGGTTGAGGACCCGAGTCGTGGATTTGCTTGTGACGTTGATGGCATTCGCGGGGAAGGTGGTGGCAGTTGTGAATGTACGAGCTATTGCCCGAGGCAACGGAGCTCGAAATGTGGATGTCCGGAGCATTTTTAATTGGAAGGCACTTTCAAGACACTACAAAATTGTCAAATAGTGATCAATTCACTCAATTGAAGTCTTGAGGATACTCGTACTGAAGCCAACTGCAGTTAAGTATTGCTGAAAGTCAATAGTGGGCACGGTGGGTATAGCAAGTCGAAAAATTAATGGACTCTAAAAGTTTCACCCGCCATAAAAATGCTCTTGGCGGGAATTGTCGGCATCGGATCATCCCGGTAATCCCGCATCGAAAATTGTTCTTACGTAATCACTTACCATTTACCCCAACCAAAGTCGAAATTACCGTACTCGGGAATGAAAATGAAGATGTCAAGAAATTCCTAAAGTTAGGATAGCCACAGCATTTCGTAGGATGTAAACATCATTGACTTTATCCAGTATCAATATCCATTCTCCACCCCTCTACTTCCCATTAGCGAAGCAACCGATATCACTCACTACCCCCTCCTCTCACTACTGCCATTTATCTACAAATTAGATCTCATACATTCTCAATCTCACATCGAACATCGTCTCCCAGTCTCATTGTCTCTGTGAACAATTAGTATCTTGTCATCTGGCTGGTGGAAGTGATACTGGATATATCCATATTCAGAGTTGAATATGGGTTCAATAGCTTTGTGATGATTACCACTGCCTGAGTATCGAGTTGATAATATGGCCTCGGGAGAATTGGAGGGAGTATACGAGTTTAGAGTAGAGCCACGACGGTATATATAGCTTACAAACTGATGAGAGCTTTTATTGCACATCCCGCCCAATCTTCTGAGGGGTATGGATGAATGCTATGGACAGTCTAAATTCTGGTGTAGCCACCTTGTGCCTCTCACTCTACTCTTTCGCTGAGATATTTATTGTTACACGGTTAGATTGAGTCCTTAATCATTATTTCAACTCTAATAATAAATATCCAACATTGCCTCGTCGCACCTTGATTACATCATCACAACTAGCTTCCAACCAATTCCCCAAGGCCTGTCTAGCATTTCCCTCATCATTGAGACATATTGCCAAAATTTCAATCATTTGAAGATTGGGGAACTATATATTTGCGCGGAGTCTCTCCAAGCAATTACAGGCTGTCAAAATGTAGCATGGCCATCTGACGTGATACGATGATTGGAATGTGGTGTTGTGACAATCTCCTACTTCCTTCTCATTTTCTTTCTTATGGTTGCGTGGAATTTTATCTAGGTTCGTATTTTCCGTGTCGGACTACTGTTGCTAGGTCTCAAGCAGTGGAAGGATAACTGAACATATCCTACTGACTGTTTAATAGATGGTTGAATGCATAACATACATGTAGGCTATGCTTCTTCAGTTTTTCCGTTCTCTTTGATCCGTGTTTAACATTTCAGATCGTTATGCTGTCGCCTACGGCATGATTTAAAAAATGAAAACGTTAAAAGATAAAAATGCGAAGAAATGAAAAATGCAAAAGATTATTTTAAGTTTTTTGGTCTTGGAATGATTCGATAGAAATTTGAAATTTATAATAAATGTTAAAGTGAATGGTTCCTGCGTAGCACGTGCACAGGGCACTAGTCCTATTAGGACTAGATTGAGAAGCTCTCTATAGGAGAGCTTCGCCCTGTAACGATACTGTACTGGAGGCAGCGGCTGCCTAAGGTTTCGTCTGGTTGGTAGTTGTGGGTTAAGGCTTTATCACTGGTATTCACTTGGAAGTGAAGTCGTTACTAGATCAAGTAGAATGTAGGTAAACTAATTGATAACTGAGTTGAGCACGAAGCTCCTTAACTACGAGACTAAATGAATTTTTATATACCCTATATCATCTTTTGAGGACCTCTGGGACCCTATGGACCCTTCGGTCCTCAAGGTCCTCGAGGTCACGTGAATTAATGAATCGTGACACGCACTTCTATAGAACTAAGAGAATGGGTGATTCATATACAAGACCAATATAGCCTCAGTTCTGCCCTATCAGCTTCCCACTATTCCCTGTGTAAGGTCATTCCTTTTAACAATAAAGAATAATTATATTAAAATCTAAAAAATCTAAAACATCTAAAGAGTATAAAAATAATTATGTTACGTAGTAACAGTCAACCTGTCCATATGAGCTCAGACCCCGTGGAAAAGCAAACCGATTCACATACAAAATTGTATGGTAATCGGTTCGTAGAGTCTCCCCACCTTCAGCAAGCACAGACATATAGTCTGATCCAAGTCACGTGATGGACCCTGCATATTCAGGGATACGAATCGTAGGTCCATACGAATCGAAGGTCCACAAACTCTCAGGATCCAAGAGATCCAATGGAGGACGAAGGTCTATATAATCAGGATGGTTTCCTTTGTGTAGAGCTTCGTGCTCAAGATCAATCATTTAGTATACTCTACTATTAGTTACGAATTGCATTATTGTCATTACTTTAAGTCCCTGCTTGACGCCTAGTTATAACCACCTCGAGAGCCTAGAGCACTTCCACGTGATCTAGACGGCAAACCTCGTAACATCAAGGATAAGCATCCATATCACTAATATCACCCGTATTGACCACCAATAACTTCGTCTTTTCATCCCCTTTCAAAGCAGGCACATTATCCCAATCCCTCCCTCGTATATCATTACGGCTACTCCCCGGTGTAATATACGTTTCCCAGAAATCATCCTCATCCTCTGCTGCCCGCGCATAAGCAATAGTCTGCGAAAACGTCGACATCCACACCCCTAGAAAAAAACCCGCTTCCACCAAAACCGGATATTCAACAATAGCCGCGGCGTCAAATTCCATATCTTGCAATTTCTTAAGAAGATCCGGGAGCCCAGATACCAATTCCCATTTATCATAAACTTGAAAACCCAGTGGGGAGAGCCGCTCACGGAATAGAGAAATCGCGTCACTATCTCCACAACTCACATATATGGTTTTGATACCCTCTGCCACGCCGTCGGCAGCAGATGCGTTCTCGATTTCCTCCGTATAGAAATCCATCTGCTGGTCGCGAGAACCGAAATGTGGGGACCAGTCTGCTTCGCCCCGGAGATGCACGGCAATATATCCATCGCGCAATTGAGGTGTATCTCGAATTTGCGACCCGAGCTGCAGAAGTTCCGGGTTGTATTTTATGGTTCGAAAGAGCTGTTGTTGTAGTGCTTGCTCTGAGGCATACGTGTAGTTATATGCAAACATCGTATCACCAAAACCTACCGCCACTGGATTCTCGGAAGAAATCTCAACAAGCGAAAGAGATTCTAAGTGCGCATCAACAGCAGTTTTAAACGTCCCAATTTGATAATTCCCTTCCATGTATTGTCTCCGTCCCATTTGTATTATTCGTTCCTCGGCAATCCCAGAAGTATCCCCACATCGACGCATTTCTAATTCAGGACATACAGAACCCATTTCTTGGACCAAATATGAGATATCAAAATATACATCTGGACTTACGCTATCGCTGCTGAATAGAGAGGGATTCTCGCAATGTCGTCCAGTGGATACGGTGGGAAGGATTATGTTGGAGCCGAGATCGAGAGCTAGTCGGAGACAGGTTTGCACGCGGTTGCGCGCGTTGTTTAGGCCGCCGCAGATGGAAGTTGATTCGGGGCCACACCAAGAATGACATTGCAGATAGAGGCCCGGTTGGAAGGTGGTGGTTTCGCAGAGAGATTGTAGGGTGAGGGGCTTGTTTTCGTCCTCCGCTTTCTCACTTGTTGTGTCTTCCTCAGTCTCTTCATTTTCAACCCCTTTCTCCTCATCCACTTCTTCCTCTGCGTCTTCTTCATCTTCTTTCCTTTGTTCCTCCTCCTCTTTCGCCTTTCTCTCCTGCTCCTCCTTCTCTTCTTGTGCCTTTTTCTCCTCTTCTTCTTTCTCCTTCCTCAACCTTTCTTTCTCCTCCTTCTCCTTCAATATTTTCTGCTCATGCGGGCTAGCATCTCCAGGTACACTTAATCCCCTCCCCATTCCCATCTCCACTAAAATTTCCAATCTAGAGCCCTTCCACTCTTTACCACTCACTCCAGCACTTCCACCTCCAACATGTCTATTTCCACTCACCTTCTCAGTATCCTTTTTATCCTCACCACTCACCTTCAATGGCGAGGACATTAATATTTCTCTTTCTTTCCCATTTCCATCCTCATTCCCATTACCCTTCCGATCATCTAACCTCACATCCCCAGATATCGAATGCGTATAAAATAGCACCCAAATAAACAACAAAAACGCAATGATGAAACTATGATATCGAGTCACCATAATTACCGATATAAAAATAATATCAAGATCACAATCAATACGTGTATCCAAGTGAAAGGTAATGATCACTAAGAGAGAAAAAAGTCATCAATCAAAGCAGAGATGAAACTTCTCGCATATAAAACATAATGGAATCTTTCCACTCCTTGCTAGAAAGAAAGCTATAATGCGATGTTCGCGGAACAAATTCATGGTGAGCTGTAGTATGCGGAATTGATAAATGCGGCGCGTTTTTGATGACTGGTACTGAGTAGAGAGAGGGGGAGTTGGATGCATGCGAAATTGGTCGGTTTGTGTGATATAAAATTCCTACCTTGTAGTTTTTTGGGAAGCTTGTATGGACATTGTGGACTCTGTTTTCGGAAAAATCATCGAGTTGCGGAATCGATGAAAATAATTAAAGAGACGAATTACTCCAAATACAAATATATTGGGTTTCTTGAGACCAGAAAGAGCATCAGATTGAATTGATTGATTCTCTAGCTAAGCAGTTAAGCTGCGAGTATATATTCAAAAAATGAAGGAATAAGGTTAGGTCTTCAGCCTTCGGAATTAAAGTGCTTTGAAATCAAAATATTGAAAGCAAACAAACAGTATACCGAAAAGGAAAGAATGAATTAAAAGTTAAGTTTTGTTTGCTCCTTATATGCATCATGCAATATATATGCATATGCTGCCAAGATCCCAGGAGGTCAACAAAATATGTATGAGGAAAGAAAATTAAAAACGAGAGAAATACCTACCAGCATAATATTTGGAAATAATACAGAGCAAAACTCCAGAATCCTCTTTTCTGGTGTGTTTGATATGCAAAGGCATAGGAAGAGAAGATAGGAAGGGGAGGTTGAATTCGGAGGAAAAAAGTCAAGAGTCTTTATGGTAAAAATTTCATCCCTTACGCTTATTCCTGACGATGAATTTTGGCAAACTCGACAAGTTTCCGAGCAAGATGCCTCGAAACTTTTGATAAGCATGGAAAAGAGACAATAGGAGTTATTCATCTCTCAGCAAAAGCAAGGAGAAGAAAAATCTATAATTCTTCTTATCATTATCATATTCTCAGATAATCCCACCAACCTCGCATGAAATTGTCTCAGATGCATATTTCAGAATTTGCTTTTGCCTCAAAATCCCGAATGTGGCATAGCGTATTTTTGGATCCTCAACTACTCATCTCTAGAATAGGGAGAAATACGACTTCAATATATACATTTCCCATTCTCAAGGACTGCTTGTATCATTGTTCTTTTTCCATATTTCAAAGCTATGTTGGGTAATTACAACATCAGTGCGGCTAAGGAAAACTTTCTCAAGGCCAAACCTCGAAAATTGTTGCTTCCATTCATCTATCTTGCGATATTTATTCTATTTGTTCGGACTGCTATTTCTCACTCGAGAAATAATGGTAATGCATGGAGTATTATCTCTCAGGATGAGAACTCAACTCATATAAGCAACAATGATATTTCATCAACATCCTCCTTCATTTCTGTCCAAGCAAAACCTCAACCCCAAATAGCAAACATAACAACCAGCAACAAAGTAGCTGTAATAATCGAGACCAGACGCTCGGGAAACATCATTCCCTTAATTCTCCATTTCAGCGCCGTGTTAGGACCCACCTGGCCTCTCATAATCTATACATCGGCCGAAAACTTCGGATCCTTCTCTACATCAGCGGCACTCCTACGACATCAAGCCTCAGGGCGTATCATCGTGCGATCTCTGGCCCCAGGTACCTGGTTCTACAACTGGGATTCTGTGTCTGCATTTTTGACGACGCGATGGTTGTGGGAGGATTTGGCGCCCGCTGAACATATATTGTTGTTTCAAACCGATAGTATGTTATGTGCGAACGCGGCGAGGAGCGTGGATGATTTCTTGGAATATGATTTAATTGGTGCGCCTATCGAGTCGAAGTTTGGTCAGGGCTATAATGGAGGTTTGAGCATGCGAAGTCGGAAAACTATCTTGAGGGTTTTGGATGAGTGGAAGTATAGTGATAATCCGCACCCAGCGGAGGATCAGTGGTTTTATGCTAGGTGAGTTTTGTCTTGGTGAGTTTAGGATGGGGGAAGGTTATGTGGCTGATGATTTTGTTACGGTTTAGGTTTAAGGATTTGCAAGATAGGGAGATTGAGGAGGGTATTGAGGATGGGATTAATTTGCCGAGTATGGAGATTGCGAGGACGTTTGCTGTGGAGACCATTGATCATCCTCATCCTATGGGTATATTTTCCTTCCTTTTGACCTCCCTACCATTATACCTCAATACACGAAGATATAAATACAAAAACTGACACCAGAATCAACAGGTCTCCATCAACCTACAAGATATATCCAGAAACATCTAGTGAGTTTGGACGAATGGTGTCCGGAGTATAGGTTAGCTACCACAGATCGAATATCTTAGACTTGATTATTGAAAAGAGGTCAGAGTGTGATATGGGATGAGACATAACTATATTGAGATGGATAAAATAATAGATACTTATTAGGTTATTAGGTTGATTTTCAAGTGCTGACGGAGAGGTGTATCGTGTAGGATCGATAGATACAATTTTACTTTTTGGGTTTTCTTTGAGAAAAAATTCAATGAATCTACGTCTAAATATCTACTCCTGTGTCCTCTAAGATTACTTCTGAATGATGGGTAAGGGTTCTAGATCTTTCGCACCATAACAGTATTCACCGGTAGGAGTTGCAATGTTTGATGTACTCCGGCTCTTACAAAGCTTCATCGGCTATTTCTTAGCACAATTAATATTAATCAACAATAAAGAAACCAGACAAACTCCATCTTCCATGCTCAAAGTAAACTTTTTCACTCTTGTTCACTAGACCTTGATATTATTCTGCAAATGACTACGATAATAAAGCCTTCATCTCACCAACTATTCTCATTAAAGTCTATACCAACTTTCATAGCCCATTCTCATCTTTTAAGAACACATTTTCTAGTATCTACGAAGATTCCAGCCATATTAATATACGAATAGAGTCACTCTCTTTAAGAGTAAAAGTCATAATCATTAAATTTCGAGGTGGTCACTGTGAAGACCTAGGATACACCGATAAGCCATGCAGGAATTTGATAGCCATGAAATTAAGTGTGCAACTATATGCCAATAAAGGATTTCAATGAGATGTTTGAGATGATTTTTGTAAGCATAGATTCCGCCAGTGTTATCCAACTGCGTGCTACCAGAAAACTACTTTCAGCAACAACTTTGATTTGCTAAATATGAATAGAAACTTGCAGTGAGTTACATGGCACCGAGTCTAAGGGGATTTGGGTAACTGTTGTCAATTCTATACCTATGATATCAACTTCTTGTCCCAGAGAAAAATTCATCGATGTCAGATTCTTCAAAACGTTTAGATGGGGGTTTGGAAACCACTGATTACACCGCACCGAGTTGTATATTGGAATAGTTCAGCCATACTAAGGACTAGATTTAGAAGATATACAAAGGCCATGCATATTCCTTCTACTTTGCCTCTGGAGATTCGGAAAATTATAGATGGTGTAATTATGATCTATGAATCACTTTCTATTTGATATCTTTAGGTTGATTATCAAGTCTAGTACTCTACTTTTGGATCATCTCCTTTTGGGTCATTTTCTTTTTATCAAAAATGATGAAAATTAATATTTATAATGTTTTTATTTATATAAGATTTATGTACAAAATTAAAATTTTGAAAACTATAAATTAATTTTTGTTGGAAAGATATTTAAAATTTTCAAGATTTTTAACTTGTATATAAATCTTATATAAATTGAAATTTAAAATTTCAACTATTAATATTTTAATTAATAAAATTATAAGAAATTTAAAAAAATATAAAATTGATTTATGATTATATGGTAAATTTGTATTTCAATTTCATTAAATTACTTTGATTTATTATAAAACTATTGACAAATAAAAATACTAATACTTGGTATAAAAAGATAGCTGTCACGATTCATTAATTCACGTGACCTCGAGGACCTTGAGGACCGAAGGGTCCCAAAGGTCCTCAAAAGATGATATAGGGTATATAAACATTCATTTAGTCTCGTAGTTAAGGAGCTTTGTGCTCAACTTAGTTATCAATTAGTTTACCTACATTCTACTTGATCTAGTAACGACTTCACTTCCAAGTGAAGACCAGTGATAAAGCCTTAACCCACAACTACCAACCAGACGAAACCTTAGGCAGCCGCTGCCTCCAGTATAGTATCGTTACAATAGCCCGAAAGAAAAATGATCCAAAAGTAGAGTACTAGACTTACTAAGAGATGCACAACAATTCCGAAACCCTTCCTACCTTTCTTCTTATTCAAATATAGAATCCAGATAAGACTTAGGTTAGAATTAAAGTAAAATCGATTTGACATTGATATATAACTATGCCAATGACTTCAATACAATACAATACAAACATTCAATAATTTTCTCGTCTCCTACTAAAACTTTCGTAAGATCTCAAAATTTTAAGAGTAAGATTACAATCCCCGCATCCACTCGCTAGTTTTTCCTTCGACTCCCAAGGCATGCGGTAACCTTATTTTAATTCTTAAAGCGATAGATTGATACACTACTCAAATAAATAAACTAAAATAAACTACAAATCTATTATTCTATTATGAATCCATAATAACAAAGAGAAACAAACCATTTGTAGATATACCTTACTAATCATTACATAATTACACAGCCCACCATCATCAAAACTCAAATAGTCCCAGCAATCCGGTAAGTGGCGTGCGTGCGTGCATGCAAACCACACCTTATTCAAATAACACTACCCAGGTGAAGAAAGTAAGATCGCACGAAAGTGTAATTCGCTAGTGTCGTTGTACCTGCGGTGCGGCACGCGGGTGTGGATTTGGGGATTTGATTTTTGCGATGGTGTGTTGGTTTAGTGTGAGCTTTGGTGTCATGTTTAGTGTTCTGTTTAGTGCTCTGTTTTGTGTTCTCTTTAGTCTTCTCTTTAGCAGAATACTAAGAATTAGGATCGATCTTTGCTCCAGGCCAGTTTAGTTAGTACGAGTACGAGCACTAGTGACTAGTAACTAGAATCACGCACTGGTTAACAAGTTCCGCGGTTGGGATGAGGGAGCGGAATGAGGGATGAGGGATTATTTTAGCTTAGATGGCTATGCTATGCGTAGGATCTACCATCTAGTACCAGATATCCTTACCCATGCTATAGAATTTGGAATTTGGGGAGAATGAATGGTAAATCTTAAGTCTTAACTCTACTTGTAGGGAACAAAGCAGGGCGGGAAGAAGTGAATCCCTGAGACTATAGTAAAGGATTAGTGGTTGGATCTAGAATCGAGAGCGGTAGAGATCTAGCGTCGGTGGATTGGCAGGTATGGTGCAAGCTCGGCATTGAGATTGAGATTGAGATTGAGACCTATTTACTACGTAGTTGAAGGAAGCGAGGTTTACACTAGTATACTCTCATTTTCTCCTGATTATCTGTATTGGGATACAGAATTTGGGGATTTATTGTTTCGTATACATAGTATGTAATCTTACTATGTAATGCCAATTTCATCACGGGACTGTGCGAGGACAAATATTGAATCCAGACGTCAAATACTGAAGAATGTGCACGTACACTCGTACTCTAGTTCTATGCAGAATATGGGGCCATGAACAGAAAGCTTGAAGCACTTATCTGGATTTTCCTAGTCGGTTGCCACTCTCAAAGCTTCCTATTGCCAAAATGGCCATGTGCCGGTTAATAGGCTTTTTTATGCCTATGTCTGTGCGTGTGCTTGTGCGTGTGCCGCATGTTGTTTGCTCGTCGGTACGTATACTAAGTAGTATATGTACCGGACTGATGGGAATCCGCAGATGCAAGACGAGCTCGAGCTATTTAGCGGAAGTGAACTGGAGGGGGAAGGGATAGTATGTGCGTATCTGGTCTAGGAGCCTCCACATTTTCCAAAACTGATTCGGAGGTATGTCGGTTTGTGGTTTAGTTTTGTTCTTGTTGATGAATCTTTGATATATTGATTAACGTTGAGGATGTGATCAGGGTTGAGGTCAGAGGTAGGCGGAATTCTCCCATATCTTTCTCGTAAGCTTGATATAAGCTACAAGCTATGCTTATTAAAAAGGGCTAAATACAAACTACTGCATTTAAGTTGTAGTTAAATGGGTCGATCTTGATTTCTCCGACTGTCGCTCCTAGAATCCAATCACTGTCCAGAAATCATCTCCCACCTTCTTGGGTTTGGATAGAAGGGTAACTACCGCCCCTCATTCCAGTCTTATTTAGTGCCCTCGTCAAATGTGGATGTATGTTCCTCAAACGGGAATCATCAGTCGTGTAGGGAAATATGAGACTAGGAATGAAGTCGCATGATTGACAGCAAGTATTGAACAGTTGGGAAAGTGTTGAGGATTCTCGCCACTATTTATCTTCGCACAACCCCCAAGGGAATAAATATTAGTGTTTTCCTTTTTAGCCTCGAGTACTCAAATTTGCACTAAACTCAGCTTATAATCTTAACCTCTCGGGGCAAGCTTACCTGTTAGTAACACTTGAATCACTTGACGAGACCTAGCAATCCCCCCCCTCGCTCATACCAAATTGAGCACAACAAATGTCCATCTCCCTCTTCTCTCTCCCCTTAAAAACAACTAGCAAATTCTCAAGCCGATCAGCTGCAGTGTAGATGCAAAAAACTTTTGTTGCATCACTCACGCCGATCTATTCTTGGTTCCGTAGCATAAATATAATAATCCTACGTAATATCAACAACGGAACTCTAGATATCCTCTGCAGGTATCAATCCTAATTTCAACACACTACCAAGAATTGTGTCAGATAAATTTCACATCACGAGCCTTTTTACCGAAGGATTCTCTATTCATTTGAAGATCATCTCATCCGCTAAATTCAGGGGAACTCGTCAAGTGATCACACCTCACGAATTTCTGTTTTAGAAGCCAAATTTCCTCAATACTGCAACACAATAGGGTATCTATGTTTAAAAACCCCCTAAAAGTTAAATAACCAAAATGTAAAATAATCAAACACCACTAATATTTCCCCGTCCACCTCCACAGTATGACAACCTACCAACACCTTCACAAAACAAGTAGCAAACAAGAAGCCCATCCATAACACAGACGCCCAAATCACTCTAAAACACCATGCCCAATCCGCCGTTATCAGCCCATCATTATTCCACTCCTGTCATGTGTCGTGGAAGGCTTAGCTTTGCAGTGCTCTAGACACAGTAAATACATGTAATTAGTATATGCGGCTGATATAAATTTATCGGATCCTATAGCATTACCTACTTTCCCTTGGAGAATAAATCGAACCTGGGCTGGCAGTATCGGGTTTGAGACCGGTATCTTCCTTTGCATACGTAGAGGAGTGACTTATCGGGATGTATGGATTGGTGCTGGCATGGTGTTGTAGGATAGATTTCAGAATATTTTATATTATTCGTCAGTTGCGAGACGGTTTAGTATGGTGTACTAGATATGTCTATATGTTTGAAGTATTTAAAAGCGGGATATATATTCTTTTTTCCCTTCTAAAAGACATAGGATATAAGAACGCTGAACCATGAAGCATCACACGACACGAGCTTCCGTATCTACCTATCTCAGTTTCTAATCAGTTTGCTCATCCTTTCAGCTCTTGTCTGTCCCGAAATCAAGCTGTCAAATCAATGAACAGAGAGAATATCTATCTATCTCATGATTTCTCTTCATCAGCATAACCGTCAATGGTTTCCTATTTTGACGTAGATAGATGATATGTATGGACTTGCTTCCACGCTTTTCCATATTTCTTTCATAGATATCGACGTATACGTAATCTTACAAAAATATCCCGACGAATTCGAAGCAAACCTTGCGAAAGAAAAGAGTGTGACAGTAACAACGGAATATTAATTATATATGTATACATAGCTATACTACTGACACAATACGGGAGTCTGAACTAGGTAGCTAAGTGATACCGGTTCACTACCATTTGCAGCCGCAAATGTCATTTCGTAGGTATCAGATACGTAAGAATACTTTTGTAACGTTAACGCTGCGGATATATTCTGTGTTCTTTGTACTTAGGTATTTAGACACTTAGGTAGCATTTATCTATTTGTAGGCACATCCTCTATTAATCCCCCGATGTATCTATCTAATTATCGACGCCTACTTAGGTACGTACCAAGATGAATTCCGATACTCAAGAATACATGAAAAAGAGAATAACTTCCGAAACCGAACATCACCTATTCAAAAAGCTATCCTCACAGGAAAAGTTCTCAGAGGCAAAAAAGAAAAGCGGTATTTAATCTTATAATTATAATATATTACTGAAACATAACCGTTGCACAAAAATATCCCGATTCTGCTATGATATGATGATCTATCGAGGTGAGCAAAATAAAAAGACAACCCTTGACCTTAATTAATCATCCACCTGCATATGGGTTTCTCCATCCACACAGCTCCAAGGAAAATCTTATTTTCCACACTCAAAATGCTAGCTAGCACTATAACCTATCCTATATCCACCCAAATTGCAGCCTAAAAAGCCGTGCATGTACAATACACATGGCATCCAGGATATCTTCATGATCAATGACCACGACCATCAAATCAAATCTGCAGTGGAAACCAAAAAAGTCTCGAATCTAGTGTCACGGCCGTATGAATCCTGACCTTTCTTGTGGTTATCATTGGATTCGACGCCAAGATATGTTGTTGCTTATTATTGATCTTCGTGCAGGAGGGGAATATATTGTGTACGCGGCTCCTCATGTAATTAATGTCACTCTTTGCTCGGAGTCTTCGCACTAGCAGGGAACCTATAGGCGATTTTCATGTAAGTCTTCGGAGCTCAAATTGGGGAATGTAAGCAGAGCAAGGAGATAGACAGGCAAGCAGACCGCGATACATATCCTGTAGGAGGAAGGATAATGTAATGGTAGAGTGGTAGTCGTAACTCCAGGAGAAAGATTCCGAAATGCTGTGATACACTCACTGACACATTCAAGGAAAAAAAAAAAATAAACATTTCCATGTCACAGTTCTGGAAGTCCCCATGGATATTTTAGAGGATCGGTGTCAAGCCATGGATGGAAAGCTGGAAAGGTGGAATTGCTAAAAAAGCCTCTGATGTGCGATACGTGAACCACATGATATGCCACATCCGCTTTGCTGGGAAAGGCTGGCGAGGAAAAGGCTTGATGGATGGTATCGCTTATGGCTCCACCGAACCCTTCTATCTACGCTGCATACGTATGTACATACGGTAGGTATGTAAAGCATGCATTGAGAAAACTGCAATGCGCAAGCCGGTTACCGAATGGGGTGGAGGGGAAGCAGTTACGAGTGTAAGCTGAAAATCTTTAGAGTATGTATGTCTATCTACGGAGCATCTATCTATATATATTGTTGTCACTTGTATATTTTAGCGATTTTTATAATCAGCTTCCCAGAGAGGTGTGCTTGAAGGATTTTAGATTAGAGTAGGATTTTCACATAGGCTATGTGTTTGTTGATATGCGGTAATCAGAGTATGAATATTGGTAATCATCCTACTCGTATCATCCTACCATTATTAGTTAGTTGAATTACTAAGAATTCCATTCCTTGCCACCTAGATATTCATGTATTGATAAAAAATAGAGAAAGGGAGAAATCAAGCAATCGCAAGCAAAGTGATCAATCGGATCAATCCAGAAACCAAATGTTGGTGATACAAAAAAGCGGGAAGTTTTTTTGGGGGGGGGGGGGGGGGATGGGGGTTTCCCCTCCCTTTGTTGTTTACGTTAGGCACCAGTCTTTCCAGGGTGTAATAAACCCCGTTCTAATGGAATGGAAAGATGCCCAAACCCGTCTTACTATTTTTTGACACCAACATACTTTATTTTAGTATATACCGAAAATGGCGGAAAGGAGAAGGAAAATAATATCCGTATGAAGTGCTGGGTAATCCAACGGTCAGAAATTGAAAATTCCCCGTTTCTTTCATCCCTAGATCCATATCGAGTAACATCCAATACGCTTGTTCGTGCTCAGCAAGATAGGAAAGATTTAAGGTAGGCTGATCAATACTTGATATGACTTAGTTTTCTCATATATAATTTACCCTTTCATTCACCCCGGAATTTAGCGATCGCTTTTTTCTTAACCGTTCGTTCATGTGGTTTAAATTGGATACTGTTGTAGGGCTCGGAGGATAATGATAGGGAAAAGGGATGAGCTATAAGCCGCAATGTGTAGCGATTGACTGTGCCTGCCCCAAATTAAATCTGAAGCCCGCATATTTCCCATCGATCGTTCTTCACCTCTATCGTCAATTGATGATTGTGGAAACGGATAGCTAGAATACTACCTACCTACCTACCTAACTACTTCACATATCAATGATAAAAGAATACAAGGTATATACGTACCGTACCGGTGTTGTAGAAATCAGGTACTGACTGTACTTTTGAAACGTGGCACAGAAGAACCTAAGAAGCTCTGGGGAACTCCACAAATTTATCTATTGTCCGTAGATTATTGAGAAGATGCTTATTGGTATTTTGGTATTTTTGGTTATTGTAATACCTACCTTCCTTGTATGGGTTTTTGCTGCAAATGGGTGTGTACGAGGGTACCATTTCAGTCGAGGTTGATTGGTATTGTGATACTCTGGCTTTTCCCAATGTCCTTTCCCCCATCTCCTTTTCCCCATCCTCCCAATTAACCACAACATCGAACATCTAAGCAAGTAAATACCTCATACTACCTACAAAGCATACATCCCCTCTATACATACTATCGATATCAAAAACCAAAAAGTCGCAGAAGATTCAAAGCAGCGGTCTAGACCCCCATCCATCGCACCAGACGACCCACCAACCCCCAATCAGGTAAAATAAACGATTCAGCCAATTGCACGCCCCAGAGGTCACCGAGTGAACATGACTGAACACCGATACTGTACATCAAATTATTTGTACATACTTGGGCCTTGCTCTCTTGTACAACATGCTCCTCTCGCTAAATGAAGATTTGAATCTGAGAGAGCAGTGACCATGTTTTAGCGGGGGGTGAGCTGAAGTTCATACATACTGTGCTAGGTAGTCGTGTATCAGGTTATGGGGGTATAATAATAGGATCAGGCTTACCGGTAGACATTGATTTATTTGTGTCTATGCCAAGGTCTTCCCAGAGAATGAATAAAGGGATGTTTCGCTTGATGGATATATGAATATGGATATGGATATGGATATGGATAGATGGGATGTTCGACAAAAGACCAGCTGAAAGGTATTTCAGATCATTGAACGCTGCCTGATCATAGCGAGGTCATCTGAATATTTTAAGAGGGGGGAGGAGAGGAGGTTGTTTCATTCGTATGGTGAGATGAAGGATATTCCTCGCTGTTGAGTTTAATCCAGTGAAATCTTAAAAATCAAGAAAGTGAGATAAGAGGATAGGAAAAGCATACTGCGATGATCAACATTTAAGGATTATTCAAACATCCTCAAACAGATGACTAACTCTATGGTCATGTAATTCACACTCCTCATTTGCTTCCATTACTATAAAATAAAGTCTTCAACCATCCACACCCATACTCTCTCCCTACACTAAATCCCAGTAACGAGTAAAAGCCATGAGAACCTTACATGGAACCAGCATTAATGTGGATGGTCCCCGAAGCTTGAAGACGCCAATGAAATAGACCCCTAGTCAGTGCGTGCATCCCTAAACATTCCAGATCGGCCTTTTCTTTCTTTTCTTACCCTAACAAATGATCCCACTAAGACTCTTCGACCACATCTTGGGTGTCCACCAGTCGTTTTACCGAGATAAGTTTTGCTTCTAAGTCTTTTCTAAACAGGAACACATTCTGATAGTTACCGTAACTTCGCACAGACTATGAGCACTAGGCACTGTACTTTTCAATCCTAGAGAGAAGAGAGAAGTGTAATTCAATGATTATTTGAGAATTTACCTATTAGTCATGAATTATAATGATGCCATGAACATGAACACGAACACGAAGCTAACTACCTTGATGAAGGACAAAGTATCGGATCTTTTCTTTTGTCACTCACATCACCATACACATACATGTCTTTGACAACTTCCTAGAATGTCTTAGCCGATAAGTACTCCAACATTTGCCTCCTCAACCGTACCGGGGGGGGGGTTATCTTTTCCCTAAAAACCAAAAACCATTCGAGAGCGCCACGTATGCATCTCATTCGTTCAAAGAAGCGCTTGGGAAATGATAGAATCTCAAGCATACTTCTGGAGTGTTCATCAAAAAATGACAGAGTTTTTTTATTTTAATTTTTCTTTTACAAGATTATCGCAAATTCAAGGGCCCTTCATACTGGACTGGCACACACAGAGTACATGATGTCGCTAAACTGTGCGATGGCCCCGGTCTTGTACATACATACTCCGTACATACCTGCAAGCTGAGATTTTCTCGAGTCCGATGCTCATGTCCAGATCTTTTCGCATTCTCCGAATGCTGTACCTACTGGATGAAGCAAGCAAGCAAGCAAGTAAGCAGCACGAAGGGAAAATTGTGTACCACGTGAATGATACATAGGATACATAGGGGAATAAATGTTACGATGTGAAGGGTTTGGTCTATTGATTTGGTCGTGTACAGTACCCAAATTTGTTCATTATTCTAAGATAGGTTAATGATTAATTAGATAAATAAATGACTAGACAAATTAATGACTAGATATATATAGTAATGCTTTCAACGAAGAATTACCCATATGATACGCATCGCAAAAAAAGAAGCTACAGCCATCAAATCTCACGCAGCCAGAACACTGGGAAACCTTAACTCTTTGCATCAAGACAAAAGCGCAGTGCAATTCGACCCAGACGTTTTCCCGCATTTCTCCCCAAGTTCGTTCCCAATGGTTAGCCTTTTCTTCTTTCTTCCCTCTTTTTACTCACGTCTTGGCTTCAAGCCGCCCGAGCTAATTTGTTCAGCCAGAACGCCTTTGGGACACTTGCATACGCCGAAAGATTTTCTGGGGGTACGATCCTGGTAATGTGAACATGGGAATGGCGTGCGAGAACCAGCTCGATGAGATTTATCCTGGTTCTACTGCATTTTTTCTTCATGCGAAACCTTTTTTTTCCAGAGAAGCGCGTGGATTTCGAGCAGATGGGGTGTGTATGTTTTTTGGATAGGGATATTGTTCATATTGGGGAGCTACTAAATGTGAATAAATGCAATTGAACAATACGATACGATACGATTACATTACCATACATTACAATCACCCAACTCTTTCCACGGAGAAGTCCCAGTATCTATCCCGTCTTTCCATCAGATGATATAAAGTCAAGCTTTTCATTAACTCCTCTCGTACATTTATTTAGACTTCAAGTAGAAAAGGAGAATCGATTAAAAGCAATGCGATGCACAGGTAGGTATAATCAACCACCAATGACCAAATGGAATCCTTGTTAATCGCATAATCAAAAGAGAGAGAAAAGCAATGGAATACCTAGGAAAAAGATAAGATTTAAAACGAATAATAAATACCTGGATGATATTCAGGCAATTATAGGTACAAATGATCCTTTTTCTCCGATAGGTACTGTATGATGGTGACACCAATTCAATTTTTACAAATAGAACCCTACTATTACTGAAGGGAGAGGGAGAGTAGTATTTGGATGCGTTCATCCTCTACTTTCTACAATTTTGCAGAATGTAAGCACTTAAAATTTATTCAGCAGTAATCCTGATCATGGTAAGAAACACAGCAAAGCAGAGCTGTTGAAAATCGGTACCAAATTCCAATTCAATCAGGTTCAAGCTGGTGAACAAATAGAGAAAGACGACACGAGTACATAATCCCTAATCCATCCATCGTATAATGATTATATCATCTACGAAAGTATTCCATCCTATTGCATATCAATCCTATGTATCTCATCCAAGTAATATAAGAAAGAACCCCTCCATTCGATCTCATCTTGAACCCAGCCTGCCTACTCGTCCGATCTGCCTGCGACTCCGTTGCTCTTCCACATATGCGGACGTCACTACATACATATCCAGATCACATACACGGAGCTGGACATCGCATCGCATATAGGATTCGGATATCCCCTACAGGATGAATATCGAAAATCTTTGGTTCCACTACCAATCCAAGACCTTACATATATACATATACACATTCATACATATTACATATCTATATAAGAAAAAGTATTCTATCAAGATCAATATTTGAGTATCTGTCATATCAAGCAGTCGTTCCAACATTAGCCAATCGAATCGTCTCATAAGGTTACTGACAAAACACTCCAAATCAAATCAATATCATACTATACTATACTATACTATACTATACTAGAACGGAATGAATGAATCTATCACTTTGATTATTCTCGACGCATATTCCACATTGAGAAACAATAAGGTTAAAGCTCAAGC